GTGAATCGAAATCACGTCCTGGAACCTGACCGCCTTCCCTCCTCGACGTGGGCCGCAGCACCGGGCCCAGCAAGGCCGCGGGAGCCGGGCCGCAGCCGACGCCGCCCCCTCAGCCTGTGCCACAGAGGGCGGCGCCGCGGCCGCGCCTCTCAGGAGTCAGGGCCGCGAGCACGAGCCCGGTCCGAGGGCCGGAGTCCCGGTCGCCCCATGGACACGGGGGCGCCGGGACTGAAGGGACGGCGACGGCCGGAGAGAACAGACCCCAGGCGGTTGGTGGGCCCGGGGCGGCCGCAGCGGTGTGAGGGGGCGGCCGTGCGCGCGGTCCTGCGGGTGATGGGGCCTTGCCCGTTGGATCGGGCGGGGCCAGCGGCGAGGGCGGAGCCCGTTGGATGGGGCGGGGCCAGTGGCGGGGCCGGAGCCTGTTGAAAAGGGCGGGGCCACCGGCGAGGGAGGAGCACGTTGGAAGGGGCGGGCCAGAGGCGAGGGCGGAGCCCGCTGCAAGGGGCGGGGCCAGCAGCATGATGGGGGCGGAAGTGGGCGAAGCCGTGTGCGGGAAGCAGGGGAGGCAGTTGGGAGGGGCGGGGCCAGTGGTGGGGGAGGAGCCCGTTGGGAGGGGCGGGGCCAGCGGCGGGGGCGGGCGTGAGGGTCTGGAGCAGGTGCGGGGCCCTCTGCTAGGGAGGTGGGGTCAGGCTTCAGGGTGGGTGAACATCCCCTGGAAGACAAAGGACACCCCCGAGTGAGGAAACGCTGAGCAGCGCGGTGTCTGGTCTGCACCAGCCCCAAGGACACAAGAAACACAGAAACACCAGCTGCTCGGGCGTGCCAGGGAGGTGGGGGAGCCGACGGGGCCCCTTTACCAGACCATCCGGGTATTCTGCACAACGTAGCTTTCTCCTTCCAGGTGATCTAGAAATTCCAGTGCTAAGAATATTGTTAAAAATTTTTATATGAACTACGGACGCTTGGTAAACATTTTAAGAATCAATAACCTGAATGTTCTGGTGAATGGACGGGTAAACACTCCTTAAATAGAACAGTATACAGCCGTCAAAAAAAATCAATACAGAATTAGGGCCTCCCTGGTGGCGCAGGGGTTTAGGCACAGCACTGTGAAGCTATCTGTGGCCTCTGCAGGGCGAGTTCAATCACGAGCCACAGAGCTACCCACATGGTGCAGCAGACCTCTCCTGTCTGGCCTGCTGCTCCCCTCAGCAGTGTGTTTCATCAGTCTGCCTGTTCTGTTCCCCAATCTGTCTCTGGTTAATCCTTTCACCTCTCCCCAACTTTGTACCCCAGTGTATGTATAAATAAATGTTTTTTTTTAAGTATTGATACAGAATTAGCAGTATTTTAAAAATAACTTCTTGAAATGATGAAATATTAGTATCCAGAACAATATAATCACCATATGGCAAACTTCATAAGCACACACATTTCAAACTTTTGAGTGGATTTAGTGGGAGGAGAGTATCTTCATTGAGTGTGTAATTAGCTAATCTAAGTTTTTATAAACCTAGGATCAAAATACGCTTCCTCCTTTAGTCCCATAGCTCCTCAAACTAAGCGAGTCTAAAAATGAAAGGTCCTTTCCCTCCAGTCTTAACTTCCCTGCCTCTGCTTCATATCCAGCAGCCCCTATTACACAGCAGAACAAAAACGAAGACTTGCATGATCTTGCTTGTAATTAAAGTTGATGTGAAAAGCTGAGAGTGTCCACCAGAGCCAATCCACAAGCCATCACCACTGGAGCCACCAATTCTGGCTAAAACTGACTCATAAATGACTCTTCAACCACTCCTCTCTACTCGACCCAGGATTGGGTTCACTTCTGCAAACTATTACTGACTGTGCGCATCACTAGCTAGGCGGCTGCCCAGCTCCCTCCTTTTCCCACATGACAAACAACTTTTATTGTACCTTCCATAAAACCCCAAATCTGGTGGTCAATGAGACTACAGCAAGATCAGGGGACACTTAAGGCTGTCCACAAGCAAAGACCAAGGCGATTCTCCCCATCTGCCATAACTCCCTGCCTTCCCTTCGAGACTGACTTCTGCTGGTCCCCAAGGCCTTGTGGCCACATTCGTGACCAACACATTGCAAATCCGTTCTCTTCGGTGACGCGCTTGGCACCCAGGAAGCGCCGAGAGGATACTGTTACACAGATGTCCCTCCCGAGTCTTAATTGTCCTTCCTCCACACAGTGTTTGGGGCTGCATTCCAGATCAGTCCCAGCTTCCACACCCTTGTTAACTAGGAAGATGCAAGCGCACTAAGTTGCTTAGGAAAGGCTTGCCCAGAGGGCACCTAGCAGGGAAGAGCGCATGTGTCTGAGAAATGCTTGATCATCTGCCCTTCTGGGCCATTATAATCCCGACGGATGGCCCTCCCAATGGACGTAGCTTCCTCAGGCTGACCTCCGTACCTTCCTCACTCCCTGGGGGCTCAGGCTGGAAATGGAACACTAGGTGCCACCCTCAGCTGGGCTGTGAAGGGAGGCTGGAAGTGCTGGACAGGAGACGGCCCTCCCTGCTCAATGCCTGTGCGGCTCTGCTCCTCCTCGGTGCTCGCCAAATACGGTAGAGCGGCGCAAATTACCTTTTGAAAAGAGATGGGCAAAAATACTATCTGCGTGTGTGAATTTCCATGGCAAGCACTAGAAAGACTCACAATAAACGAGTGCAGCACAGGACGCAGGAGGTCGGGGGAAAGCCAGCCGGACGACGGGTCGCATGAGACTCAGTGCCCCTCACTTGTGGCTTTATGTTTTGAACCAAGTGTCTCTGACTGATTCAAACAATGTCACTCAAGACCCAGCAGGCACTTTTACACCTGCTTCTCAGGACAAGCCTGTGACACGATATTACAGATAGAACTAAGTAAAACTCATAGGAGAGTTAAGTGCCTTACTCAAAGGACACAGCCTGGGCTGGCAGGGCAAGAGCCGAATCAGGTGGCCTCAGGTCAGACCCGCTCTACACCACCAGGCTGTGTCACGTCAGGAGGGGCTGAGGTCTGCAAACAGATGGAGGGCGGCGTTGGCTGGAACCGCAGGGATGCCAAATCTACGTATGACGTTTCCCCTCTGGTCTGAGAAATCTAAAATCATGGAAACCATGATTTCCATACAATCCAGCTCTCCAGCACTGTGGAGATGATGATGTTTCTATCACGGTCGCACCGTCCTGCCCAGCATCTGTGCTACCCACTTCTGCAGCCACTGTCACATGAAATGTGCAGTGGAGGAAACTGAGGTTTCACCATACCAGTTTTCGAATCTTTAAATACTAAAATTTAAAGTCACTGAACAGGAAATTTCTTATGTACTTATGGAAATAAATATGGGCGTTAAAAAATAACATGTGTTTAGTAGTGTTGAATTACATGAAGAATTATCAAAATAAGGGCCTCCTTGGTGGCGCAAGGGGTTAAGCACTGCACTATGAAGCAATCCGCAGCCTCTGCAGCATGCGTTCGATCCCCAGCCAGCCAGAGAGAAACCCACATGGCGCAGGAGACCTCTCCTGTCCCACCTGCTGCTCCCCTCAGCAGTGTTTCAGTCAATCTGCCTGTTCTGTTCCCCCACTCTGTCTCTGGTGAATCCTCTCCCCGCCTCCCTGCATCTCTGGCCTGTACCCCCGCTCTTGTATGCATAAATAATCTTTAAAAAAAAAAAAGAATTATCAAAATAGGGCCTCTCTGGTGGCACAGGGGGTTGAGCACAGTGCTGTGAAGCAGTCCAAGCGGGTTTGATCCCTGGCCGGCCAGGGAGATACCCACATGGTGCAGCAGACCTTTCCAGTCTTGCCCACAACTCCCCTCAGCATTGTTTTTAGTCTATCTGACTGTTCTGCTCCCCACTTTGTCTCTGGTGAATCCTCTCACCCTCCCGCACCTCTCACCTGTACCCTGGTTCTTGTATGCATAAATAAACAAATCTTAAAAAAAAAAGAATTATCAAATAATAATGTGCTAGTCCAACAATAAATTGGCATATCCCCCTGGGCTCTAGATCTAGTTTACCACATTTACATCCTCTCAATAGATTAACATAAAGACCTCACTTAATCCACAGCCTCAGTGCTGTCTCCAGCAGACCATGATTCTTCCGTTTTGCTCACCACTGCGTCCTCAGCTTGGGAACACAGCCACATCCACATAAAATATGTGGTAATTATCAATAAATGAGGAAATGGCAACAGTACAAGGTCAGGGTTCCATAAATCCCTTGCCATAACATAAACTTTTACATAGTATGAATATAAACACCCAGTTCTGAATTAATCATTCACGCAGGACTGGTGAAACAAAATTGACACATACAATCCATATATCATACCAAAATTAGCCTGTGCAGGATTTTTCACTCCTAGCAACATTTCGGATACATATTACCTAATATGCTTTAAAATTTCACATACTACCCAAATGTCCAAAAATAGATGACTGGATCAAGAAGATGTGTTACATATACACAATGGAATATTACTCAGCAATCAAAAAAGATAAACTCATGCAATTTGCAACAACATGGAAGGAGCTAGAAGGGATCATGCTCAGCGAAATAAGCCAAAAAGAAAAAGAAAAGTACCGGATGGTCTCACTCATAGCAGGAATTTAGAAAACCTAAATAAGGGACCAAGGAAAAACCTAATTATAATAAAGTAAAAATCAAAACCAACAAGCAACTATAAACTAGACATACTACGAGGGGTGCGGGGGGAGGAGGGAGGAGGATCAAAACAAGGGGGTGGGAATTGTATGGGGACTATAACCAAGACGAAAGTGCATACATTGAGCAAAAATGAAACATGATGTAAAAAATGTACTAAAAATTCACATACTGATTTGCTTCATATTGATGAATTACGCTTCCCTCATTTAACACAATAAAGCAATTGAGGTATATGTGTTTAGACTTTACAGTTTCTATAATTTATCAGGTTCCTATAATTTATCAGTATATGCTTGACAGCTATGAGCTAGAAATTCTGACTTACCTACTTCCACGTGAAGCTCTTCTGAGATCTTCCTACTGGTTTTCTGTGACATAATATAAGATGCAATTGATGACTGAAGGCACAACCAGATTCACTGCATTCGTAAGGTCTCCATCCTGTGCATATCCGCTGCTGTCTCCCAAGGGTGCACCTCTGGCCACAGGCTGGCCCACTTGGACCACATTCCTGTCCACCAGGAGCCCAGTAATATTTAGTGTTGTCTGAGGGGCCAAAGAAGACACTGGCAGAGTCACTGAATTAACTATGTTTTTTTCCTGCAGGACTGCTCTGGCCTGGGATGGGCCGTGCCTCCTACAAGGAGGAATTTCTACCTTGACTGAATGAGTTCTCTGATGTTCATTGAGAACTGACTTACTTCTGAATGATTTTCCACATTTATTGCATCCATATGGTCTCTCTCCTGTGTGGATTCTCTGATGCACAACGAGTTGTGACTTCTCAATGAAGGCTTTTCCACATTCGTTACATTCATAGGGTTTCTCTCCTGTGTGAATTCTTTGATGTTTAATGAGACCTGTCTTCTGGGAACAGGACTTTCCACAAACACTACACACAAAAGGAGTCTTTCCTGTGTGAAGTCGCTGATGTACTGTGAGGCATGTCTTCTGGCTGAAGCCTTTTCCACATTCACTGCATATGTATGGCTTCTCTCCTGTGTGTACTCGTATATGTACCATGAGATTCCCCTTCTGGATGAAGCTTTTTCCACATTCACTGCATATAAATGGTTTCTCTCCTGTATGTGTTTTCTGATGTACACTGAGCCGTGATTTCTTGAGAAAGACTTTTCCACAGTCAGTACATTCATAAGGTTTTGCCCCGGTATGTGTCTTCTGGTGTTCAGTGAGCATGACCTTTCCAGAGAATGCTTTCCCACACACACTACATCGATGGGGTTTCTCCCCTGTATGAAGATTGTGGTGGTCACTAAGCAAAGACTTCTTCATGAAGGCTTTCCCACATTCCCTACACACATGTGACTTCTTTATTTTTTGAGTTTTCTGATGCTTGAACACTTGTGACTTAGTGCTGATGAGTTTTTGGCTTTCAGGGAGGTGAATTTCAGGCTGACACTGTTTATGGTTAGCATGGAGAAAAGATTCCCCATCTCCAATAAACTCAGCAGCATTCTTTGTTTCACAGCTTTTGCTCTGCTTAACTGAAATGAAATCTGATGTTATACGTTTTCTATGTAAGTCAAACAGATCATGACTTTCCCTTAACACAAACTGATTTCTGCTCTGATGAACAGCATTTTCAAATGTGTTGTGTTGGTACCACGGTTCTGGAACATTCTCCATGCTCTCTTTTTGTAAGTACTCTGACAGATGATCATCAAATTTTGAGATATCTATCAAAGAAAAGAAAAATAAATTCTTACATCATCTTGACTTGATATAAGGTATATTTTAAACTACCTTTATGAGGCCTCTTTAGTGACAAATGTAAATATAACTTAAAGTTATATATAAATACAGCTTAAAGTTCCCTGTACATTGGGGAAAAGATTAAAAAAAAGAAAACCAACTAGCCAGTGATGTTAGGAAAAAAAAGGTAAAAGCAGTTATGCTTTCCATCTGTATGATTTTCCTCCCTGCTATTATCTGAAAGAACAATCTAGGCTACCAAAGCATCATTTAAAGGGAATGAACGAAGGAAGCCACCTCATGGAAGGAGCACAATGGAGAATTAGGGAAGAAGGGAACTCTGAGCAGGGTTTACCAGACTCCCTAGCAGTGCAGGGAGCACTGCGCCTCTGCTGACAGTGCGCTCATGGGGACTTAATGTTGTCAGAATATGAAGAGAAGAAAGTGAACTATTTCAGGATGTGAATATATGGCAACATCTGTAAGTGGGATGAAAGTTCATAATTAATACACAAAGGAACTAACTAGAAGTAGGCATGAGGGCATAATTGGTGCAGGCTGGAACTGAGAACACAGACTATTAAAATCTCTTTTCTAATTAAAGTGTCATCGTGAACAGCTGAGGCCTTTAAAGAAGGAGCTCATGGAACATGTATGGGCAAAGCAAAAATCCAGAGTGATGCGGGGCGGGGGGGCGGGCAGGCAGGAGGAGGAGGACAGGACACTGGCGCAGATGTAAAGTGCATGGCGTGTGGAGGCGTGGGACTACTCCCACAGGGTGACACTGACATGGAAACAAGTGACAGATTAGTAAATACAAGAGAATTCTGGGACAGCCACTGTGTGCAGCACCAGCTGCCTGATGAAGAGGCGCAGGTGTGACTGAGACACCAAGCTCCAGGCTCGTCTGCAGGGAAGAAGGGGCCATTCCCTGCAGTGCTGGGCAGGAGAGCTGCCTCAGAGGTGAAGAAATTATCTAAATTTCTCAAGTCTGCGTTAATGACATGGATATATCCTTCTGGACCTCTCCTAAGGACACAACACAATTTTGCTTTGTAGAAAAAAGATCTGGGACAGAGAGCAGATCAGATGAGAAAATGGGAAATGAAATTTGAGAACCTGGTGGTGGGGGGGGGGGACAGAGAAGGAAGCCACAGAGGCACAGGACAGAGCCACCCTGGGGGCTCAGCCTCAAGAAGGGGCGGGAGGCAGGAAAAGGAGGGCCATCACCCCAAGGGCAAGAAGGAGCCACAGTGGAAGACTGGGAGGAACTGCAACCGCTCTGCAGGGAGAGCTGGGAAGCTGGAATTTCATAACTAAGAAGGTGGAGGAGTTTGAAAAAGGGAAAGACTAAAGAACCCAGGAAGGGGAAAACTGGGCAAACAAGCATACGACGTAGAGGAAATAAAAAGGGATCATGCCCAGAAGAGACAAGGGGTGTGTCTGCCTCTGGACACCCAAAAAGAAGAGAGTTCCCACATGGGGGACGATACTTGGGGGCGCAGCTGCCCTCCCCTCAGAGCCCTCAAAGCCACCCCCCTCCTCCTCCCGCAGGATGTGGTCTCCACACCTGCCCCTGCTGTTCCTCACTCGAGCAGGCACCACCCTGCATTTCCCCTTCTCGTGTCCACGGGCATTCTCCCCCTTCCAACCCAGAGAGTGCATCAGGCCGGCAGGCTTGGTAACCCGGTCAGGGGACACAAGAGACGGAGACACAGTGAGGGCCGTGTGGTGCGGAACCCTCTATATAAGCAAGGCTGTTACCTCAGGTGAGATACTTACCTCTTGTGGACCAGAGAGGAGGCTGAGACTCCACCACCTCAGAGCACCACAGACACTCCAGAGCCTTCAGAAGCTGAGCGTGGAAAGACCACTGGCAGGACCCCTTGAGCGACACAGGGGTGCTGTCCTCACCCACGGACACCAGGTGGCTGTAGTTCTCCAGCATCACCTCCCGGTACAGGGCCTTCTGCGCGGGGGCCAGGAGCCGCCACTCCTCCTGGGTGAAGTGCACAGCCACATCGGCGAAGGTCAGCGGGGCCTGCACAGCACAGGGGGGAGTGAGAGGCCTTGTGAGGACACGGGCAGAACCTGACACGCCCCCTGCACATTGTACTCTATTAGCTACAACCAGGGGTCACTCTACTAGCTCTATGGCTTTTCAAACATATTCGAGAAGAAGCAAACCTAAAACAGTGTTGTGTGCCTGTCTGTTCGGTCGTGGATCCACTGGCTCAGCAGAAGGCCCTACAATGTGTAGAGGTGAAATATTCCTGTTAGCTGAGAAACAAGACATTCCTCTGGGCACACAGAGACTACAGACCACAGAGCTGGGTGGTGCAGAGTGTAACTGTCGTGCACGATGAGTGAGGATTCACAGCAGGACCACACTCTATTAGGATGAGGCTCAAGTCCAGAACTACACGATAATACCGGTTTCCTAAGTATATTTAATATGCTGAAAGGATGGGGGGAAGGGGGAAATGCACGCCAGGAGGTGTGAACCTAGGTCCTTGAGTGATGTCAACCAACATTACCTAAAAAATAATGTGAGGATCAGTTTAAAAAAAAAAAAAATAATGAGTAGGGCCTGCCCCGGTGGCGCAGTGGTTGAGCGCTGGGCTGTGAAGCTGCCCGCAGCCTCTGCAGCGCCGGTTCGATCCCCGGCTGCCGGTGAGGGTCCCACATGGTGCACAGACCTCTCCTGCTGGGCCTACTGCTCAGCAGTGTCCTCCGTCTGTCTGGTTGTTCTTCTTCCCGCTCTGGCTCTGGTGAATTCTCTCCCCCTCCCGCGCTTCTGACTGTACCCAGTGCTTGTATAAATAAATCTTTAAAAAAAAAAAAAAGAATAACAGAAACTGTCAAAACTGTTATAGAGCAAGACACTCAGAGGCTGTGACTGGCGATCCACAAATGTGAGAAAAATTAATCCACATACATATGAAAATAGGCACACGAGCGAGTATCTAATACGACAGAGATGGTAACACCCTCTGGCAGCCCAAGGCGACGGCCAGACCTCTCCTTGCACATAGTAAACCCGCAGCCAGAAAGGACAGTGACTTGTCTTTTGTTTTCTTTTTTAATTTGTTTATTTATATATATTTTACATCACTATTCTTTATTTTTTTAAAAGATTTTATTTATTTATGCATACAAGAGCTGGGGTGCAGTCCAGAGGTGTGGGGGGTGAGAGGATTCACCAGAGACAGAGCTGGGAGCAGAACAGGCAGACTGACTGAAACACCCTGCTGAGGGGAGCAGCGGGCGAGTCAGGAGAGGTTGCTGCGCCATGTAGGTCTCTCTCTGGGTGGGAATCGAAGTCGTGCTGCAGTGGCTGCTGATAGCTTCATAGGTTGTGCCTTAACCCCTTGCGCCACCAGGAAGCCCCCCACTGTTCATTTCCTAAGATAAAGGTCTGGAGCAACCACCAGGCCTGGCTCAACATGCCTTGTTCACGCTCCGCCTAGAGGCTGCATCAGTACCACGCTGGGGACTTGTTCATTGAAAGTCAGTTCAAAAGCACGCACCCCTCACACTGTCCTGGAGAGGCCTTGGACTCCTGACCACGTCACAGCCCACCCAGTGCTGCCCCCAGTTCCCCAAACGGATTCTTGCAGGGGCCTGCGAGGAAACCAAAACCGCACCAGTTTCTGCATTTATGGGCAGCTGCTTTTAAGGAACTGCCCCCTTCTACCCCCCATCACCTCCAGAGGAATAGAAACAGGTTCCCAGAGCAGAAACCAGCATGGGACCTACTCCCCCCTCCAAACCCAAAATCCCACATCAGGACGCAGCATTAACAACTCGGTTAACTTCTCTCAGGTCCTGCTGTCGAGGTGTCTACCCTTCAGCGCAGACAGCCCTTCTCTAGCGGCCTCTACAAGTCTAAGGGAGAACACAGAGAGGATAAAGCCCAGTGGACGTCACCTGCACCTCCATCACGCTCCAGCCTCAGAACCCGCTGTGCTGCTCCAGAGCGTGTGCTGTGGGTCTGCTCCACCTGCTGTCACAAATCTCAGTCTTCGGTCAAAGACTGATCCCCAGGTCCCGGGACTCTTCCTCCTCCCCAGGAGTCAAGACCTGTGGGTGCAAGAGAACCCCATGAGTGGCACATTCCCTCCAGCAGAGGCCACCCCACTCCCCAGCTCCGCCCTCAGTGTCCTGTGTGCCTACACACAGGTGAAAATAGGCACAACTAACAAATCATATGACCAACAGTTTGTTTTATGATGAAAGTAGGAGGAAAAGCCTGTACTTGTTACACAGATAGGATGGCAACTACCAGAGGAGCTGAGGAGGCCAAGTAACTGGGAGGGGCTCACAGAACACCCCTGGAGTGCAATGTTTCTTCACCTGGGCAGTAACTGTCTATACACATGTGGCTTTTTAAATAATAATTTGTAGATATTTTCAATTAACAAAGATACATGAGCTCAAAAATACAAAAAGCCTGTTTTGAAAAGACCAGCACAGTATACATATTTGCAGTTGCAGTGGCACAAAGGGTTAAGTCTCAGGACTAGCAAGCTATTGGCATCCTCCGCCAGGGAGCTACCCACACGGCGCAGCAGACCTCTCCTGTCTCCCTGCTGCTCCCCTCAGCAGTGGATTTCAGTAGCTCCACTTGTTCTGCTCCCCACTCTGTCTTTGATGAATCCTCTCACCCCCAGCACCCCTGGCCTGCACCCCAGCTCTTGTATTCATAAATTAAAAAATAAATCTTTAAAAAAAAAGTCATAATAGTAAGTATTAGTGAGAGAGAGCACTCTGGTAAAACACAGGGTTTTGGGTTTTTTTTTTTTTAAACTGAAAGAATACTGTGAAAATCTTTAAACTGTTAAATGTGAACAGCTGGATGAAGCCCCGAGCCCATGTTACCTGAGAGTACCCACGTTCATTTTAGGGGTTAGCAACAAGACAAAGATGCCCACTGCCACCCCACTTTCCACTTTCTATTGCAGACTTGAGTCCACAGGCTGAGATAGAAATGTTACAGACAACAGCAAGTGCAACACAAAACAAATGTTACTGTCAGAAAGCACCATTCACAGAGAAAAAAAATTTCAAGAAAGTACTGGCCGAAGGGGGTAATGCTCTCCCAGAATCTCAGATTTTACAAGGACGCATGGCTGGGTGGTGGGTGGCTTGGTGGGTAGCTGGTTGGCTGGTGGGTGGTTGGATGGGTGGCCAGGTGGTTGGGTGGTGAGTGGCTTGGTGGGTAGCTGGGTGGCTGGTGGGTGGCTGGGGGGTGGCCGGGCGGCTGGGTGGCGGGTAGCTGGGTGAATGGTGGGTGGTGGGTAGCTGGGTGAATGGTGGGTGGCGGGTAGCTGGGTGGTGGGTGCTGGTGGGCGGCTGGCTGGGTGGCAGGAGCACCATATACCTAATATCCATCTGAGCAATGGGAACTGGAACTACCTCGGCTGACGAAGGTCTACTGAAAAACAGCGACGAGTCGCCTCCCCAGGGCGCCCCGAGTGTACCCACTGGGCTCTGCCAGCGGCGCGCGCAGGTGGAGCGCGTCTCGCCCGCCCGCCACCCCCGAGGTGAGACTCCACCGGGGCGGCAACCGGCACCCCTCGCCAGCCGGGCAAGAACACCCCGGCCCCGCGACCCCGCACCTCACGACACCCCTCAACATTCCAGGCGCCCCCCACGGCGTCAGCAGCAGCCCCGCCCCCCACTTCAGGAGCCCCAGGGGATCCCCAAACCCGAGTCACTCACGTTTTCCCGGAGACACCACTGCACCCCGACGTGGGGACCAGGGCGACGACCCCTCAGGCGCCCCCAGCGCCGTCGGGACCCCGGGACTGCCAGCCCGCACGAGCGCGCGGGACCCCGAAAACACTTCAGGCGCCGCCGCCCCCGAAACGCCTCCAGCTCCGCGCCGCCGCCCGACTCCCCTCTTCCACGACGGGACCGAGCGCGCCCCGCGACCCAACACAAACCTCCACTTTCAAAACCGAACTTCGGGCCCCAACCGCGCACTGACTGACTCTCCTCACACCCGCCGGGCGCGACGCCGCTTTCCCGCGGGCTCCTGCGGGCGCCGGCGCGGCCCCGGGACCCAGCCAGCGCCTACGGCGGCCGCGGAGGACCAAAAGCCTGGAACTCACCGCCGACTTCGTTTCTCCTGCGGCCGCAGGAGGCAATATGTCTGCGCCCAGGGCGAGGGGCCTGGCGGCGGCCATGTTCAAAAACAGACGTACGGCAGCACCGGGACAGGTTTGGGCCCAGGGGCCAGAGGTGGGCAGCAGCGGGGAGAAGGCGCCACGGTGAGCACCTTTCTCAGCACCTGCGTACATTTTCAGAGTCGCTCGCGTCACAAGGCAAACACAGTCAAGCGGGCGGTGTGAGTTGTTTTCAGTCAGAGCTATGCAGAGGAAGTGTCCAAGGCCTATTAGCCAGTTAATGTCCACACTTAAGCGCTCACACGCACACGCGCCAACCAGGGGGGCCTGCAGAACACATTACAGAAAATTCATACAAAATCAACTCTCTGAAAATGGTACAATGAGGAATGTATCAAAAGGGAAAGGAGACATAACGGGCCAAGGAACCCACCAATCCTGGGGAAAAAAGGATTCTCAACAAATTCATCACCTAAGTCATGATCTAATAAAAGCTGTGTATCCAGAACACAGAGTTTCCGACCAGGCATGTGACTCAAGACCCACTCCTGCCCACTGCCAAGTTTGCCTCAGCCCTGAGTCACTGAGGGTACAAGGAGTCAGAGGGAGAAGGGTCCCTATTTGGAACCTAAGGAAACTGAGGGTGGGAGCACCTGACATGTGTGCTGGGCCCTTTGTCCTGGGGCGTCAAGTTCTGAATGGTAGATTTAGCACGTGGCCCCCAGGGCGTAGAGAGCCAGGGCAATCCATCTGGGGTCTGACCAGCCCCAGCAACCTGCTCACTTGGCCACCCAGAGCAGGGCGCGCACACACACACACACACACACAATAGGAGACATGAGACCTGCACAGTGGGGTCCCTTGGGACAGAGTCCATGTGGGAGAGATCTGCTTGTGTCATTCTACTTTAAAGTGAGTGTGATGATGGGGATTTCAGACGAAGGTTTTCAAATATAAGTGGGTTTCAGGCTTGGGTCCAAAATACAGTGTCCTGGGTTTCAGTGCAGATTCTGGATCAGCAGGTCTCAGAAATTTGACTCAGAAATTTGCATGCAGGTGTTTCTCAGACTTGGGACAGGATGCCGCTATAGATCATTGGAAACAGCCGTGGAATGTTCTCTGGTGACAGATGATTTAAGTGGGAGAGTCCAGTGTTCCTCATTCTTGTTCAGATCTTCAGACCAGAATAGCCTTGGATGGGACAGCATGATTCCCCCACTACTATTTACACAACATGATACATCATTATCTATTCCTAGGCTTTTTCTTCTAGAACAATTTAGAATTCATTTGTCTCTCCCTCACCACAGTGAAAGGTCCAGCAAAGCTGTTCTCAGCTGTTTTGGTCACTGAAGGCCCCTCAGTGTGAATTGCTGTGTTTGGCTTAGGATAGTGCTCTACCGTGGATGTGAATTACCTCACCTGTGGTTTCAGGATGAACCGAGACAGCCACAGCATGGCCAGTTCCCAGTACTTTTTCTGTGAGAAAGACATGGACAGGTGACTTGGACAAGAGGATTAACCGTAGGAGAGAAATGAGGAAAAACAATCTGGATAGAGACAGGCCAGTTTCTCTCTCCCAGGAGAATGGAAAAAAAAAAGAGAGAAAGCAGATGTTTTAATTCAGCAGCTACCAGTGGAGCTGGTGTCTCTGAAATGATGGCAGCTGTCAGTGAGAGGCCAGAGGCCAGGAGACAACGCAAAGTCTTATTCAAAGCCAGCCCCTGGGGGTGGGGGGGTCGTCTCATCTGCCATCTCCTCGGCTCCCCTCCATTTATAAAGACTAAGATTCTTGTCCTCCTTTGTTATCATTCCTTTCCTGCTCTGCCCAATTTATACCGTTAAATGTGTAATTACACACTTTTGAGAGAGACAATGTGTTCTTGACCTGCCTTTCCATGCCTGTCTCTCAATGTACTCATTAGTCTTGAAGCAATTTTTTGTATATGCTAGGAAGTGTTTCTTTTCCTCCAAATCCATATATTTAAACTCAATTCCAAATGTGACATTAAGAGGTGAGGCCTTAGGGAGGTGACTGTCATGAGGGTGGAGCCCACAACAAGGGAGTATTTTCCTCACGGTAGACAAAGCAGAGAGCAACCTGGACATTTCCCCAGGTGAGGACATGAGGGTGGGTGTTTTTTATGAACCAAGATACAATGAACATCAGCTGATGTAATGAACATCAGCAGCTGGGGCTTTATAGACTCCCTGACTAAAACGAGATTAACATACTTTTGATTTTACAAAGCACCCATTCCAGGGGATTCTCTTGTAGCAACACAACGATCTAAGCAAGTGTCTATTTCACCTAGTGAAGACAGCTACATTCTAAACTCCATGAGCAGGGGTGTAAATGGATCACTGGAACACCCAACCACCCCACTTCTCTCCTCAGGACCACAGGCCTATTGTTCTGCTCCCCACTGAGTCTCGGGTTCCTGAACAGGACCAGGCACAAAGGTGGAACTGACAACTACTTGGGAAATTATGGAGTGACCCATCTAAGGCTGCTGTTTCATAAGTCCCTTTGCAAACTATAAATACCTAGTTCTAGGGTAGACATTCCAGTTTTCAGTTAAACTTCACCTTGTACAGGAAAGCAGAATTGTTATAAACATGTCTTACTTCACACAACTGCAATATAAGCCACATGTAGTTTTGCATTCAACCAACATTCCTCATACTGATTACATCGTATGTTTTAAAAATTCACATACTTATTTCCTGCATATAGATGAAATCAGGCTTCTTCATTTAATTGGCACAAAAGCAAAGCCTGTGCATATTTGGATTAACATCAACTATTATCTTAACAATGTATATAATTCATGAGATGAGAAGAGCAGGTTTCCCAGATGCAGTGCCTCTGATTTTATATGTATCCAGCAATATGAGCTAGGAAGTTACAGTAAACACTACCACAGCGGTCTCTGAGTTTCTTCCCTCTGGTTTTCTGTGACATAAAATAAGATGTAATTGATGACTGAAGGCACAACCACATTCACTGCATTTGTATGGTTTCTGTCCTGTGCAAACCCACTGATGTCTCCTGAGGGTGCACCGCTGGCCACAGGCTGTCTCATTAGGACCACATTCCTGTCTGCCAGGAGCCCAGTGATGTTTATTGATGTCTCAGGGGTCACAGAAGACACTGGCATAGTCACCGAATTAACAAGGGCTTTTTTTGTCAGGACAACACTGCTCTGGGCTGGGTTATGCCTCTCAGTAGGAGGATTTTCCACCTTGACTGAATCGCCACACTTTTCTCTAGTGTGTACTCTCTTATGTTTCACGAGGCAAGACATGTAGGCAAAAGCTTTCCCACACTCACTGCAGATATAGGGTCTCTCTCCTGTATGCATTCTTTGATGGACAATGAGCTTTTGCTTTGTGGTGAAGGCCTTCCCACATTCGCTACATTCATAGGGTTTCTCTCCTGTGTGGATTCTTTGATGTTTTATGAGACCTGACTTCTGGGAACAGGATCTTCCACAAACATTGCACACAAAAGGAGTCTTCCCTGTGTGAAATCTCTGATGTGCTATGAGGCATGTCTTCTGGATGAAGCCTTTTCCACATTCACTACATATAAAAGGTTTCTCTCCTGTATGAATCCGCTGATGCACAATGAGATTTCCCTTCTGGATGAAGCTTTTCCCACATTCACTACATATATATGGTTTCTCTCCTGTATGTGTTTTATGATGTATATTGAGCCGTGATTTCTTGAGAAAGGCTTTACCACATTCACTACACTCATAAGGTTTTTCTCCAGTATGCGTTCTCTGGTGTTCAGTGAGCATGAACTTTCTGGAGAATGCTTTCCCACACACACTGCATCGATGGGGTTTCTCTCCTGTGTGAATGATTTGGTGATCAGTAAGCCAAGACTTCTTTATGAAGGCTTTCCCACATTCCCTGCATATATGAGGTTTCTTTATTTTTTGAGTTTCCTGATGCTTGAACATTTGAAATTTAGTGCCGATGAGTTTTTGGCTTCCAGGGAGGTTAATTTCAGGCTGACACTGTTCATGGTTAGCAAGGAGAAAGGACTCCCTATCTCCAGTAAGCTGAGTAGCATTCTTTATTTCACAGTTTTTGCTCTGTTTAACTGAAGTTAAATCTGCTTTCGTACTTTTTCTATGTAAGTCAAACAGATCATGGTTTTCCCTAAACACAAAGTGATTTCTGCTCCGATGAATAGTATTTTCAAATGTGCTATGTTCCTGCCATGGCTCTAAACTGTTTTCCATGCTCTCCTTTACTACGTGCTCTGGCAGGTGATCATCGATTTTTGAGATATCTATGAAAGAAAAGAACAATAAGTTCTTATGTCATTCTGACTTGGTGCAAAGGTATTTTTAAAACCAAACTAATCAGGTTTCTTTCTACTGATGAGTCTATTAGATAAGTGTTATTAGAATTCCATGCTTGTGTGTGTTTCTTGCACATTGGGAAAAAACAGTAATATAAACAAAATAAAGAATGAAAGCAATTAGTATATAAGGAAGTACAGACAATTCCCAATCAATAAGTATGGATGTTGTTTCTGAACACAGCTTTACAAAGCACACAGAGATGGTAACACATAAGCAGGGTACTGGATTGCTGACCAGAAGTTGGATGTTTTCCCTATCCGAACTACTGAAGCTTCAGCCGTTCAGCTACGAAAGTGCCAGGCAGTTTAACTGCCAAAGGCTCAGCAGTTACCTGCCAAGAGCCGAGCTCCACCACATTTCTCATCAGTTCCTGCTCAAGAGATGGAGTCCGGGACACTCCGCCTTCTATCAGCATTTGGCTGTGAGCATCACCAAGTTTCTCAGAGGTCACTTCCTGTTCCTCAAACATTCTCTAACTTCAGTGCACTCCTCCTTAATGGTGTCTGATGGTCATATATATATATATATATATATATATATATATATGTATATTTTTTTTAAAAAATTTAATTATTTATACAAGAACTGGGGTACAGGTCAGAGGCGCAGAAGGGTGAGAGAATTCACCAAAGACAGAGTGGGGAGCAGAACAGGCACACGGAACGAAGATACTGCTGAGGGGAGTAGGAGAGGTGAGGCAGGAGAGGTCTGCTGCGCCATGTGGGTATCTCCCTGGCGGGCTGGGAATCGAACCTGCATCACAGAGGCTGTGGACAGCTTCACAGCGTGGTGCTCAACCCAGTGCGCCACCAGGGAGGCCCCATGTATATTTTTTCATCACAAAAGATATTTTGCCATCCTAAGTTCTCTGTTTCAGGTTAAAGCATGTAACTCAGGCCTACTTCAAATAAACTCCTCTGTGTATTTACTAATTTTTATCTTTTTTCCAGTTTATTATAGATGTTACTACTGTATCCACTTCCTGAAAGCTTTTGATTTTTTCCCATTTGTATCAGACAAGGTACCCAATTTGGCCAAAGGAGCTACTCTGGTGGCATAGCGTCCCCTCATCTCCAGGAACCCATGGACGGATGAAATGAACAGGGGCAAACTTCTATAAGTTAGAAACAGGTCCTCCATGGTGGCACAGGGGGTGAAGACGCAACCTATGAAGCTCACTGCAACACGAGTTTGATCCCCATCCAGGGAGGTGACCCACAGGATGCAGCAGATCTCTCCTGTCTCCCTGCTGCTCCCCTCAGCAGTGTATTTCAGTCAATCTTCCTGTTCTGTTCCCTACTCTGTCTCTGGTGAATCCTCTCACCCTCCCACACCTCTGGCCTGTACCCCAGTTCTTATATGCACAAATAAATCTTAAAAAAAAATAATTAAAACCAAATCCTGCCACATGTCCAGCAGACCCCAGAGTCATTCCAACTGTATGTGCCTGACGAACAAGGAGCAGCTTGGTGTGTTGATCCAGTTATTAGGATACCTGGGCAGGGAGCAGCAGTCAAAAGTGGAAGGTAGAATTTCGTACCTAGGCAAGTGGAAGAGTTTGAAAAGGGAAGACTGGAAAACCCCAGAAGAGAAAACAAGCAAAATTTAGATGAAATAAAAAGGAATTAGGCCCAGAAGAAAAACATGGGTGTGCTGGTCTCTAGACTCCCACAAAGAAAAGAGATCCCCACAGGAGATGTGGGGAGATGCATGGTATAGCTCTCCCCTCAGAGCCCTGGCAGCTGCACCCCCTCTTCTGTCCTCAGGATGCGGCCTCCACACCTGCTCCTGCTGCTCCTCACTCACCTGAGCAGGTGCTGCCCTGCGTTTCTCCTTCCCATGTCCACGGGCGCTCTCCCCCTTCCACCCTAGAGAACGTATCAGGCTGGCGGGCTTGGTAACCTGGTCAGGGGACACGAGAGACAGAGACGCAGTAAGGGGCCTGGGGTGGGGGACCACAGGATGTTCTAATAAGGAAAAATAATTCTCACCACTAAGAAAAAAGGCTTTTCTCCCAGGAGGAGAAGAGAACAGCCCTTCTCAGGAGCAGAAGGGGACTGAGACCCTCCCCCTCATAGCACCCACACTCCAGAGCCTTCCCAGGCCCAGCAGGAAAGGCCCTGCCGGCCCTCGGGCCAGGGCCCATCCTCACCCACGGACACCAGGTGGCTGTAGGTCTCCAGCATCACCTCCCGGTACAGGGCCTTCTGCGCGGGGGCCAGGAGCCGCCACTCCTCCGGGGTGAAGCCCACGGCCACATCGGCGAAGGTCAGCGGGGCCTGCACAGCACAGGGGGCGTGAGAGGCCTTGTGAGGACACGGGCAAAACCTGACACGTTCCCTGCACCTTTTGCTGTGTCATCCACATTGAATCATCCAGAGGGCTTTTGTTTTATGTTTTGGAGGAAGTAAATAAGCCATCGTATGATAATAAATCTACAACGTGCATTCAGACATGCATCCACAGATTTCAGTGTAAGTTTCTGTAATTTCTAGACCTTGAGCCCACATGGTAATCCAGAAACTAGATATCCACAAGGTTATGGTCATCACCACTCAGCTGTTGATTCAAACCCTCACCTTCTGCTTCCACGAGTGTCCTTTGACTCCTGGCCGCCTCACACCCCACAGGACTGAACTCACCCGCCACTGCCCCCCTTTTCCCTGAGTGGATCCCTGCAGGAGCCTGAGAGGAATGCCCCCAAACCCCTGCAGGCACCGGCTTCTGCATTTATTGGCAGCTGTTCTTCAGGACCCTCCTCCCCAATCACCTGCAGAGGAATAGAAACAAGTTCCCAGAGCAGAGACCAGGAGGGGCCTACCTCCCCCTCCAAACCCGAAATCCCACATCAGGGACGCTCCTCACGGGGCTGATGTCAGAGACATCAGATGCACCAGCAGCGACTACCCCACTGTGACCTCACGCTCACCCCCAATTCTGCCTCCGGTCACACGCTCCATGATGCAGCGTTAACAACTCGGTTAATTTCTCTCAGATCCTGCTGTGGAGGTGTCTACTCTTCAGCACTATCATTTCTCAAGAGGCCTCTAGAATTACGGTCACCCACAGGGCAGGTGCTGGGTCTGGAGGGGAAGGCCTGCTCTCTGCTGCTCCCCTGGGCGGGGGGTGGGGGGGGTGGATTTATTCCCTGTGTACCCGAGCCTGTGCTGGGAACCTTCATTTCTCCTTGAATCTCGGGTCTTAGTCCTGGGACGCAACAAAATAAACATGGAATAAACAAAAGAAGAAAACAAAGCAAAGGCACCTCCATCACTCTCCAGCCTCAGAACCCGCCGCCCGAGCTGCCCTGAAGCGTGTCCTCTGGATCTGCTCCACCTGCTGCCCCGAATCGCAGTCTTCGGTCAAAGGCTGATCCCCAGGTCCCAAAATTCTTCCTCCCTCCCAGGAGTCAGGCCCTGCGGGTGCAGGAAAATCCCATGATCGGCACATTCCTGACCAGGGCAGGTGGGAATAAATGTAATAGGGAGGAGGCCCTCAGAACACCACCGGGGTACTTTAGTATTTTTTCTTGATATAGTCAACATTGGACATTTTAAGGGGCCTACAATTCAACTTAATTTTGACATGATCTACCGGGAGGCACCATCAGATCCCACAAGTGAAGGGATCACTCTGATGGGGACAGCCCTATTTGACACAAATGCAATTTGGGTGTTACTGGTTCTCACCTGCCAGCTCTCCCAGTAGCAGCCCTCCCTCATCGCATTGGCTCACAGTCTGGAAACAATTTCCCCCAGAAGACATCTGAGATGAGGGTGCAAAAATGAGGGCAGGGAAGGCCACGTGGAGACACCTTCTGTGGCATATTCTGCAACACTGCGTAGATAGCCGCGGAATACACTTGCTTTACCTCGCACAGACCAGAGAAGAAAAAACATACTCCTACGGAAAAACACATAACTCAGTCTGATCATAGTCCTGGGCAGGATCATACTATGGTCCTGAGCAAAGAAAGCCTGACATTAAAAATTGCAAAACATAAAATAAGCTTAAAAACTCGTTCTGAGTGCATGATGTACAATGGCATTCATGCAAGACAAAATACAGGAGCAACTAAGAAAACTCCAGTAATCAGAAATGATTCTCGGATGATAAAGAACAACAACAACAAAAAAAAAACAAACAAAAAACAGGCTTGCGACACAGGATCTTAATTCCCTGAGGTGGGGGGAGGGAAGTGACTGAAACTTCATCTTATTTCAAGATAATTCAATCTGAGCCTCGGGGAACTCCAACCACCATGATGGAAGGACACCAGAACTTCCTAACAGGCCCCTTCCAGATGGGTGGACACCAAATAAAATGAAGGCTGCGTTAGAAAAGGACAAAGTGGGGGTGGCATGTTGACAGGTGGGGAGGGCATGGAGGGAAGGGCGCGTTTTCTGCAGACAGAGACACGGTGGGCCTCTGGGGCCACAGCAGCGTCATCACGCGTGCAAAATCATCCACACCCCATATAGGACGCGGGACGTCGCGGATGAGTCCCCCTCTGGGAGCCCAGATAAAGTTGAAGAGTCGCTTCCCTACGACCCCGCGGGGAGCCCCAACTCCGCCCCAGCCGGGGGTGCGGACGTCCTCACGACCCTCACTTCACCTCTTATCACCCCAGAACCCACGCACGGCCTCGGCAGCAGCCCCGCCCCAACAACCCCCTACCCCAGGAGCCCCTGGGGTGGTCCCCAAACCCAAGTCACCCACGTTTCCCCGGAGACACCGCTGCATCCTGACGTGGAGACCAAGACGATGACCTCGACGGCCTCCAGCGCCGTTGGGACCCCGGAACCCAGCCCCGCACACGAGCGTCCGGGTCCCGGCAAATCCCGGGCAGGCGCTGTCCACCGACTCCTCCGATCCCACGTCCGGACCAACGCGGCCCCGGTCTCCGCGTCCCAACACAAACCTCCACTTTCAAAACCCAACTTCGGGCCCCAACCCGCGCACTAACTTTCCCGACACCGACCCGTGGGGCCGAACTCTGCTTTCCCGCGGGTTCCTGTAGCCGCCCGCCCGGCCGGGGATCCAGGCGGCGCCTACGGCGGCCGCGGAGGACAAAAGTCCTGGAACGCCCCGCTGACGGCGTTTCCCGCGGGGCCCCAGGAGACAATATGTCTGCGCCCAGAGCGCGCAGCCTGGCGGCGGCCATGTTCACAAACGGACGTACGGAAACGCGGGGACAGGTTTGGGGCCAGGGGCCAGAGGTGGGCAGCAGCGGGGAGAAGGCGCCACGGTGAGCACCTTTCTCAGCACCTGCGTACATTTTCAGAGTCGCTCGCGTCACAAGGCAAACACGGGCGGTATGAGTTGTTTTCATCCAGAGCTATGCAGAAAAACTGTCCAAGGCCTGTTAGCCAGTTAATATTCGTACATGAGCGCTCACACGCACACGCGCCAACCCACGCCAGCTAGGGGGTCTACACAACAGTGTGAATCATTTAGGGTTTCAGGATGACCCGAGACAGCACGGCGTGGCCAGTTCCCAGTGCTTTTCCTGTGAACAAGACATGAACAGGTCACCAGGAGAAGTGCACTAACTACAGGAGAAATGAGGAAAAATAAGTCGGAGTCAGGCCTGCGTCTCCCTCTCCTAGGAGAAAGAAAAAGGAAGCAAAAGCACATTCTCAGGACAGCAGCTACCGGTGGAGCTCGAGCTTGGAAAGGGTGGCCACGGTCAGGGGTGAGGGGATGAGGAAAAACAAAGGCATTTTCAAGGCCAACCCTCAGGTATCTCACCACCACCTCCTCTGTTCTCCATTCCTAGAGACTAAGATTCTTGTCCTCCTTTTTATTTATCATGAGAATTTCATTTCTGCTCTGCTCACTTTTTTTTTAAGATTTATTTATTGGGTCTCCCTGGTAGCACAAGGGCTTAAGACACAGCACTATGAAGCTAACCGCAACCACTGCAGCATGAGATGGATACCTGGCCAGGGAGTTACCCACATGGCGCAGCAGACCTCTCCTGCCTCACCCGCTGCTCCAGTCAACAGTGGAATTCAGTCAATCCACCTGTTCTGCTCAACTCTGTCTGTGGTGAATCCTCTCACCCCCCTCCACACACCTCTGGCCTGTACCCTGGTTCTTATATGCATACTTAAAAAAAAAACAACTCTTTAAAAAATTTATTTATGCATATAAGAACTGGTGTGTAGGCTACTGGTGCGGGGTGAGAGGATTCACCACAGAGTGGGGAGCAGAACAGGCGGATCAACTGAAATACACTGCTGAGGGGAGCAGTGGGGGAGAAAGGAGAGGTCGGCTGCACCATGTGGGTTGCTTCCGGGCAGGCAGGATGGAACTCATGCTGCTCTGGCTGGCCATAGCTTGATAGTGCTGTGTAAATCCTGTGCCACCAGGGAGCTCTGCCCATTTTAGACTGTTATTCAATCTGTGATCATACCCTGTGGGGGAGACCATCTGTGACTGAAAATGCTTCCCACAGCTCATTCCCCAAAGGATAAAGTCTTGTATCCAATTCATTCACTTTCCAGACCAGTATGTAACTTCATCTGTGCTCAGAAATACACCATTTAGCCAGCGCTGTGATGGAAGTCTCTGGACACCGAGAATGACATCAGTTTGTCTGCCTGCCTCCTTTTCAGCCTCAACAGCTAGAGGTGGCTGCTTGTTTGTGCTGTTTGGGGGCACAGACCCCTATCTTGAGGATTACCTAGTTCTTGAAATTGGCCTACTGAAAACGAGGACCTTAAATTTTAAGATTTAAAGTAGTGAAAAAAATGATTAGACAGGACACGTGCTCTCACAAAGCAACTCCCATGTTAAGGGGCTTCAGGTGGCAAAGAGGCCCCTTCCAGCGCCTGGAATTACCGGACTCCGGAACAAGAAACCCTAGTGCCTTGGAGTGATTTTCCTGTTCTGTTAAGAAATGAATGATTGTTATCCCCAAATTCTTAGCTTGAAACTTAATCCCAAGTATAATCTTAGAGAGGTGACTAGGTCACGAGGGTGGACCCAACTGCAACCTCCTAAAAGAAACGGCTATGAGCTCGCTGCCTGCTTGCACCGGAGGAGGACACAGTGTGATTCTTCCATGACCCAGGAGATAGGACTTGAAACATCCCATCCCTGGAACTGTGATCCTGGACTTTCCAGCCCCCACACCCAGCACGCCCGGCCTTGGAGGTCTTGCAGCAACCACTACCCTCTGGGAGAGCAGAGCATCTGCTTCTCTGGTGGGGTCCCCAGTGTCTCGGAGAGCGGCCTCGGACAGACTCCACCCCACTGCTCCCCTCCAGCCTGGGTCTTCTTGTTTTGCTCCCACTGAATCCTTCACTCCTGCCTCCTTTTCAGCCTGAGCAGCTACAGAGGCGGCTGTTTATCTGCGCTGTTTGGGGGCAAAGACCCCTGTCTTTAGGACCACCTAGTTCTTGAAATTGGCCTACTGAAAACGAGGACCTTAAATTTTAAAATTTAAGTGGTGAAAAAATGATCAGACAGGACACGTGCCCTCACAAAGCAACTGTGTGCTAAGGGGCGCACAAAGGTATATTTGACAAAAGTGGATCAATAAATGAAGGGACTGACAGCCTAAGGCTGTTGTGCAAGTGCCTCGTGTAACACCGTCTCCAAAGGTTACGGCAGATGCTGCAGTTTCCCACAAAACCTCCTGAACAGGAGGAACAGAATTGACAGTAACATCCTCATAGCCCAGCAATGAGTATTTTGCCTTTTTGGTTGTTCCTTCAATACAACATTCCACATATAGATTATAGATTTATAAAACTGACTCAATGATTTCTTCAACAGAGAACTCAGGGACCCTTTATTCACTTAACAGATACAGTGGAGGAAATGATGCACATTCGGGTTAATGTCAACTGTAACCTGGACAGCAACATATTTATTTCCAAAGATGAGAAGAGCAGGCTTTCCCAGATGCAGCATGTAAACCGTTTCTCTGAGTTAACACTTTCGAGACTGAACATGAGCTAAGAGGTGGGGGTAAACACTTTTCCACAAAGACCTCAGTGCCTGCCTACTGGCTTCCTGGGACGTAAAGAAAGACATAATTGATCGCTGAAGGCACAACCACGCTCACTGCATTCTTCAGGTTTCCGACCTGAGCAAACCCGCTGTTGAGTCCTGCGGGGGCAACTCTGGCCACAGGCTGGCCCACTAGGACCACATTCCTGTCTGCCAGGAGCCCAGGGATATTAAATGATGTCCCAGGGGCCACAGAAGCCACAGGCACCGTCACCGGGATCACAGATGACACCGGCATGGTGACGGAATTAACATGGGTGTTCTTAGTCAGGGCCACACTGGCCTGGGGTGGGCTGTGTCGTGTCGTGGGGCGACTGTCCACCTTGGCTGAATCCCCACCTTTCTCTCTGGTGTGCACTCTCTTATGCTTCAGAAGCCAAGACATGAGAACGAACGTTTTCCCACATTCACTGCAGGTATAGGGTCTTTTGCTTTTATGACTGACTTGATGGCTAATGAAGTCATTTTTCACACAAAAGGTTTTTCCACACTCATTGCATATATGTGGTTTCTCGCCTCCATTATTCTGCTGATGTGCGATGAGGTCTGGCCGCGTGATGAAGCGCTTCCCACACTGACTGCACATAAAAGGCTTCTTGCCCGCATGAATCCGCATGTGCACCTTGCAATTCCCCTTGGACATGAAGCCTTTCCCACAGCAGCCACAGAGGAAAGGCTTCTCTCCCGTGTGACTCCACATGTGCACCTTGCAACTGCCCTTGTAGAGGAAGCCCCTCCCACAAACACCACATACAAAAGGTTTGGCTCCTGAATGAGACCGCATGTGCACCGTGTAACTGCCCTTGTAGACAAAGGTTTTCCAACAAACACTGCATTCAAAAGGCTTCTCTCCTGCGTGTGTTTTCTGATGTGCACTGAGCAGTGACTTCCTGATATAGGCTTTGCCGCAGTCAGTGCATTTGTAAGGTTTCTCCCCGGTATGAGTCCTCTGGTGTATAGTGAAAAGGAACTCTCTGAAAAAAGCTCTTCCACATTCCTTGCACACAAGAGGTTTCTTGATTTTTCGAGTATTCTGAGGATTGACGAATTGTGACTTAGAAATAACTCTGCAGTTTTCAGGGAGTTTAATTTCAGGTTGACGCCGTTCCTGGGGAGTATGGAGGACGGAGCCTCCATCTCCTGTAAGCTCAGCAGCATTCTTCACATCACCACTTCTGGTCTGAGTCACTGAAGTTAAATCTGAGCTCACAGTTTTTCTATGTGAGCCGAGCAGACCAGGATTCTCCCCTAAAGCAAGATCCATGCTCGGCTGAGCAGTACCTGTCTTTGTGATGTGTTCACGGCACTGTCCCAGGCTGCTCTCCAAGCTCTCATTTTGTAAGGGCTCCTGCAAATAAGCTTCTGTTTTCGAGGTTTCTGGAAGGAAAAAAACAATGATTTTTACAAAATCTTTATATCATAAAAATATAGACTTTTTAAAAATTTTATTATTTTTTTAAAAATATTTATTTGTAGAAGAAGTGGGGTGTAGGCCAGAGATGCAGGGGGGTGAGAGGATTCCCCAGAGACAGAGTGAAGAGCAGAACAGGTAGATCTGCTAAAATACACTGCTGAGGGGAGGAGCAGGGAGACAGGAGAGATCTGCTGCGCCATGTGGGTAGCTCCCTGGCCGGGGATTGAACTCGTGCTGCAGAGGCTGCAGATAGCTTCTCAGTGCTGTGCTTAACCCCTGTGCCACCAGGGAGGCCCAGCAAAACCTCTTCAAAGGGCAGATACAGAACCAGGGAGGAGCTGCAGGTGGTGAAACCTGGATGGAAGGAGACTGGGGCGGAGAGAGATGGAGGAGACAGGGTGAGCTGCCTCACAGCCAACTCAATGGACTCTACCCCTGAATGGGCACTTTTGGCAGTCAAGCCCCTAGTGAACCCTCTAACTGGCCACCTGTGGCTTTAGCTTGGGCCTCAGTCTGTGCCAGCAGCACCCATCTGGGGAGACAGCAGACTTCTGGTCTTGCACTGGTCTGCATTCTCTCTCAGCACTCACCCTCAGCTCTTCGTGTTAATTCCTTCTAAAGTAGATCTGATTGTTGTTTCGACACATGTGCTGCCTTCAGGTCAAGTCCCGTATCCTAAGCTCAGTTGTGCGGATCCACCAACCATATCAACCCGGTACCCCCCGGTGCCTTCACTGAATTGCCCTCTCCTGAAACCCCTCACAACGTGCCACCTTCTCTCACCCAGCAACTTCCCCTGCTGCTTCTCTTACTCACCTGAGAGGGAATCACAGGGCACATCCACTTCCGGTGTCCATGGCAGCTCGCCTCCTTCCAGTCTGCAGAGCCACTCCGGCGGGCGGGCTCGGTAACCTGGTCACGGGCACAACAGTGGGCCCAGGATGTGTGGGGGCCACAGATGGTACATGTGAGCACAAAACAAGGTTGACACCCACAGAAGAACCAATCCCTGCTGTCTCCCTCTGCTGTCAAAACCCAGCACCGCTTCCTGGCTGACACCACCTGGCGCCAGGGTGGGGACGGGCCTGAACCCATGACAGGTGGCTTCTCCACACGCACCGGTTCTGTGACACCAGGGGACACGGAGAGTGTGTCCCACAATGTAACTCGGTTTTCACAATCATCACCTGGAACAACATCAGAATCACAGGGAGGGGTTCAACCCCCAAGGCTCTCCCACCCAAGTGGGGCTGATGGGCAGAGCGGGAAGCTGGGCCCTGGGCCAGGTAAACTGCTGAGGCTTCTGGCAGCTGACCTGCTGGGGCTGCCTCAGTAAAAGTACAGTGAGGAGGGGGTTCTGGGGAAAAGCCATCCGCTCCCTGCTTGGACCCAGGTCTCTGATCAGTGGAGGCATGGGGGGGAGTGGGGAACAGAGGGCATCTTATCATCAGCCAGCCTGTGCAATCTCTCTCTGTCCCTGTTTAAATAAGTACTGTGGTTTCACAACATGCATCTTTAAGCTTTGGGGCCTTTTCCTGCCATCACGAGCTGCTGCAGAGGGCCTTGCTGCCCCAGCCAGATGAGACACTGACAAGCAGCTAAGAAAAAGGGCCTCACACCATGGGCTGAAGCTCAAAGAGCCTCACACCGTGGGGCTGAAGAAAAAGGGCCTCACACCGTGGGGCCGAAAATTTCCAAAGAGCCTCACACTGTGGGGCTGAAGATTCCTTGTGCCTCATACCAAGGGGCTGAAGATTAATCTATAACCTATAAACATCCCTTTGTTTTTTGTTCTTGGTCATATAAGAAAAAACTTCTCGGAAAGTACCTTGGGCAATAAATTATATGTATAGAATACTGTAAGTAAATGGCACAAAGAAATACCTGCTTAAAAATTAAACACTGTAAATTTGGCCTGCCTGACAATGGGAAAGAATTTTTTAAACATGAACATGCCTGACAAGCAATCTAGGACATTTATAGTAATTCCTTCTTTTGCTTTTTAGAAAGCAAAACTTAGGAAAGTATTTAAATGAAGTTAATTGTGTTAAAAAGTTTCTAAGTAGAAAAAGTTCTGTTAGCTGAGTAGCAGCTGGTCTCCGGCTGAAGGCCATATGAATAGAAAAGTCTTTTGATGCTTAGGCTTTAGCTGATAGGGGTGTACCGACGGCTATCAGCTGTCTTAGGTAATTGTCAAGCTGAAATAATGAGTTTAGTGTAAGGCTTAGTTTTTTATCTATTAACCTGGAAGGTTGCCCTCTTGCTGAGAGCACGTAGCAGCCGAAAGTCTACGGGAAAAGAAGGCACTGATTGTTTCTGCTTTGCTTCCATGCCTATGATGATGTCATCTCATTGCTTGCAAAAAATGAGTAAATAAAGACCTGCTGAGGCCCTCAGCAGAAAATACTTGCACCTCATCGAGTGTCAGTGTCTCCTCACTACCTCACCCCCTTCCCTTCAGCCCTTAAAGTTTTGCCCAGGCCATCTCATCCTTTCAGGGACACCTGACACGACATTTTGCTGAGAGTGGTTGTCGGCAATGAGCTACAGCTAAGGATCCACCAAAGGCCCAACCCCGGCCCCCATGTTTGTGTGGTGTCACTAGAAGGTGTGTGGAAGGAGCACAGAAGGTCCAAGATCTGACTGGATACTCCACTCCCCCAGCACCTCTCGGGGTTCCACAATTCAAGTGGTTCCTGATCTTGGTTTCTGGGTTGTCTGGAAACTTCACTAAGCAGCCAGGATCGATGAGATCATCACCTGTGTGTGACCAGGGTGCTGATTCACCCTCTACCCTCCTCAGACCACTGAGAGTCCCATCCCTCTAAACATGGTAGGTCCCCAGGTGGTAGTCACCAGCCTGAGGTGAGCTGAGGCCCCTGAAATCCTCCTCACCTCAACCCGGAGGTAGGTGAGAGGGGTTTGTTGTGAATAAGGAAAGACACCATTTCATCCTCCTCCTCTTACCACATGAGAAAAGGGGGTGCAGGGCCTGCATCAGACCGGACATGACGGCCACCCAGGCATAGACACTTCCTGATATCAATTGCTCACGTCCATGCAAGAAAGGCTTTTCTCTCAGGAGAACAGAACATCCCTTACAAGGACCCAGAAGGGGACTGAGACCCTCCCCCTCACAGCACCCCACTCCAGAGCCTTCCCAGGCCCAGCAGGAAAGGCCCTGCCGGCCCTCGGGCCACAGCCCATCCTCACCCACGGACACCAGGTGGCTGTAGTTTTCCAGCATCACCTCCCGGTACAGGGCCTTCTGCGCAGGGGCCAGGAGCCGCCACTCCTCCGGGGTGAAGCGCACGGCCACATCGGCAAAGATCAGCAGGGCCTGTCACAGCACAGGGGGCGTGAGAGAGGCCTCGTGAGGGGCCTTTTTACTCTACCACACAGTCCACATCTACAGGGCCAGTGGGATTTATTCTCATATGTCATGGAGGAGGCAAAAATTAGATGATGAGTAAGAATAATGGAGTCACTGTGCATTTGGTCACACGCCCACACTTTCATTCTAAGTTTCCATATTTATAAAGTTTCCAATTTATAAAGTTAATGCATCTTATTAAGTTAGAAACTGGTGGTCATGTATCTTTGCATCTATATATTTCTCATCAGTGACAGCTTTATAGTGACGAGTTCGTGGCAGTATCAGAATTTGCTGTGCTGTGAGGGCCTCAAGCCCAGCACTGCATGAAAAGACATGGTTAACGAGTATCCATAATCTGTGGAGAGAAATATAGAACATTACACCACAAAAAGGAGTTTGTCGCATAACAAAAATATGACCCTCTCAAAAATATTAAATTATGTACACACACCAAATTTACAGGCATTTTAATAAAGAGGTAAATGACACATTCAGCCCTTCTGGTTATTTCCACACGCCAAAGGCTAATTACTGAACTGTAAGAAACAATGAAAAAAAAAAAAAAATCCAGAAAGTACCAAAGATACAGAGAAAGAAATTTAAAATGGAGATGAGTGAACACGGGTGGGGAAGAAGGTGTAACATGTCTCCCATCACTTTGGAAAGATATAGAATGATGGAGAATAATTTTCAAATTCCGAAGTCGAGGATTTGTCAGAACTGAGAAAATTCCGCAAACCTCGATCAGGAAGCCCAAGGAGTCCCAAACAAGCGTCTCTCCCCAACACATACCCTCCACACACGGGACCCCCGAGAATGGGGGGATGAAAAACATACCGGAACCAAGACCCGCACCTACACGGGGACTAGACATCCTGACAGCTGCCTCCCCACAGGAAACATCTGACCTCAAATGTTGGTGTGATATTTGTAAAAGATCATCTTTCTAGAACACTTTAGGTTTCCAACAAAACTGACATAAGCCTTATTGCAAACAGGCAGCTCCATCTGCCAACGCAACTTCCAGAGTCCAGTGATGACTAGGGGTGAGTCCCAAGGGCACCTGAGCACCCCCACACCAGCCTCGTGTGAGGGGTCACCCTGGTGTGTCACGTTCTACAGGTTTGGGTGAATGATGTGGACACTCATCTCTCATGAGTTGTCACACAGAGGACGTTGCTGCCCTGGGCATGTGGCATGGCCGCTCCTGACGCAACATGGGTGCACAAACAGGGGCCGGCCAGTGCCACGGGCTCACTCAGCCTGTCAGGCAGCTACCATACGGCTTAGCTCCCTGCTCCCTGTGACTGACCGTAGGGCTCCAGTATGTCTAGAAGTTCTGGAAATACCTGGAGCCCCACATTCAGCAGAGGTGAAGTGATGTGCTCTGGTCAGCTGTTTCCTTCCAGATACGAAAATAAATACGCAGGGACGCCCCCAGGCCTTGGAGTGCAGAGGCCAAGGGCCTCATTATTGTATTGTCCAGATGTCTGCCCTCAGACCTGCAGCCCACCAGACCTGGGGTAACGACCACAGCTCCACCTCTTCCATGTGCATGCCCCATGGGAGCTCTGCAGCCTCAACCCACAGGCCCTGTGACTGTGCAGGGGACAGCGACCAGGAGAGAGGACCCTCATGGCAAGAACTCCATGGGCCAAAAGACGCCACCCCCTACCCCACCCCCTGCATTTGAGGGCAAAGGCCAGACCTCTCTGGGAGAAAGCTCCATTCTTTACAGAGCCAGAGGAGAGGTTCACACAGCTCCATTCCACCCACCCAGGCCGCCTCGCTGCACCCCACCTTCCCACGCAGGTGCCCGTCTCTGCTCCAGCACCAGCTCAGCTGCTGACTCAAAGCCTCAACCTCCCGTTCCCAAGAGTGTCGTCTGACTCCTGGTCGCCTCACACCCCACAGGATGGGACTCATCCAGCACTGCTCCTGTTTCCCCGAGTCACAGAGTAGATTCTCACAGGGGCTTGTGAGGGAACCCCCAAAACCGCACAGGGACTGGCTTCTGCCTTTATGAGCAGCTGTTCTTCAAGAACTCCTTTCCCATTCCCACCCCCTCCAGGAAGAACAGAAATAAATTCCTAGAGCAGAGACCAGGACGGGCTCTGTTCACTCCTCCAAACATGAAATCCCACGTCACGGACTCTCCTCAAGGTGCTGACACCAAAGACATAAGATGCACCAGACAACAACTCCACAGGCCCCTCCGTCCAGCCCCCAGCCCTACCGTGACCCCACGCTCACCCTCCTGACCACCCCATTGCAAGTTCCCTGATGCATCCATAAAAAGTAGATTTCTTTTCAGTTCCTCCTTGTCAAGATTTCTACACTTCAGCTCAGACAGTCCTTTTCAAGAGGCCTCTACAAGTCCAGCAGGGAACAAAGAGGATAAAACCAAGCAAACGTCACCTGGGCCTCCATCACTCTCTCCAGTCTCAGAACGTGCCGCGGGAGCTGAATGTCCTCTGGTCTGCTTCACCTGGTGCCCCAAATCTTGGGTGTCAGTCCAATGTGCCCCACAAAGGCTGATCCCCAGATCCTGCGACTACTTCTTCCTTCCCTGGATGCTCTTACTCCTGGGAGTCAGGACCTGTGGGTACAGGAGAGCCCCATGAGTGACACATTCCCTCCAGCCAAGGCTACCCCGCTCCCTAGCTCTGCCCTCAGCACCCAAGATCCTGCCCAGGGCCGTGACTCAGTGTCCCAGGATGGGGTCTGCTGGGCTCAAAACTGAGATTCCAGGTGGGGTGCAGGTTGCCTTTACTGTGTGAAGGTGAGGTGGGGTGACTGAGAAAGGACACGAGGGCATGAGGTACACCCCAACCCCACGCTCCTGGAGCAATTGGACCTCAGGCAGCTCAGTGACGGAGACTGTGAAGGAAGGAAACTGGGTGCTGTCCCCAACCCTGAGAGTGGAACTCCTGCTTCAAATGATTTACCCTGTGAGCACATGCATGGCAGCTGGAGAACCAGTGTGTGAAGGTAATATTAGGAGTCGTATTGAAAGGTGGGGGGTGGGGCAGATGTGCCAGGACATCCACCCAAGACAAGAAAGCAGCCAACAGCCCAAAAAGGCCAAAAAGCAAAACCAAGGGCTCCAACAATACAATATCCATGGGCTACAGTCAATGCAACAGAGGATGGGGCGCTCTGGCATCTTACCCACGATGGGCAATTGCAAGAGACCTGGGGCTCCAAAAACAGCAACCATGGGGTTTATTTTTTAAATAGGGCAAACAAAGAACTTACTGTCACCACAGGTGGCGGCTGCCTCACCCAGACAGTGTCCACCAGAAGCAAAGAAGAGTGCCAGTCACCTGTCAGTAGAGCTGGACAGCACTAGCCAGCAATGGTCACCAGGAGTGACCACCAGGAGTGGTCACCAGGGCAGACCACCAGGAGCTATTCAGTAGTGATGGTCTAGTAGTGATGGTCACTGCTGGTCCCCCAGAGGGGATGGCAGAGACACCAAGTGTTAACAGCTCTTTGTGACAGGCTGGACAACACCAACAAAGACCTCTTTGTGACACCAGGCCCAGGGCCTTTCAGGAGATGTGAGACGTTACCAGAGGCCCGGCCTGACAGAGGTCTTCTTCCCTCAGGGGTCGGCTGCTGGATGCTTCTTTCCTTCTTTCTTCAGACGCCAGGAACAGACTTTTCCTTTCTCTCTTCAGAGGTTAGAACGATGTCTCTCAACTGCTCCAGCCCTGGCTTTTATCCTCTTTTAGGGTGCCAGGCCCACAAGATTCACTGGACAATTTTTCAGTCCTATGGCTGACTGGATCATTTAACACGAAATCAGCTCTTAGCTCACACCCAACTGTGCCAGTCTAGCATCCAGGAGGTACGCATAAAAGGGAGGCTGCAGGGCTCTGGGGCCCCAGCCAGAGCTGGCCTGTGGTGGAGCAGCAGGTGGGAGAGAGACCAGCCCTGCTGCAGGATGGGGCAGCTCCAGCACCTCAGTTCCGCCAGTTTAAGCCTTGGGAATATTTTAGGTTTTAAAACACAAGACCTGAAATGAGAGATGCTCTACAGCCCCTGGAATGTCAATGTAAAACCTGTAAGTTGTCGCTAACCAAGTAAGGGGACAAATAAAGAGGCCTGGCACCTACTCACCACTGTGGGGCGAAAACCAGCCACTGCCGTCAGCTGATGCCTGATCGCATCCAGGCGGGAGTAGAGTCCGTAGGAACTGGGGGGAAGAAAAGGGGATTCTGATGTTCATCCCAACATGCGTGCTCAACCCCGGGGACATTGTGCCTCTCCAGCTGTGGCCAGACGTTCCCACAAGTTCTGACACGAGCTGGAGGAAGCATCGGACCCCACACGCCCTGGGGTGGGCCTAAAGGGCCGCTCCCCCGGAGGCACACACACAAGCGCAGTTTTACTCTGTTTATCCCCTGCCGGCTCCGGAAGCCACACCCCCTCACGACACCCCTGAGCAACCCCGAACCGCCGACCCCCCCCACCGCCCCGCACGGCGTCAGCAGCAGCCCCGCCCCCCACCTCAGGAGCCCCGGGGGGTCCCAAACCCGAGTCACACACGTTTCCCCGGAGACGCCACCGCACCCCCACGTCGGGACCAGGGCGACGACGCCCCACGCCCTCCATCACATCGGGCCCCCGGGCCCCCAGCCCCGCACGCGAGCGTCCGGAGCCTCGCAAACCCCCTACAGGCGCCGTCGCCCCCAAACGCCCCCAGCTCCGCGCCGCCCATCTTCCCCATTCCAGGTCCGGACCGAGCGCGCCCCGCGTCCCCGCACAAACCTCCACTCTCAAAACCGAACTTCGGCCCCAACCCGCGCACTGACTGACTTTGCCCACACCCGCCCGCGGGGCCGAACCCCGCTTTCCCGCGGGCTCCCGCCGCCGCCGGCCCGGCCCCTGGACCCAGCCTGCGCCTACGGCGGCCGCGGAGGCCCAAAGGCCTTAACGGACAAGTGCGTTTCCCGCGCGGCCGCGGAAGGCAATACGTCTGCGCCCCGCGCGCGGGCCCCGGCGGCGGCCATTCTGAAGAGCAAACGGACGTTAGCGCGGGGCCAGCTTGGGGCCGGGCGCCAGGCAGCGGCGGCGAGAAGGCGCGCAGGGAGCACCTTACCCGGCGCCCGGGCTCGTGCAGAAAATGTGCAGCTTTTCAGAGTGTCCCGCACCACAGCGCTGACGGGCGCTCTAGTTGTTTTCCGTCAACTGAAAAGGAGTAAGGCCAAGCGCAAACATCCCTTTCTTGTCCCCACATCGCCCCCCGCCCCCCCTCAAGTGCCGGTGAAACGGGACAACGGGGGGAACAGGTTTGACCTGTTTGGTGGGTCCACATCCTGGAAGCGTGACTGCAGGACCTGACCCGTAAGGGAGAGACAGGGCCGGAGAGAGGGCCCTGGGCGGGCCCCGGACGCGGGCAGCGCCGCTCCGATCTCACCTCCCAGCCAACTGCCCAAAGCCCAGCGCTTGAAGAGCCTCAAGCCCCGCAGCTCCCCGTTTCCCATCAGCCTCTGCTCAGGGGCCGGGCCCCACGCGCGTCCTTCGCTTTGCGCGTCACACGCCGGTGCGAGGGGGCTCCTCGCTGCCTTGGAAACGGCACATTAACGGGGCTCGACGGAGCGGGCCCTGGAAGGACACGCAGGCGTCAGTCGGGGAACTGGTGCTCTCAGCAGGCAGGGGGAGGGGCACCCGACACCCCGACCTGCTCGCTCTAAGTAGGCTCTGTCATCCGCCCCACCTACTCGAGCGGACCTCCCCCTTTCCTGGCGACCACCCGGTTACAGTGAGACCGTCAGTAGACAGTAACTTGAATATAATTAGTGTGCAATCGAGAGAGAGAATGTAGTCTAAATATACTTGAAGATCATTTCCAGTGAAACACCCAACATTACCCAGCCAAGCAGACTGGCCCAAAGCAGGGCCGCTGCGGCCTAAGGCACCGTCTGGGACGCATAGGAAAGGGACAGAAGGGGCCAATCAAGTCCGGAAGGGGAAGAGCAAAGGCAAAATCGAGATAAAAGCTGCCATTGCCGGCCTCCCCCCGGCCCTCTCACCCACGTCTCCGTCTCTTCAAGTGTCTCCCTCCGTGTCCCCCAAGTCCCTGTGCAAGTCCAGGGCCGAGAAGCAGATCTTCGTCACTCCACTCCCCGTGCCTCCTCCAGGCCTTCTCTGTGGTCCCCACCCTTCTCCCAGTTTGTTCCCCAATCCTGGTCGGCCCCACCCTTCCTTGGGTGGGGCAGGGGACCTGGAGCCCTCCCTGCCTTTCTATGGCTGTTGCAGTGTCAGTGGCCCCTCAGGTGGCTCAGGACGGTGCTCTACTGTGGACATGAATTGATTCACATCACCTGGGCTTCAGGATCACCTGAGACAGCTCATGGCCAGTTCCCAGTACTTTCCCTATGAGCAAGACACAGATGGGGGAACTGGACAAGCAGAATAACTTTACAGGAGAAATGAGGAAAAATAAGTTGTTAAGAGAAAGACAAGCTTCCCCCTCTCCCAGGAAAAATAAGGAAGCAAAAGCACATTCTCAGGTCAGCAGCTACCAGTGGAACCGGAGCTTGGAAAGGGTGGCCGTGGTCAAGGGTGAGAGTGATGTGGGTTTGTGAGGTGTGGGGTTCGGAGAGGGAGGCCCTTGGGTTCCCGGTAGAAGTTACACCAGAGCTCCCCTTTCAGCGACACACAGTGAATTTCCCCACGAGGCAGAGACGTTTAGTTTTATTCAAAAGGCAGGTTTATTATAAAAAGGAGAAAGAACAGTAAAGGACGCTTGCACAGACACAGCGGGCAGAGAGCTGCCCCGGAAGGGACAGATTTGCTATGAGATGCTGGCATGGGCACCTGCGGGCAGGAGAGCTGCCCCTCCCCAGGCATGGGCACAAGGCGCACTCATGGCATATTCTTCTCTTTGGGAGGGGCTGTTCCTTTGTGGAATTGTTAACTGCAGTCAAAACACTTCTGGGGCTGGCTCCTAGGGATTTTTTCTTTATTTGGTTTGAACAGGTAGCTTGGAAAGGACCCACAGTTCCTACAGTGGCTCCCAATCTCCATATATTCACCTCCAGATACTTTACTTTTCTATAGCTCCTGTAACGATTATGTTGATCATTTCAACCCCCACCTACAGCAGCTTTAGTTTCTGGCCTCCTTCACAAATGTCCTACTCCTGGTCCACACCAACAGGATGAGGACAAGTAAACAGGTGTTTTCAAGGCCAGCCCTTAGGGATCTCACCGCCACCAACTCTGTTCTCCTCCATTCTTAAAGACTAAGATTCTTGTTCTCCTTTTTATTTATCCTGAGAATTCCTTTTCTGCTCTGCCCACTTTAGACTCAGTTATTCAGCCTGTGATCACACCCTGTAGGGGAGACCATGTGTGACTGAAAGTGCCCCCACAGCTCATTCCCCTAAGGATAACATCCTGTAACCAATTCATTCACTTTCCACACCAGTATGTAATCTGTCTGTGCTCAGAAATATAATACCATTTAGCCAGCGCTGTGACAGAAGTCTCTGGACACTGGGAATGACATCGGTTTGTCTCTGGGCCTCCTTTTCAGCCTCAGCAGCTACAGAGGCGCCTGGCTCGTCTGTGCTGTTTGGGGGTGTAGACCCCCCCCCATCTCCAGGACACCTAGTTCTTGAAATTGGCCTACTACAAATGAGGACCTTAAATTTTAAAATTTAAATAGTGAAAAAATGACCAGGCAACTCTACTGGGGGACAGAACACATGCCATCTCAAAGCAACTCATGTGCTAAGGGGCTGCAGTTGGCTGAAGACAAAGGAACCAGGTACAAAGGTGGATTCAACAAAAGTGGATCAGTAAATGAACTGACGGCCTAAGGCTGTTGTGCAAGTCCCTCGTGTAACACAAGCCTTCAAAGGTAACGGCAGACGCTGCAGTTTCCCACAAAACCTCCTGAACAGGAGGAACAGAATTGATGGTAACATCCTCATAGCCCACCGAGGAGTATTAGTGCTTTTGTGGGGCGTTCCTTCATTACAACATTCCACATATAGATTATAGGTTTATAAAACTGACTCAATTATTTCCTCCATTAGATAAATTTAGGCTTCCCTTAATTTGATACAGTGCAGCAACTGATGTGATTGGGTTAAGGTCAAATGTTATCTCAGTATCAGCCTATGGATTCTAGGGGATGAACAGCAGTCTCTGTCAGATGCTGCGTTTATACGGTTCCTGAGTCTATACTTTTCAGACAAAACATGAACTCGGAGGTTGGGGTAAACACTTCTCCACAAAGAAGATCTCAGTGCCTGTCTACTGGCTTCCTGGAACATAAAATAAGACACAATTGATCCCTGAAGGCACAACCACGTTCACTGCATTCATAAAGTTTCCCGTGTGTGCAAACCCACTGTTGAGTCCTACGGGGGCACCTCTGGCCACAGGCTGGCCCACTAGGACCACACCCCTGTCTACCAGGAACCCTGTGGTGTTTAATGTCATCTGAGGGGTCACAGCAGGCACTGGCATCATCACAGGATTAACGAGGCATTTCTTTGTCAAGGGAACACTGGTCTGGGACGGGCTGTGCCGCTCAGCAGGATTTGCTACCTTGACCGAATCTCTCACTTTCTCTCTAGTATGCACCCTCTTATGTTTCAGAAGGAAAGACCTGTAGGAGAAAGCTTTCCCACACTCACTGCAGGTGTAGGGTCTCTCTCCTGTGTGCATTCTCTGATGCCTAATGAGATCTCTCTTCACGCAGAACGTTTTTCCACATTCATTGCACATATGTGGTTTCTCACCTCTAGTCCCCCGCTGGTGTGTGATGAGGTCTGGCTTCTTGATGAAGCCCTTTCCACACTGACTACATATAAATGGCTTCTCGCCTGTATGAATCCGCATGTGCACCAGGCAACTGCCCTTGTAGACAAAGCCTTTTCCACAGCCGCCGCACACAAAAGGCTTCTCGCCTGTGTGAGTCCGCATGTGCACCAGGCAGCTGCCCTTGTGGACGAAGCTTTTCCCACAAACCCCGCAAACAAAAGGTTTCTCTCCTCTGTGTATCTTCTGATGCACACTGAGATGTGACTTCCTGAAAAAAGCTTTGCCACAGTCAGTACATTCGTAAGGTTTCTCCCCGGTATGTGTCCTCTGGTGTTCGGTGAGCATGAACTTTCTGGAGAAGACCTTTCCACACTCCCTGCACACAAGCGGTTTCTTGATTTTTCGAGGGTTCTGAGGATTGACGAATTGTGACTTAGTGATGATAAGTTTCCGGTTTTCAGGGAGATTCATTTCAGGCTGACGCCGCTCCTGGCAAGCTGGGAGGAAGGAGTCCCCAGTCAGCTCCGTGGTGCCCTTTACTTCACAGCTTCTGCTCTGAGCAACCGAAGTTAAATCGGAGCTCGTGCTTGTCCTGTATGGGCCATGCAGACCCCGATTCTCCCCTAACGCAAGATGATCTGAGCTCTGCTGAGCAGTACCTGCCCAGGGGCTGTGTTCACGGCATTGTCCCAGGCTGCCCTGCGTGCTCTCCTTTTGTAAGGGCTCCTGCAAATAAGCTTCAGTTTTCCAGGTTCCTAGAAAGAAAAGAACAATGAATTCCTACATCATCCTGACTTGATGTAAAGTTATCTTTATTTTTTTTAAGATTTATTTATTTATTTATGCATACAAGAGCTGGGGTGCAAGCCAGAGGTGCAGGGGGTGAGAGGATTCACCAGAGACAGAGTGGGGAGCAGTGGGCGAGACAGGAGAGGTCTTCTGCGGCATTTGGCAGCTCCCTGGCCAGGGATCAAACTCAGGCGGATGTGGTGGTAGGCTGAAACTGAACCCCGAGGCCACAGGGAGTCCCTGGTAAAATCACTTTAAAGGGCAGATACAGAAAAAGGGAAGAGCTGCAGGTGGTGAAACCTGGATGGAAGGAGCACTGGGGTTGGAGAGAGGTGGAGTAAATGGGGTCACATCTGGGGGACCCCGGGACGCACTGCTGGATTCACAGCTGCTCAGCCTCTGCCACCTGCTCCAGCTGCTGACGTAGCACACACAGCACTTCTCTTCCCAGACATATCAGTTACTTCTTTATATGACTAAGATTGTGTACCTCATTTCGAATGAAAGCAGCAGCCTACCTGCAGGCTGAGTCAGTGCTGTTACCCTCAACTGCACATCAGGCTATGCAAAACTGACTGATGAAGATCAAATAATAATAAACATAAGCTATAAAGGAATGAATCCAAACAGTCGCATGACAGAAAATATTAGGGAGTGTAAAAAAGAGGAAGAAATCACAAAAGAGCAAAGGTTACCATAGCTGTGAGCACTGAAGGCATTTCCTAGCATGACGTATAATCAACCTCACTGGGACTTAATGTCAAGATGTCATTGTGGGAAAGGGACAGCTTTCAGGAAGGAGACACGGTATTAACATCCGCACTAAACTGGAAAAGAGACCAGAATGAGGAAATGCAGAGGAAATTATTTGAAATAGGCCTGGGTTCTGACATGGTTTAGCCTGAAACAGAGAGCGCAGGATGTCAAAATTCCTGTTGTGATTCAAAACTAATCATGAACAGCACACACGACTGAAGAAGAGCATGTGATCTAGGGAACAGGGGCACAGAAGCAACGACATACATACAGCTGTCCAGGTGTAAAGGAGAAGCGACACTACCAGGACATTCTGGAGCAAGATGGTGCCAGTTCCTTGCAGGGAGTGGGATCAGAGTTGCTACGGATATAAAGACACTATGTAGAACTAACGTGCCTGTAAGATGACGGAGAGTGTGGGACTCTGCAGCAGGAACCACAGAGTTTAGCTCTTACAAAGAAAACCTGGGAGAGTGAACAGATCAAACAAGATAATGGAAAATCAAACTCCGAGTGCAAAACAGAGAAAGACGCAGACAAAGGCACAGGGGGACCAGCTGGCTCTGGGATCAACAACAAGGCGGGGTGGATGTTGTCCACCCAGGAGTCACATCACCCCGAGCGCAGAAAGAAGACAGTGAGAATTCCCGCTACTCTGCAGGGAGAGCTTGGAAGGAGGAATTTCACAGCCAGGCAGGAGAAAGACTTGAAAAATAAGAGAAACACTTGAGAACTTTAGGAAGAAAGAATTTCACACAAATAACTGATAGAGATAAAATACAAAGAGATCAGACCCAGAAGAGATGTATTTTCTTTCCTCTAATCTCCCACGAAGAAAAAGGTGCTGCATGGGGAAGATGCAAAAGGTGCTGAGTCTATAAAAGGATCAGAGAGGACCAGCCTCCCAGCCAACTCTAGGGGAGAAGGTGGAGTTTACTAGACTTTACCCCCTGATGGGGGGAGGGGAGCTGATGGGAAAAGGGTTACACAGATGAGGATTTTGGCAGTTAAATTGTTGAACAGGAGAGTTGTCTGTGGAGAAGCTAATAGTTGGCCACTTGTGGCTTCAGCTTGGACCTCAGTCTCTGCTCAGTGGACGCCATCTGGGGTAGGACAGAAGACTGACCATGTGCTAGCCTGCACAATCTCTTTCTCCCCTCTCTCAGTTTTTCCTTGTTCATTCTCTGCAAAAATAAATCCTGTTTTTGTTGTTTCATGTGTGTCTGATTTGAAGTGATGTCTATGTTCTTAGCTTGCGTGTGAGGAGCTGCCAGCCACATCAACCTGGTGCACCTGGTGCCTTCACTACACTTTGCTCTGCTAACACCCTTCACAGATGTGATGCCTTCCCTGACCCATCAGGTGTGTCTCCATAGTCTTCCCCATTCTGCTTCCTTCACTCACCTAAGCAGGCATGAAAGTGCATTTTGCTGTCCATAGTCCACGGCAGCTCGCCTCCTTCCCCTCTGCAGAGCCACTCTGGCGGGCGGGCTCCGTAACCTGGTCATGGGCATGAGACACACTCAGGCGGGTGCATGGTGTGTGGGGACCACAGATGGTACATGTGAGCACAAAACAAGATTGACACTCACAGAAGAACCTCCCTGGCGTCTCGATCTGCTGTCAACCCCCTAGCACCGCTTCCTGTCTGACAGCACCTGGTGTCAGGGTAGGGCCAGGCCCAAACCCATGACAGATGGCTTCCCCACGCGCACTGGTTCTGTGACATGCTGTCTGCATCCCCCACAATGTAACTAGTTTTCACAATCATCACCTGGAACAGCATCAGTATCACAGGGAGGGGTTCAACCCCCAAAACCTCCCACCCTCACCCCCAACTTGATGCTGACAGCTTGGAGACCTTGCCCTAAGCTTCCAACTGACCATGTACTGATCACAGGTTCCTGGGACGTCCTCTCGGGTCAATCGACTCATGAGAGGGTCTCACATAACTCGGGGACACACCCTGACCACTGGTGATCAGCTCCTGAGGTAACACACAGCCCGCACCACCCTGACTGCAGAGACTGAAGCTGTGCAAAGGGATAGCGAGGAGGCCCCTGCCAGCCAGTGGGGGGCGCTCACAGTCAACTCCACTGCAGATGGTGGAACTTTTCAGACTCCCAAGTGGGGCTGATGGGCAAAGGGGGGAGCTGGGCCCTGGGCCAGGTAAACTGCTGACCTGCTGGGGCAGCTTCTGGCAGCTGAGCTGCTGGGGTTGCCTCAGTGAAAGTGCAGTGAGGAGGCGCCTCTGGGGAGGTGACGCCCACTCTCTGCTTGGACCCAGGTCTCTGATCAGCAGAGGCATTGGAGAAGACAGAGGGCATCTCACCACCAGCCAGCTGGCCCATGTCACATCTCTCTCCCCATGTAAACACATGAGGATGTTGCTTCACACCCTGTCTCTCCTTTGGGGCATATTTTGCAGCAGCAAGAAGTGGGTGAGGACCCACCAACTGGGGCAACCTCAGTCCCGATGTTTACGCTGCTTCACTACAAGGTGTGTGGAAAGGGCACAGGGCATCCATGCTGACTGGACACCCTACTCTCCCATCACCTCTCCCAGCTCCACAATTCCAATGCTCCCCAATCCGGTCTTTTGGGTTATCTGGAAGCTTTACTAAGCGGCCAGGATCAACGAGATCATCATCTGTGGGTGACCAGGGAGCTGCTTCACCCTTCTCCCACCCACTGAGAGTCTCATTCCTCTAAACATGGTGTGCCCCTGGGTGGCAGCCATCAGCCTGAGGTGAGCTGAGGACCCCGAAATCCTCCTCACCTCAACCCAGAGATAGCTGAGAGGGGTGTGCTGTGAATAGGAAAGACAGCATTTCATCTTCCTCCTCATCACACAAGAAAGAGCCTGTGTCAGACCGGACATGACGGCCACCTAGGCACAGACGCTTCCTGCTATCAAACATGCCCACGCAGGACAGGCTTATCTCCCAGGAGGAGAAGAGAACACCCCTTCTCAGGACCCAGAGGAGACTGAGAACCTCCACCTCACAGCACCCGACTCCAGAGCCTACCCAGGCCCAGCAGGAAAGGCCCAGATGGCCCCCGGGCCAGGACCCGTCCTCACCCATGGACACCAGGTGGCTGTAGGTCTCCAGCATCACCTCCCGGTACAGGTCCTTCTGCGTGGGGGCCAGGAGCCGCCACTCCTCTGGGCTGAAGCACACGGCGACCTCGGCGAAGGTCAGCGGGGCCTGCACAGCAGAGGGGGCGTGAGAGGCTTCGTGAGGACACGGGCGGAACCTGACACGCTCTCCGCTCGTTTCATTAGGAAGCCCCCACGCAAGCATCCAGGATGCTCTCATACCTTGTATAAGAAGAAAACATTAAATAGAATATGCAATATGAATAACCGTATCGTTCTGCATTCACTTATGCTTCATTCCATTGATGAGTCTTGTAACTTATGAAGTCTTGCTAGCCCATAGACAGGACACCTCACGTGTATAAACATTCTGTCTTAGTGCTGTCATGATGAATGAGCACTGCCCCATCGCGTCTGCACTGACAGACTCAAATCCAGAATTAGCTGGAATGCATGGGGAGTGACTGTGCTCAACCTATTGACAGAAACAGAGGAGACCACAGGAGGGGTTGGCGCATGAGGGCATGAATGGACACAGGCATGAGCATGTGCACAGGCCATGCTTACAGGCACGTTGGTAAGGAGCTAATTTACATGAGCTAATTTACATTGAGCTAATTTACATATGTGACATAGATAACTACTGAAAATAAAGTACAATTAAAGGCAATCTCCACAGTGCACCAAGAGACAGAGAAAGAAACCGCATAGGAGGTCAGAGAACGCCAGGGGGAGGCCGGCATCCCGGCGCTTGAGAAGGACATGGAACAATGGAGAAGAAAAGCCAAGGATCCAAAGCTGAGAATTTCTCCGAACTGAGGAAACTTCCCAAACCTCCCACTCAGGAAGCTCAAGAAGATCCGAGCAGGCATCTCCCCACAACACGTGCCCTCCACACACAGTACCCCGAGAATGGGGGGTGACAAACGCACGGGGAGGAAAGACCCGCACCTACACGGGGACCAGACACCCCGACCGCTGCCTCCCCACAGGAAACATCCGACCCCAAAATAGTGACGCTTTTGTTAAGATGCTATTTTTCTAGAGTCCTTTCAATATTCAGAAGATTGACAGGGCTGTGCGGCGCGGACAGAAGCTAAGCCTGGCGGACGTCACCTGCGCCTCCATCACGCTCCAGCCTCAGGACCCGCCGCGCTGCTCCTGAGCGTGTGCTTCAGGTCTGCTCCACCTGCTGCCCCGAATAATCTCAGTCTTCGGTCAAAGGCTGATCCCCAGGTCCCGGGTCTTCTTCCTCCTTCCCTGGACGCTCTTGCTCCCAGGAGCCAGGACCTGTGGGTGCAGGAGATCCCCATGAGTGGCACAATCCCTCCAGCTGAGGCCACCCCGCTCCCCAGCTCCGCCCTCAGCCTCTGAGACCCTGCCCAAGGTCATGACTCAGTGTCTCAGGACGGGGTCTGCTGGCCCAAAGCTGACATTCCAGGTGGGGTGCAGGTTGCCTTTACTGTGTGAAGATGAAGTGGGGTGACTGGGAAAGGACAGGAAGGCATGAGGTGCACCCCAGCCCCAGGCCTCAGGAGCAGGCAGACCTCAGGCAGATCGGGTACAAGCGGGAAGCCACGAGGAAGGAGGGGGTCTGGGCGCTGCCCCCCAACCCTGTGAGCGGCTCTGCTTTGAATAATGTGCCTGTGCATGAGGGCACGGCAGCCAGAGAGCTGGGAGCTGAGATATTACAGCACTGTCGAAAAGCCAGTGTGGGTATTTTAGAAGGCTTAATACACACAGAACTAGATTAAATTAGAAGATGGTGATGAAGGCTGTAGCAGTGGTGCTGACTCAACCCCTTGGCCACCAGGGAGCCCCCAAAAGTACTTTAAACCAGCTGTAAGAATATAGTGAACACAGGAGCAACAAAATAAACAGCAATGACCAGAAATGATTCAATCTATGATAAAAGCGGAAAGAAAAGCCAGACCTTGCTGGTAACAGGGCGGGTACTCCCCGGGAGCAGTGGGGGTCAGGATGCATATAACAAGGAAGAGGGGCCCACACAGCAGCATTGCAGGCTGACTGTAGGTTTTTGGTCTGGTCAATGATCTCTTGGCACTAAAATAAGGGGGTCTCCCTGGTGGCACAGGGGTTAAAGTCTCAGCATTTTCAAGCTATCCACAGCTACCATGACCTGAGTTCCACCCCTGGCCAGGGAGCTACCCACAGGGTGCAGGAGACCTCTCCTGTCTCCCCGCTGCTCCCCTCAGCAGTGGATTTCAGTGGATTGCCTGTTCTGCTCCCCCTGTGTCTCTGGTGGATCATCTCACCCCCTGCACCTTTTGCCTACACCTCAGTTCTTGTATGCATAAATAAATAAAATAAATCTTTAAAAAAAAAACAGTAACAATAAAGTATTTTCAACTAGCAAAGAAGTGGTAAGGCCAAACACATACAGTTAATACACATATACATAACACATTCAATATATATATATATACATACACATAATACATGTATATATACACACACACAAAATAAAAGGACTGGAGGTCAGGAACAGAGGGGTTTAATGTGAACTATGACCCAGATGACGATAATTTGTGTAAAAGAATAAATGTTTGTCATAAAATCCTCTGACCTGGGCACCGCAGACGACACTGCAGGTGCGAGGGCCGGCAACCAGCAAGGTGCGCACTGGCCCTGCTTTTCTGGTTCACAGAGTCGACTGGATGTACTGAGATAACAACAAATCAGGAACACCAGAAAGCACAACCGCAAGTCAGGGTTGCCAGATAGTAGCCACCCTGACATGGCAACAGAGAGTCCACAGTTTACTGAGCAGGGAAAACTGCAAAGCCGATTTTTACAAACGTTAGGGCATTTGACCTCAGGGCAATTCAATTGGGAACTGCAACCAGCGCGTCTGACGCACCCACCAGGACGTCCCAACCCGGGGTCCAGCCCACTCCGGATGGGCAGACACTGAGCAAAATGTCTCTTAGAGAAGGACAAAGTGGGGGTGCAGCTCCTGCCGGGGCACCTTATCCGCAGACAGAGTCACTGTGGGGCTCTGCGGCCACAGCAGCGTTATCACACGTGCGAAAGCATCCAAACCCCACACCTGATGCGGGGCGTCGCCGATGAGTCCCCCTCTGGGAGCCCCGATAAAGCTGAAGAGTTGCTTCCCGACGACGCCGCGGGGAGCCCCAAATCCGTCCCAGCCGGTGGTGCGGGCGTCCTCACGACCCTCACTACACCCTTTATCACCCCAGACGCCCGCACGGGCTCAGCAGCAGCACCGCGCCCCCCAGGAGTCCCGGGGGGGAGGAGTCCCCAAACTCGAGACACACACGTTTCCCGGGAAACACCACCGCACCCGACGCTGAGACCAGGACGATGACACCGACGCCCTCCAGCGCCGATGGGCCCGGGGCCGAGCGTCCGGGACCCCGAAGCCCCAGCAGCCGCCGCCCCTTAAATGCCTCCAGTTCGGCGCCACCGCCCGACTCCCCCATACCAAGTCCGGACCGAACGCGCCCCTTTCTCCGCGTCACAACACAAGTCTCCACCTTCAAAACCCAAACTTCGAGCCCCAACCTGCGCACTGAGTCTCCCGACACCCACCCGTGGGGCCGAACTCCGCTTTCCCGCGGGCTCCGGCTGCAGTCCGCCCGCCCAGCCCCCGAACCCAGCCAGCGCCTACGGCGGCCGCGGAGGACAAAAGGCCCGAAACGCCCCGCCGACTGCGTTTCTTGGGCCGCCGCCGCAGGAAACAATATGTCTGCGCCCTGAGCGAAAGACGCTGGCGGCAGCCATTTTGGAAAATGAATGTACGGAACTGCGGGGACATGTTGGGGGCCAGGAGCCAGACGTTGGCATCAGGGAGAAGGGGCAGCAGTGAGCACCTTTCTCAGCACCCGGGCTCCTGCACAACATATGCACCTTTTCAGACTGTCCCACGTGGGCGCGCTAGTTATTTTCGGCCAGTTCGGCAGAGGATATTGGCAACACCCCAGAATTCACTTTATGTGTCTACACCTGCGCTCCGCCTCCCCTTCCAGTGACCCAGGACAAATCCCGGGGGAACAGGTTTGACCTGTTCGGTGGGTCCTCACCCTCGGAGGCCTGACTGCGGGACGCGCTCCAGAGCAGAAGCTCGTTTGAGACAGGAATGAGGACGAGGATTCACACAGGGCCCTGGACGGAGACGGAGGGGCGGAGACGGAGGGAGGGGCCCCTGTCCTCCTCCAGACGACGGACTGAGCGGAGACCGAGACCAGGCTGAGGGGCGCCTGGAAAGCGGGCGCCAGGCCCCGGGCACCTGCAGCCAAAGCCCGGAGCCCCATGAAGCCCCACCGCCAGGCGGCGCCAACCTCAGCCCCGCTCGTTCCCCGTAAGCCCCGCCCGTGAGGCGGAGCCTGGAAGCCACGCCCACTTCTCAACAGCTTGGAGCCCCGCCCACTCCCGGCCTCCCCTGGAGCCCCGCCCCTGGGGATGTGTCTCCCCGGGGTCTCTGACACCCACGCGCTACCAGGGCCTCAGTGGAGCAGATTCCAGGAAATGACGCAGAGATCAGGCGCTCGCCGCCGGCACAAGCTGTCAGTGGAGAAAGGGCTGACTTGCCACCACGGGGTGCGAGGAGCCCGACAGTCCAGGCTAAATCCAACCCTGCAGACACCTGTCACGGGGCCGCGGACCCAGCAGAGGACTAGGACGCCGGGCACTGACTTCCTCGTGCAGTGCGAGCAGGACACAGTCCCAGCCCACCCGCGCTGGGCCGCAGCCCGGGGAAGCAGCTGAGGGTGGTTCCTGTTTGGAAGCTGGTGTTACGGGATGTCCTGTGAGGCCAGGGAGGGCCACTGCGGCCCAGGGGCGGGTGTCACCTCCTCCACAGCCCACCTGCATAGCCCAGCTCCCCCGTATGCCACGAACTGGACGGCGTGGGGGGAGGCTGGGAAGGCAGAGGGAGCAGCCTTGGGTGCTGGATGGGCGCAACAGGTTGCCCTACAGGTGTTTCTGGGCTCATCGTTTTCTTTTTCTCCCCGGAGTGTCCTGCTCATTGCTCAGCAGAGGCAGGTGGGGACAGCAGGGAGGGGGCTTCTGCGGCTTCACAGCCCAGTCCTGCAGCCCTGCCAGCAGCGTCCTTTCCTGGCCAATGGACTCTCCACCCGCCCCTTTATTAAACCCCATTTCCGCTTTCAGGGCTTGTGCTGCGTTCCTGAGTGTGGAGCAAAGGACTCACGTGGAGGGTACTCCCCATAATTTGCAGGTGCCCAGATATACTGAGGTTGGTAGCACCTGGCATACACAGGGGCTACTAGTCCTGGGGTGTCAACTTCTCAATGGTGGATTCCGCACGTGTCCCCCAAGGCTCAGGGCAGCCATCACAGGTCTGACCAGTCCAGCAGCCCGCGGGCTGACACCCACTGCAGGATGACATGAGACAAGGACAACAGGAGACATGAGACCTGCTGGCCGGGGGCACTCAGGACAGACCCCTCCCGGGACAGGACCTGCCTGGGTCATCCTGCTATAAAGTGAGGGTGATGATGGGGGACTTAGGCAGCCATCTTCAAATCTAAGTGGGTACTAGGCTTTCTTTTGAAAGAGTGTCCTGGATGTCAGTGCTGACATTCTGGCTTAGAAGTTCTGGGGTGACTCGGGAACCTGCATTCTTTTGTTTTACAGAATACCTGGGAAAGGAATCAAAAATTGTCCTGCCGCATTCTCTGGCTACAGTAATTATGATGAGAGACCATGTTCTTCATTCTTGTTCAAATTCTAATTCTCCAGAAAAGCCCTGGGGTGGGCACGGTTGTCTGGTGACACGTACTGATCACATTACCATCCATCCCTTTTTCACAGAACTTACCACTCCCTGCACATTGAATTCCTTTTCCTTCACTCTCTCTCTCTCAAACTGTGTAGCATCTATAAGGCCATTCTTGGCCTGTTTTATGCAGTATCTCCTCATAGTGTAAAGCACACAAATGGTGCATGAACGTAGATAAGCAAATTATTGAATCACCCAGGATTTCTGACTGGAGACAGCCACTGTAAGGTCAGTTTCCAGGTTTTTTCCTACAGGAAGATTTGGACAGGTCTCGTGGACAGGGAACAAGTGAGAAGAAATAAGCAGGCCCAGGGACTCACTCCCAGGAGACAAGAACTACAGATGAGAGGGTATGCCTCCCTTCAGGCCCTAACAGTAGAGCTGGAATCCTCTGGAAAATGGTGGCAGGTTCAAAGGTGATAGCCCTGGGGACAAAAATTTTCCTGGCCAACTTTGGGGATCTCACCTGCCATCTCCTGTTTTCCTCCATTCTCAGGGAGTAGATTCCGGTATCTATGTATTCTGAGGATGCTTTTCCTTTTCTGCTCTGCCCAGTTTATATTCTGTTCTTGAGTCTGAAATCATCAATATGGGGGAGACAGAGTTCTCAAGGAGAACCGCCTTCCCAAGGCCAATTCCATCAGTAATAATAGTTGAGGCCGTGTGCTCATTCACTTTCCAAATCAACGTATAAAATTTTGTTGAGAAATAGCCACGGAACCAGCGCTTGCAAAGATAACTTTCAGGGATGACGTAAAGGGCAGTTTGTTCAAAACATGCACCTCAACCATTTAATTAGCTACAAAGTCTGGCTCCTTGCCTGACTTAGCCACTCGTTACCTGGGACACTTCGTTTTGAGAAATGATTTAGTGAAACTGAGGAAATGTTTTTGCTTGTAAGATACTCAAATAGCCACAGAAATAAGCAAGGATTTTTTTTTTTTTTTTTTTTTTTGTAGTCTGCTTGGCAAAACAACACATGAAAATGAACAAAACACGTGACTTTCAGGTGTTCCAAATCCCTTACAGGGAATCCTTCGCCCTGGAAATAAGTCCCCTGACAGGAGATTCTTATTAAACCTTGAAGCAATTTTTCTGTATATCCCATGAAATCAGTATTTGTTTTCCCCAAAACCCAAAGATGCAAGAATCTCAAATACAATTTATGAGGTGGGACTTGGGAGAGGTGGCCAGGTCAGAGGGTGGAACCCACGTAAAGGGAATATTTTCTTCTTGGAAGACACAGCAAAGAGCATGCCACACTGTCGCTATGTGAGGACACTGGGGATGTCTTCCATGAACCAGGAGATAGGGCCTTGAAAAACCGCAAGTCTCGGGGTTTTCATACAAACCTCCATGCCTAAAGGGGTGAGAAATATACTTGTCCCTACAAACCACTCAGGCTATGGTATTCTCTTGTTGCAACAAAACTAAGACCAGGTCTCCCTGGTTGCACAGGGGTTTAGTCTCAGCACTATGAAGCTATGCACAGCCACTGCAGCAAGAGTTTGATCCCCAGCCGGGGAGCTGATCCACATGGCATAGCAGACCTCTTCTGTCTCCCGGCTGTTCCCCTCTGCAGTGTATTTCAGAACCTGTTCTGCTCCCCACTGTCTCTGGTGAATCCTCTCACCCGCCACACCTCTGGCCTCTACCCCAGTTCTTGTATGCATAAATCAATAAAAAAGGGGGGCCTCTCTGGTGGTGCAAGGGGTTAAGCACTGCACTGTGAAGCTATCCACAGCCTCTACATAACATGTTTGATTGCCGGCCGGCCAGGGAGCAACCCATATGGCGCAGCAGACCTCTCCTCTCTTGCCCGCTACTCCACTTGGCAGTGTATTTCAGTCTGCCTGCCTGTTATGCTCCCCACTCTGTCTCTGGTGGATCCTCTCACCCCTGCATCGCTGACCTGTACCCCAGCTCTTGTATACATAAATAAATCTTTAAAAAAAAAATCAATTAAAAACCCAAGACCACATGTGTTTCACCAAGAGGAGCAGGAGCATAAAGCAATCACTGGAATACCAGCCACTTTTCATTTCTTTGCTCAGGACCACAGGCTTGCTATGTTTTGGTCACCACTGAATCCGCCCCCTCCTGGAACAGGACCAGGTAAAAAGGTGCATTTGAGAAATACTTGAAAATGAAAGAGCTGACCAAACTAAGCAGTTTCATAAGTCTCTCATGACAGAAACCTCTAGGAGTTAAAGGATGAATCTACTTTTCAGTTAACCTTTCACTTCCAGAAACAGGATGGATATAAACACATCTTCCAGCCCCCAATTGCAATAATGGCCCTTGTGGGCCTCCCTGGTGGAGCAGGGGGTTAAGATGTAACCTATGAGGCTACTCGCAGCCAATGCAACATGAGTTTGATCCCCACTTGGCACAGCAGACCTCTCCTGACTCACCCGCTGCTCCCCTCAGCAGTGTGTTTCAGTCAGTCTGCCTATTCTGTTCCCCACTCTGTCTCTGGTGAATCCTCTTACCTCCACACCTCTGGCCTGTACCCATCTTGTATGCATAAATAAATAAATCTTTATTGTGTGGTTTTGCATTTAGATGGTATTACCTATTTTTTTTTTAAAGATTTATTTTTGTTTATACAAGAACTGGGGTACAAGCCAGAGGTGCAGGAGGGTGAGAGGATTCACCAGAGACAGAGTGGGGAGCAGAACAGGCAGATGGACGAAAGACACTGCTGAGGGTAGCAGCAGGCAAGGCAGGAGAGGTCTGCCACACCATGTGGGTATCTCCCTGGCTGGCTGGGAATCGAACCCGCACTGCAGAGGCTGCAGACAGCTTCACAGCGCTGTGCTTAACCCGATGTGCCACCGGGGAGGCCCAGTCTTACCTGTTTTAAGAGCTCACCTACTTCACCTACTCACTCAGGCTCCCTTCATTGAACTGACACATCAGAGCAACTGTGTGCACATTTGCACTAACATCACATGCCACTGGTACCAATGCATGTATTTAATATGGTGATTACAGGTTTTCTCAGATGCTGCATTTACACAATTCCTCTGAGTTTATTCTTCTCACATACTGTGACCTAGGAACTTTAGCACACCGCTTCGCACAAAGAGGTCTAAGTTCCTTCTTACTGGTTTTCTTCGACATAACATAAAACATAATCGAACCCTGAAGGCACCATCACATTCACTGCATCCGCAAGGTTTCCGTCCCATGCAAATCCGCTGTTGTCTCCCAAGGATGTGCCATTGGCCACAGGCTGGCCCACTAGGACCACACTCTTATCTGCCAGGAGCTCAGGCACATTTAATGATGTCTCAGGAGCCATGGAAGACACTGGCATAGAAGCGGAACTGGCGATGTTTCTTTCCCTCAGGACAATGCTGGTCTGGGATGTGCCGTGCCTCTCTGAGGGAGGGGTTTCCACCTTGACCAAATGTACATATTCTTCTTGATGTATTCGCCTATGATTCACAAGACAAGCCACATAGGCAAAAGCTTTGCCACACTCACTACAGACACAGGGTGTCTCTCCTGTAGGGCTCCGTTGATGCACGATGAGCTGGTACTTTGTAGTGAAGGCTTTCCCACACTCATTGCAGGTATAAGGTCTCTCTCCTGTATGAGAACTTCGATGGACATTAAGTGTATACTTCGTAGTATAGGATTTTCCACACTCACTGCAGATATAGGGTCTCTCTCCTGTGTGAACTCTTTGATGGACGGTGACACTTTGCCTTGTGGTGAAGGCTTTCCCACACTCCCTGCATTCATAGGGCTTCTCTCCTGTGGGAATTCTTTCATGATTAGTGAGAACTGTCTCCTGAGGAAAGCATTGTGGGCTGTCCCTCTGAGCAGGAAGATTTTCCACCTTGAGTGAACGCACGTATTTCTCTCGATGTATTCGCCTATGATTCACAACACAAGCCGTGTAGGCAAACGCTTTGCCACACTCACTGCAGACACAGGGTATCTCTCCCGTAGGGCTTCGCTGGTGGGCTATGAGCTTTTGCTTTGTGGTGAAGGCTTTCCCACACTCCCTGCATTCATAGGGCTTCTCTCCTGTGTGAATTCTTTCATGATTAATGAGACCTGTCTTCTGAGAAAAGTATTTTCCACAAACATTGCACACAAATGGAGTCTTCCCTGTGTGAAATCTCTCATGGGCTATGAGGCATGTCTTCTGGATGAAGCCTTCTCCACATTCACTGCATATATAAGGTTTCTCTCCTGTATGAATCCGCTGATGTACAACGAGATTTCCCTTCTGGTTGAAACTTTTTCCACAGTCACTGCATTTATGTGGTTTCTCCCCTGTATGTGTTTTCTGATGTCTGTTGAGCGCTGATATGTGGAGAAAGATTTTACCACAGTCAGTACAGTCATAAGTTTTTTCTCCGGTATGTGTTCTCTGGTGGTCAGAGAGCATGGCCTTCCTGCGAAAGGCTTTCCCACACACAGCACACTGATGAGGCTTCTCTCCTGTGTGAAGGTTGTAGTGGTCACTGAGCAGAGATTTCCTCCTGAAGGCTTTTCCACATTCCCGGCACACGTGAGGTTTTTTTATTTTTTGAGTTTTCCGGTGTTTGAGGACTTGTGATTTCCTACTGGTACGTTTTTGGCTTTCAGGAAGGGAAATTTCAGGCTGCCCCTCACCATGGTTAGCATGGAGAAAGGACTTTCTACTACCATTAGACTCTCTACTACCATTAGCAGCGTTCTTTATTTCACAGCTTCTGCTCCGCTTAACTGAAGTTAAGCTTAATTTCATACTTTTTGTATGTACATCAAACCTACCGTGACTTTTTCTCAACAAGTAATTATTGCTGCTTTGCTGAACAGCATCTGTGTATGTATTGTGTCCATGGCATTGCTGTACTTTGTTCTCCACATTCCCAAGCTGTGACGGCTGTGGCAAACAATCTTCAACTTTTGCTATTTCTAAAAAGAAAGAAAAATGAATCCCTTCATCATCATGCCTTGGCATAAAGGTATTTTGAAAACCACCATGAAGGTCAATTTTTACTGATGACTCCATGAAATGAATGTAAATAAAACTCAGGGTTCTCTGCCCTCAAGGAGAGGTCTCTGCACCTGCCCCAGCTGTTCCTCACTCACCTAATTCGGGAAAATGCTGCATTTCCACTTCCGGTGTCCATGGCAATTCGCCTCCTTCCACCCTGGAGATCGTGTCAGGTCGGCAGACTTGGTAACCTGGTCATGGGACATGAGAGATAGACACATTGAGGGGTGTGGGCTGTGGGACCATGAGATGTTATAAGTGAGGACCAAACACTTTTGACATTAGAAAGGGGAAGCAGACTGGGGATCCAGCCCTTGTCGTGTGGGTTTTTAACACACCCAGGAATTCTGTGACAGCAATGGATGGTGTCAGAGTGTGCTACAGTTTACCTCAGTGTGACAATTACCACCTGGAGGCAGCACTGGAAGGCACAGGTTAGGGGTTCAGCCCCACCCTCACCCCCAGTTGAGATACTGATCTCAATGAGGCATTTACTAAGCTTCTGATTGACCAGAGGCTCCCATGATGCCCTCTCAGCTCCAATTAATTTGCTGGCAGGGCATCCAGAACTCAGCAAATGTTTGGTTCCTAGGTGACAGCTTATCATGAAAGAACAAGCCGTGAATGCTTGCGGGAAAAGTATCAGAGAAAGTTGTAAGGACAGGGCAAAGCGTTTATGCTGACTGGACACCCCACTCTCCTAGCACCTCTCAGCTTTCCAATGTTCCCCAATACTGTCCTATGGGTTTTGGAGAGGCTTCACTAAGCAGCCAGGATTGATGAGATCATCACCTGTGGGTGACCAGGCTGCTGATTCACCCTCCACCCTTCTCCCACCCACTGAGAGTCCCATCCCTCTAAACATAGTGGGTGCATGGGCAGCAGGCACCAGTCTGAGGTGAGCTGAGGACCCCGAGATTCTCCTACTCACCTCAACCCAGAGGTGGCTGAAAGCAGTTTGCTGTGAATAAGGGAAGACACCAGTACATCCACCTCCTCTTATCATACGAGAAAGGACATGTGGGGCCAGTGCCAGACCTGACATGACGGCCACCCGTGCACAGACATTCCTGATATCAAACACTCACACCCACGCAGGACAGGCTTTTCTCCCAGGAGGAGAAGAGAACAGCCCTTCTCAGGAGCAGAAGGGGACTGAGACCCTCTCCCTCACAGCAACCGTACTCCAGAGCCTTCCCAGGCCCAGCAGGAAAGGCCCTACTGGCCCCCAGGCCAGGGCCCGTCCTCACCCACGGACACCAGGTGGCTGTAGGTCTCCAGCATCACCTCCCGGTACAGGGCCTTCTGCGTGGGGGCCAGGAGCCGCCACTCCTCTGGGCTGAAGCACACGGCGACCTCGGCGAAGGTCAGCGGGGCCTGCACAGCACAGGGGGCGTGAGAGGCCTTGTGAGGACACGGGCGGAACCTGACATGCTCTCTGCATTGTGCATTTTGTAGGTTGTACTTGATCCCCTGGGTGTATGCACAGGCATCACGTAAAGCAAATGCCGCCTAAGACATTCTGGGCTGAGCCTTTGCGCTCGGACCCGGCGTCCAGTTGGAAGGTTTCCTACTATGGGAGGCCAGATCTGCCCGGTGACCTGGAAGGACGTTCTCACGAGCAGCTGCTCTTCAGGGACCCCCCACCCTGTCACCTCCAGGAGGGACACAAACAAGATCCCAGAGCAGAGACCAGGAGGGACCTACCTCCCCCTCCAACCCGAAATCCCACAAAGGTACGTTACTTGCGGGGCTGACGTCAAAGACATCACATGTACCTGCAGCAATGACCCCCCGCGACCCCACACTCACCCCCAATCCCGCCTCCCGTCACACACGCCCTGACGCCCTGACATGGCGTTAACAACTCGGTTAACTTCTCTCAGGTCCTGCTGTCGCGGTGCCTACTCTTCAGCGCTACCACTTCTCAAGAGGCCTCCAGACTCACGGCCACGCAGCAGGGGAGGCGCCGGGTCCAGAGGGAAGGCCTCTCCCTGCTGCTCCCACCTCGGGGGGTGTGGGGGCTTCAACCCTGTGTCCCCCAGCCTGTGCTGAGAACCTTTGTTTCTCTCCTCCCGTCTCCTCCCTGGGCCTGAGACAAACAAACATGGTACAGACAAAAGAAGAAAACAAAGCAAAGGCACCTCCATCACGCCCAGGCCTCAGAACCCGCCGCACGAGCTGCTCCCCAGCATGTGCTCCAGGTCTGCTCCACCTGCTGCCCCGAATCTCAGTCTTCGGTCAAAGGCTGATCTTGGGGTCCCGGGTCTTCTTCCTCCTTCCCTGGATGCTCTTGCTCCCAGGAGCCAGGACCTGTGGGTGCAGGAGAACCCCATGAGTGGCACATTCCCTCCAGCCAGGCCACCCCACTCCCCCACTCTGCCCTCAGCACCCACGATCCTGCCCAGGGCTGTGACTCCATGTCCCAAGACAAGGTCTGCTGGGCTCAAAGCTGAGATCCGGGTGGGGTGCAGGTTGCCTTTACTGTGTGAAGGTGAAATGGGGTGACTGAGAAAGGACACAAGGGCATGAGGTGCACCCCAGCCCCAGGTCTCAGGAGCAGGCCGACCTCAGGCAGATCAGGTACAAGATGGACACCGTGAGGAAGGAGGGTTTTGGGTGCTGTCCCCCAACCCTGTGAACGCCTCTCCTGATTCAAACGACACACCCTGTGGTCACAGGCCCGGCAGCGGGAGAGCCAGGGAGCGCGAAAGCGTGGCCTTAAAGGCAACACTGACTGACGCTGTCTGAGGGGGTTTTAATGCACAGATTAACCGAAGTGCACGACACTGTAAGTCAGACGTCGGTCATCGAGGCTGACGTGCTCCTCCCTGCCTGGAGAAGCGGGGAAAGTGCTAGTGAACACGAGAACTGGGCAGGTGAGGCGGCATTCTCTGCACCCCCCTAGTGTCCTGGGGATCATGAACAAATGTCTTCTGCGCACACTGTGCTGCTCAGGGAAGGGAAACACAGCGACGCCGGGACACACGGCCAGCCCGAGACTCAGCCACACAGCGAAAGGGTGGGCTTTACAAAAAATGGAGCCGAGCCCATGAGATGGTGGGCTGAAGGGGAGAAGGCTGAGCCCCTCCTCACTGCATACACAAAAATCATTTTGGGGTGCACCTGCCAACCACAGAGGCAAATGCACGGGACTTTCTGAACACAGGAGCATCTCCGCGCCGTCAGGGCATGGCCGGCACAAAGCAAGCGATATTGTGCCGGAGGAACCAGAAACGGCGCAGCCACTCTGGACAGCGTTTGACAGCTGTGTAGGTGGAAGATACATACACCCCGATGAGAGCACCCCCAGGTCCCTCGTAAACCCGCACAACCCGGCGCCAGGGAACCTGAGATAAGCTGAACTAGAGAGAAGCTGACAGCAGTAAACACTCCCGAGACCCCTCTGGCAGTAGGGACGCCCGCCGCACGCGCCCCATAAAGACCCGCTCTCCCCAGTTCAAGGCCCGAGTCTCACTCTGCAGCCACGGAGAATCGCCCCTCACAGGCATTCGTCCAATAAAGCCTGCTTCCATCTGATGCCCTTGGCCTGCTCTCTTCCCAACACACCCTGAGACACAGCAGTTTCGCTTGGGCTCTCTGAAGCTGGTGACCGGGAAAAGCAGCCTGGGGGTCTTAGTATCGACCTTCTGCTCAGTTCCTGGACGCAACTTGGTTTCTGGTAGGAATCTTGTCAGATGTTAACCATGAGGCAGGATGGACCTGGGGGGTCCCATGACTACTGACCCCTCACTTACTCTTTAGTGTGCAACTCACCTCTTGGAATGTAGCCACGTCCTATCTGACCATGAACAGCTTCCAAGGAAAACCCACCCGGAACCTTGTAGAAACTGAAGTATATATGAGCCCTGACTTCCTACAAAGAGGGCTCAGCCTTGGGATGTAAATCTGCCAAGTCAGCACCAGAGCATTAAACCTGCTTCCTCTTGGCCCTGGTGTCCAAATTTCATTTGTGCCGAATAACATTACCTCCAAGCTATCTGTACCGCCCCCACCCCCATATAGGCACATCCGAAGCAGAAGACAAGGGCGAGAGTACTCACAGCTGAGTCATCTGTAACTGCCCAAGTGTAAACACGTTTCCCTATGTTTTGGAAAAGCTGCCATCTACTCCAACAAGGAGCAAACAGCACGCGTTCCCGGAGCCTGTCCAGCTTTGCAAGCTAAGAACAATTTCTACATGTGAAAGGCTGTTAAGACAAAACACCAAAACCCTAAGCGAGAGGATGGCTGTGGCCTGCAACTCCCAAAACATTTACTGAAGAGACATTCAGAGAACAGACTTGCCCAGCCCTGGAACAGTGAAAAAACAAATCACGCAAAGATGTTATTCTTGCAAACAATGAACAAAAGAGGAGTTTGTGTTTAAAAAATGCACTATGTTAAATTACACTGGCCTTTGGGGTCCAGATGTAGTAATTGGGAAGGGGTTGACCCAGCACCACTGGGGAGCAGACAATGAGCTGTTTCTGTGACCGCTGAAATATAACTTTGCTACCGATTAACATGTAGATCTTTTAAATTAGCAAGTGAATGCAAGAGCTCAACCAGACCAGGAAGACCAATAAAATATACACTTTTGGAGTGGGGTGGAGCAAAAGGGAAAAAAAAAACTCAGGTAAACAGAGAATGTAAGATACCAAGCTGAGACACCAATGAAACAGACATTTTTGTTTTTTTAGGTCTTGAAGGAATATTTTGAACTTTATGTCACTGAACTTGAAATGCTAGATGAATTCCAAGCCCCAGCATCCTACTCCCTCACACAAACTCCAGGCAACACAGCAGCTAAATTTTATGTGTCCACTAATACCTACCTATTTTCTACTAAGTATTGAGAGTAGAGCCGATACGGTGAGCTCAGAATAAACTTTAAACAGTAGAGAGTATCCCAGTCATTAGTAATTTAAGAGACCAAGCTCCCCCAGAAATCACCAAGCAAATGTGCAGATATGCACACCTGGCTAGGACTGCACCATGCCCTTAACTCCAGCACAGGCAACAGGAGCTGGGACTGTTACAGGCAACCCCAGTGTGAAATGGGCTGCTGTTGGGAGCTGCTGCCCTGCAGGGAGCTGGAGTTTTTGGAGAGCACCTGTTCACTCTGCACATGGAGTGCCAAGATGTCAGATGTTCTGCAAACAGAACTACCCAGAACTGACTCCTGTTCTCTGAGGACATGATGGCTTGTACACATGTTCTTTACTAACCAGGAAATCTTGTTTCAGGAGTAACTTACTAATCTGTATAAGCAAAAAACACAACTGTGTTGCTATTTTCCTGTTTCTTTGTTCATATCTTTAATAAAAACTTGGGCTGGAAAATGAAAGGCAGAGCTGCTCTCAATGGATCTCCCCAGCCTCCGCCCACTACAAATTCGTTTAGACTCCAAGTCTTCATTAATGGCATAGAACTCCCTCGGCTGTCCTGTCTGCAACAGGTTGCCTGACTGTAGGTCCTCACCCGCGCACTTAAAAGGGGCTTAAAACGAGACTCAAGTGCAGGCACACACAAAGGTTTATTTACCAAAAAAAAAAGGGCTATGAAGAAATGAGTAACCCAGAAAGAAAGAGCAAGAGAGAGAAAAATTGGCGAATGGGTCCTACCAGTTCCGTTGAGCTGGAACCCCAAGAGCACGCTGAGAACCTGAGAAAAACCAAGGCCTCCAAGGCCCACATGTCTGGTTATATACCAAGTCTGGCTGCTTAACCCCACCCTCAGCTCCCAGCAATCCTCCCCTCAGTGACAGCATTATGGGATTTGTAGTCCTTGGTATCTTGGATCCCTTTGGTCTGGTATGAGGGTGGGGTCCATAAAACCTATTTGTGCTATTTGTTTTGGACATCTTTTCCCCCAGCACAACAACCAGGGCTTACTAGGAAACTGGAACATGGGTCACATTACCAAAAGGAGAAATAGGAAACACAAGGGAGATTCTGTTAGCAAAGCCGTGTGAATGTTTGTCTGGTAGGTAAGCGAGTGCTCCCTGGTCAATGTTAAGAGGGGAGTGCAGGGGTTGGCAAACATTTTCTGCAAATGAATAGTTATGTCGCATGTTTTACTTTGAGGCTCAAGGTCTCTGTCGAAGAATTCAATTCTGTCTTTACCATAAACTTTGCCTAACAGGAGGTGTGTCTGCATTAGTCAATCAGCCCTTGGATAAAAAGCTAAAATCGGGCCTCCCCGGTGGCGCAGCGGTTGAGCGCTGGGTTGCAAAGCTGCCCGCGGCCTCTGCGGCGCCGGTTCAATCCCCGGCTGCTCCCCGGCCACTGGAGGAGGGTCCCACATGGCGCGCAGACCTCTCCTGCCGCCCGCTGCTCCCCTCAGCAGTGTACTTCGGTCCTTCTGCCTGTTCTGCTCCCCGCTCTGGCTCTGGTGAATTCTCTCACCCTCCCGCGCTTCTGACTGTACCCAGTGCTTGTATAAATAAATAAATAAATAAATCTTTAAAAAAAAAAAAAAAAGCTAAAATCCAGAATGCTTCAAATCAGGGCACGGGCTGTACCGCCTCAAGCCACACACAGCCGGGGTCCCAGGCGTTCGCACAAACCTCTCTCCACCACACACCAGCCAGTGGGTGGCGTCACCCCCAAATCAACGGCAAAGGGCCCTGAATCCATGAACTGGAGATACTGAGAACTGGGGTCCGAGTGGACCCCATGCTTGCCCAAGTCACCTTCCTGACGATCCACCTGCTTATCAACCCAAATCCAGGGGTGGACACCCCCCTATGACGGTCACCCACCCCCACCCAAACTTCACTGAGCCCCACGTTAAGCCCGAACCGGACCCAGGCACACGGTGGCCGGGGATGCGGCCGCTGCCTTACAGGGCGACCCGCGAAGACCTCGCCCCCGGACGTGGGGCGGGGTCGCCGGCGTCTGCCGAACCTCAGTCTTTTTTGCCGACCCCCCAGGCTTTCCCCAACGCGCCAATAATTCCCCCCTCCGGTCGCCAGGCACCCAGTGAAAGACAAAGCCCCATGGAAAAACAGAACAAAACCAAAGCAACAAAAACACTTGCAGGGACAAGAGATACTGACCCGATTTCTTCCCAGGCCCACGAGCGCCTAAAGAGAACACTTCCGTGAACGGCTTCTACGTCGAAGGTCGCTCATATTTACCATCAGCCTACGGTGGCCGAAGAGGCGCAAACGCATTTGAAGAAACGCGACAAACGTTCTTCCCGCTCGGTTTCAGGAGGCAATATGTCTGCGCCCGTGCGCCGTGAGCCCATGGGGGCGGCCATGTTGGCACACCTGACGTACAAAAAGCCAGGGGCTGGTTTGGAAGCCGGTCGCCAGGACGGCGGCGAGGACGAGGAGCCAGCGGGTTGCTCTCGTGACCCAGAACTCTCTCTCTTGCGGGAAAGGGCAGCTTCTCAGAGACCCGAGCGTCACTAGGAAGCGCGGCAGGCGGGACAGAACAGCACCCTGCGGCGCGCGGATTAGCCGCTCGTGATATTTGTCAAGTGTTTTCAAGCAGAATGACTGGAGACGAGTTTGCTGAGGGCAGACCCGGGCTCGGGGGGTGACCAGGTGTGTGCGTCCTCACCACGCAGTAGCGAATAGACGACAAGACCCCCAGGCAGCATGACAGCGAGAGAAAGGAGAGGCAAGAAAAAGAAAAGTTCTTGTCTGGCAGGAGCGGGCGCCCTGCGGCCCACCCCAGTGGCGTCCCGGAGACCAGGGTGCAAGTGTCAGAAAGAAAGAGGGCTCTGGCCTGTGTTCCGCCTTTTTAGGGTGAAGGGGGACTCCGCTCGGACCCCAGTTCCCAGTGCCTCCAGTTCAGGGATTCAGGGACCTTTTACCGTCGATTTGGGGGTGACGCCACCCTCTAGCTGAGAGTTGCCCCTCCTTCTCTTCCAAGAGGAGTGAGGGGCTTAAGAGATCAGAGGGAGGCCTGAAGCCCGGGGTCCCCCCTTGGGAGTTGCAGACTTCAGACCCGGTCTGGAGGTTTTTGTGCATCTGCTGTGACGGAGTGGGGTGTCGCTAATGTTTGCAGAAAAATTCGAGTAGGGGTCCACTTTCTGGTTTCTGACTGATGTTAGTCAGGCATGGAGGAGATCCAGCGGGGTAGGCCAGCCTTATCCTACCTCTTTGGAAAGTTCTTCTGGAGACCTGGGGAGTTGAGGGGTCCTAAACCAAGGAGCACTCGGTTCTTCGAAGTTACTTAAGTGCTGGCGAGACCATTTGCTTACCCAGAGGCCGCCTCTTCATGTCACACCAGCTGTGTGTTGTTGTTGTCAAGCTTTTGAAATGGACAATTAGGCGTTCTGGCCACTGTACAGCAGCGGAGAACGGACTCTTGGTTAGAGAAAAGGTGAACAGATGCCTGCAGAATCACTTTGGAAAAATTGCTTGCAGGAAGTGGTTTTTAAGAACAGAAAATTTTGCGAGAAACTGGCTACACTAGGAAGCTGGCTATCATTTTTTTTAAGATTTACTTATTTATGCATACAAGAGCTGGGGTACAGGCCAGAGGTGTGGGGGCTGAGAGGATTCACCAGAGACAGTGGGAACAGAACAGGCAGATTGACTGAAATACACTGCTGAGGGGAGCAGCAGGCGAGTCAGGAGAGGTCTGCTGTGCCATGTGGGTAGCTCCCTGGCCGGCCAGGGATCAAACTCGTGCTGCAGAGGCTGCGGATTGCTTCACAATGCGATACTTAACCCCTTGCGCCACCAGGGAGGCCCCTGGCCATCATTTTGAAGGGAGGAAACGGAGGCTGGGAGGAGTCTAAATTTCCATTGGGTTTCAGGGTTAGGGAACACCTCTAAAAGTCAGACCAGTGAAAGTCCGGAGCCAAAGGCACAACCAGAACGAAAAACCAAAGATACTAAGTTCAGTGACTTTTTGACCAAGGTACCAAAATAATTAAGAGGGGTTAATCTTTTCAACAATGAGGGCATAGTTGATGTCCAGTTGCAGACCAGTTAGGACTATTAATTCGAGCCACACACAAAAATTAACTCAAATGGATCACAGATTTTAATATAGGGCGAAAGTATTAAATGTAACAGAATATGGGAGATAATCTTAGTGAGCTCAAGTTACCCAGAGAGTTCTGAGAAAAGACAGGCATCTACGATCCATAAAAGGAATAATAACACATTGGACTTAGTTAAAATGAACTTTTATGCTTCTAAGCACATTTAAGAAAATGGAAAGGAGAGCTAGAGATTGGGAGAAACTTTCCACAATAAACATCTGATGAGGACTTGTATTCCGAATAGACAAAGAATTCTTTTTTTTAAACTTTCTTTTTTTTATGAATTATTTTTAAAAATTTTTTTACATCACTGTTCATTTTTAAACAATATTTGCTTCCCCCCGCCCCCTCAGGTATAGTCCCCATAGAGCTTCCTTCCCTAATGCAACCGAGCACCATCACCTCAGTCCCCTGTGCTCCGCCCTCCCTCCCTCTGATCCCTCTCCCTCCTCCTCCGCAGCAGGATGTCTCTGATTTGTAATTGTCTGGTTTTGTTTTGTTGTATTTTGTACTGTTATTATTTTTTTACACTGATGCCTTATTTGGTTCCCCTATATTCCTGCTATAAGTGAAACCATCCAATATTTTTCTTTTTCCTTCTGGCTTATTTCACTGAGCATCATTCCTTCTAGATCCATCCACGTTGCTGCAAATGGCATGAGTTTATTTTTTTGATTGCCGAATAATATTCCATTGTGTATATATACACCGTATCTTCTTGATCCAGTCATCTATTTTTGGGCATTAGGGTTGTAACCAGGTTTTACCTATTATAAATAGTGCTGCAATAAACATAGGGGTGCAGGTGTTCTGTTTGAATCAATGTTTTTGTGTCCTTTGGGTAGATCCCTAGGAGTGCAATTGCCAGATTATATGGTAGCTCCATTTTTAGTAGACTGAGGGACCTCCACACAGCTTTCCATAATGGTTGGACCAGTGTGCACTCCCACCAGCAGAGCAGGAGCATTCTCTTTTCACCACATCCTCGCCAACATTTGTTGTTGCTTGTTTTTTTTGATATGTGCCATTCTCACTGGTGTAAGGTGGTTTCTCGTTGTGGTTTTGATTTGCATTTCCCTGATAATAAGGGATGTTGAACATTTTTTCATATGCCTGTTGGCCATTTGCATTTCCTCTTTGGAGAAGTGTCTTAAGTTTTTCTGCCCATTTTGTGACTGGGTTGTTTATTTTGTTTTTGTTGAGTTCTTTGTATATCTTTGTGATCAGTCCCTTATCAATTGAATGGAGTGCAAAGATTTTTTTCCCAATCAGTGGGGTGTCTGTTTTGGTTAATGTCTCTTTTGCTGTGCAGAAGCTTCTCAGTTTGATGTAATTCCAGGTGTGTATCTTTTCCTTGACTATTTTTATACAAAGTGGTGCAAGGGGTTAAGCACAGTACTATGAAGCAAACTGCAGCCCCCGAAGCAAGAGTTCGATCCCCAGGCAGGGAGCAAACCACATGGCGCAGCAGACCTCTCCTGACTCCCCTGCTGCTCCCCTCAGCAGTGTACTTTTGTCAATCTGCATTTCTGTTTCTCACTCTGTCTCTGGTGAATCCTCTGACCCCCCATCCCACCCCCCACATCTCTGGCCTATACCTCAGCTCTTGTATGCATCAATAAATAAATCTTTTTAAAAAAAGAGAATTCTTATAATTCAAGATGAACAAACCATCCAGTCACTTTTGGGGGGAAATCACAAAAATTACTGAAAATGAGATTGTTCTTAAGGGCACTTTAAAACTCTGCCATTGAGGTGTATATTTGCTAGTGGTAAATGTATGCAAATTGTGACTACAACGCTGTAAAAAAAAATTGCTGTTCTGTACTAGAAATTGTATGATGTGCAGGAAATGCAGAATGCTGTGATAATGTGGGCTAGCAGGCACTCTTATTATTTGCCAGAGACAATGCAAAAATATTGAGCCAAGTGAAAAGACAGGCAATTTCTTAAATGTATGATCCCAGTATTTTTTGATTTAATTAATTTATTTTCATCCCAGTGTTTGGAAAGGTAATCTAAAAACTAAATTGAAATGGATGTCACTGAAGAGTAGGTTTTTGGAAAATGGTTGTTTCTGCTTGTCAAAGAGAACTGACAGTGCATAGATGAGAGTAAGTGCTGCTGTAAAATGAGAAAAGCCCTATTTTGTGTGTGTGTGTGTGTGTGCGTGTGTGACCCTTGCCAGCAGCCAGGGAACTAACAGGCACTGCAGAGGCTGCGGGCAGCCTCGCAGCCCAGCGCTCAACCCCTGTGCCACCAGGGGAGGCCCACAAAAGCCCTATTTTTAAAAGCAGACACATCGCTGGTTATGCTGAACTGGTGATTTTTGTGGAGAGGAGAAGAGTGGGTGTGGATACCTTTAGGAATCTTGAGGGGCTTGCACTTGAAAGACTGAGATAAATGTTTCCAGCATCCAGAGGTTGAGCTGACATGGTGGGTCTGAAAACTTCCAGAACCGTCTACACACACACACACACACACACACACACACACCCCTTTCCTCTGTACTTCCCACTGATCCCAAATTCACACATACACACACACACCCCTTTCCTCTGTACTTCCCACTGATCCCAAATTCACTTTTAACTGACCACAGAAACTCTGGTACTATGGCACCACTCTCTACCCCAGGCTTGCTGTCCTGGGTCCCACAGTGAGTGACTGAGCTGGACAGCACAGCTCATCCATCCACATGAGCCACCCAGTGGCCATCTTGAGCCCTGCAGAGGGAACTTGTGGGCCTTCAACCTACTTTTGGCCCCCCGCCCCCCCCCCCCCCCCCGTACCTTCAGACTAAACCTTAACTAAAGCCTTCACACAACTACCCGCTTCTTCAGTGATGGAACCCAAGTAAGACCCTTCTAAATGGGCATTCACAACATGCACACTTCGTGGGACACCTTCCCCCCAGCCCTCCCTCCAAACCCACTGTCAGGCTTACTGATTCTGAACCTCTGAAGACCCCTGACTGGCAGATGCCAAGGGTTGAACCTTGGTTCCAAAGCACATGGGGCTCCCCTGCTTTCAAAGCAGGCCCTGGCAAGGTATGGCTAGGGAGAAAGGTTGGGAGAGGGTGTACAGCCAGGCTTTGGGGCAGCCTTGGACACAGGCTGTGAGGTAGTTGGCTTTTTTTTTTTTAAAGATTTATTTATTTAGGGCCTCACCAGTGGCGCAGCAGGTTGAGGGCTGTGCTGTGAGGCTATCCGCAGCCTCCACGGCACCGGCTCCATTCCCAGCCGGCTGGGGAGAATCCCACATGGCAAGGCAGACCTTTCCCGTCTCGCCCACTGCTTCCCTCAGCAGTGCCTTTGGTTCATCTGCCTGTTCTGCTCCCCGTTCTGTCTCTAGTGAATCCTCTCACCCTCCCGCAACTTTGGCCTGTACCCTGGCTCTTGTATAAATAAAAATAAATCTTAAAAAAGATTTATTTATACATACAAGAACTGGGGTACAGGCAGGAGGTGTGGGGGGTGAGAGGATTCACCAGAAACAGATTATACGGCAGAACAGGCAGATTTACTGAAATACGCTGAGGGGAGCAGTGGGCGAGTCAGGAAAGGTCTGCTGTGCCTTGTGGGTTGCTCCCTGGCTGGCTGGGGATTGAACTCATGCTGCAGTGGCTGCGAATAGCTTCATAGGTTGCTTCTTAACCCCTTGCGCCACCAGGGAGGCACTATTCTGGCATTTCTGACAGAGGTGGCCATCAGGGCTGCTGACTCTCAAGGGTGGGAAAAAATGGAAATGTCTTACGAGTACCCCCCTCCCAAACACACACGTCCCTTCCTCTGAAATTCTTTTCATACAAAGCCTTCACAAGATGTTCACAGTATCTTTATTTGTAATAGTGGGAAACTGAAAGAAAAAGAACCACCTAATGCCCTCCAGTGGGTGGATAGCTGTACATACCATGGAATATTGCTCATCAATAGAAAATAAAACCACTATTGATAAACACAACAACTTGGGCTGGATTTTGGGTTGAATTTATCTGAGGTCAAATAAGCAACCTCACAACAATAGATGCTAAGTGATTCCATTTTTATAATATTCTATAAATGACAAAATTATGCAGGGATCTGTGAGAGTAAGGGTTGGCGACAAGGTGGTATTACCCTTGTGAAGGGGCAGGATGAGGGAGCTTGTGTTGACACAGCATCTGGATCTTGATTGTGGTGGGGGTTAGATGAAACTATGTGTGATAACATTTCTTAAAGTTGTGTATAAAAGTCAAACAGGGCCTCCCTGGTGGCATAAGGGGTTAAGACGCAGCACTATGAAGCTATCCACAGCCTCTGCAGCACGAGTTTGATCCCCGACCAGGGAGCTGACCCACATGGCGTAGCAGACATTTCCTGTCTCCCTGCTGCTCCCCTCAGTAGTGTATTTCACTCCGTCTGCCTGTTCTGTTCCCCACTCTGTCTCTGGTGAATCCTCTCACCCTCCTGTGCCTCTGGCTTGTACCCTAGTGCTTGTATAAATAAATAAATCTTTTAAAAAAGTAATAAAAGACTTTCACATGGTCATATTTTTTCATTATAAGTCTACCAACAATGACCTCTAAGGATCTCAGACAATAAATTCTGTCTTCCCTAAGAAGGCTTTCAAGCCTCTGCATTCATAGAATTTGTCTCAGACATATTGTCTAGCTAGAAAGTTTTGCTCAAGGCATATCCACATTTTTTCACTGACAGGAAATGGAAGGCTTACTCAAGATACTACTGCATTTCTTTTTTTTAAAAAAAATTTATTTATTTATGCATACAAGAACTGGGGTACAGGCCAGAGGTGTGGAGTGTGAGAGGCCTCACCAGAGACAGAATGGGGAGCAGGACAGGCAGATTGACTGAAATACACTGCTGAGGGGAGCAACAGGCGAGGTCTGCCGCGTGACATGGGTAGCTCCCTGGCCGGGGATCAAACTCGTGCTGCAGTGGCTGCAGACAGCTTCATAGGTTGCGTCTTAACCCCTTGCGCCACCACAGAGGCCCACTACCGCATTTCTTATGTTCACCAGGTTTATCTTCCAGCAAATCCTCCTCGGGGCACAAGTGACAACAGGCGGTACTGTAATTATACTTGAATCTCCTAAAAACAACTGATGTTCCATGAAGCCTACCACAGAGGCATTTGCTCTGTGGTAACAAGTTTTTGTTCTTCAGGAGCTCAACCGTAAGTAAAGAGCTGTGATGCCCTGTTAAAGGAATTTCCAACATGACTGAATCTACCCATCTGTCTTGTGTGCATCTTCTTATGTTTAACAAGGTTGGACAAATGGGAGAAGGCTTTCTCACAATTACTGCATCCATACGGTCTCTCTCATGTATGTGTTCTTTGATGTACCTTGAGTACTGACTTTGTGGTGAAGGCTTTCCCACATTCATTGCACTCATAGGGTTTTTCTCCAGTGTGAATTCTTGATGAGTAATGAGACCATATTTGTGTGAATAGGATTTTCCACACTCTGTACATATAAAGGGTGTCTGGCCAGTATGACACCTCTCATGTTGTATGAGGCATATTTTCTGACTGAAGGCTTTCCCACATTCATTGCATTCATAGGGCTTCTCTCCTGTGTGAGTTCGCTGATGTATAATGAGGGTGCGCTTGGTGGTAAAGCCTTTTCCGCATTCGCTGCATATATAAGATTTCTCCCCTGTATGAGTTCGCTGGTGGATAATGAGAGTGCGCTTCATGGTGAAGCCTTTTCCACATTCACTGTATATGTAAGACTTCTCCCCGGTATGAGACCGTTGATGTACAATGAGATTACTCTTCACAGTGAAGCCTTTGCCACACTCGCTGCATATATAGGGTTTCTCGCCAGTGTGTGTTCGTTGATGCACAACCAGATAGCGCTTCATGGTGAAACCTTTCCCACATTCGCTGCATATATAGGGCTTCTCCCCTGTGTGAGTTCACTGATGCACAATGAGATTACTCTTTACAGTGAAGCTTTTCCCACATTCACTGCACATGTAAGGCTTCTCTCCACTATGAGTTTGCTGATGCACAATCAGGTAACGCTTCATTGTGAAGCCTTTTCCACACTCACTGCATATGTAGGATTTCTCTCCTGTGTGGGTTTTCTGATAGACTGTGAGACTGCTCTTCAAGGAATCTTTTCTGAATTCACTGGTTATAGAGGGCTTGTCACTTGTATGAGTCGCTCCACTCAACCGCCTGTGCCACCAGGGAGGCCCTCAATAATTCTTTTTTAATACTCCAAGCTTTTTTTCCCTAATTAAACATATAATAAAACTATTAACTCCCAAAATTATAGCTTTAAGACATTTATGCTCTCATTAAACCATTACTTTTTTAAATTTTTTTTTAAGATTTATTTATTTTTATATAAGAGCTGGGGTACAGGCCAGAGGCGCGGGAGGGTGAGAGGATTCAACAGACAGAGTGGGGAACAGAACAGGCAGATGGCCAAAATACGTTGCTGTGGGGAGCAGCGGACAAGACAGGAGAGGTCTGCCGTGCCCTGTGGGACTCTCCCTGGCCAGCCAGGAATCGAACCAGCACTCAGAGGCTGCAGAGAGCCCACAGCATAGTGCTCAACCTGCTGCGCCACGGGGAAGCCCAAACCATTACATTTTGAACTAGCTTTTGTTTACAAAAATTTTAGATCTCTATCTCAAAATTTGTTTGTTTTTCCTTAAAGATATATTTATTTTTACAAGCATGGGAGTACAGGCCAGAGGTGCGGGAGGGTGAGAGGATTCACCAGAGACCGAGCGGGGATCACGATGGAGAGACCGAGCTCAGGGCAGCGTCCTATGCCCCCGGGACGGAGCGGCGGCTCCTGACGCCCAGCTACCCCCCCACCGCGGGCAGCGGGTGCCGGCCCGACCCGGTGCCGCCCCCGGCCAGAGCCTCTCTGCCCAACCGCCCTCAGCAGAGGCGGCGCCGCTCAAGGCGCCGCCCGGCCCCGACCCTGAGACGCCAGGGGGGCTCCAAGCAGAGCAGGGGCGCATGCACCCCGCCCGACCCCCCCGGATCTCCAGCTGCTGCATCCCCAGGACTCCCCGAACCCTCCTAGCACCCCCTGGCCCTGGCCACACTCGCGGGGTGTTGGAGGGAAACCTGCACCCTCCGCTCGCACTCACACCCCCAGGGCAGGCTGTGCCCCAAGACGCCCTGGGTGGAGGGGCGGGGTCACTGTCAGGGAGGACACCCCCGTAGCCACACACAAGCGGTGGCCGCGCCCCCCGGCAGAAAATGCAAATAGGCCCCGCAGACTCACCACCGCGGGCAAGCCCGGGCAACCCGCATCCCTGAAGGGGAAACGGCCTCACCTGGCCCAGCCGCGCGGAGAAGCCCCAGGCGCCGCCCCAGGTGAGCAGACCCCGCCCCCCGACTGCGCAGGCGCAAAAGCGACAACATCAGAACAGCCGGTAGGGGGCGCCAGAAACCCCCAAGGCGAACCCCCCTGGGCCCTCGAACCCCACTCCCCCTACCTTATTTTCTTTTCTTTTTTTTTTTTTTTTTTTTTTTTTTTTTAAAGATATTTATTTATACAAGCACTGGGTACAGTCAGAAGCGCGGGAGGGTGAGAGAATTCACCAGAGTCAGAGCGGAGAATAGAGCAGGCAGACTGACGAAGTACACTGCTGAGGGGAGCAGCGGGCGGCAGGAGAGGTCAGCGCGCCATGTGGGACCCTCCTCAGGTGGCCGGGGAGCAGCCTGGGATCAAACCGGCGCTGCAGAGGCTGCAAGCAGCTTCGCAACCCAGCGCTCAACCGCTGCGCCACCGGGGAAGCCCCCCCCTACCTTATTTTCAGCTGCTGCGCTCCAGTTGTTCCTCTTCTGCTCCTTGCTCTCTGCCGCAGCCTTTATTTTCGCAGCCCCCCAGCCTCAGGTGTGCCGCTTAAGCATGCCCACCCCTCCCCAGGGGCCCACCCTCAGGCAGCCGGCGAAGCCCACACTCCCACAGGCTCCTTATTTCACCTCCGCGGTTTTGCCACAAAGGCGTTGGGCGCAAACCCCGAAAGGAAGCAATCGCCCCTTACCCCTCCTCCCACCCCGCCGTTTGCTGTCTCTGGACAGTCAGACAAACTGGCTCATGCTTATCTGAGAGACCGGTCACTGCAACTGCATCATGAGCCCCACTCTCTGGTCTGCCCTTCCGTCTCTGTGGGAGGAAGGGCCGGGGCGTCTTCCGGCTGCTTCCTGCCGAGCGGGGTCCTGGTGGTGGGGGTGTACCATGGAAGGCCTGCACCTGCTGGTGCCACGGTTCCTGACGTGGTGTGAAGGCCTTGGTGGCGGTGTGGCTGTAATGAGGTGTGCAACACGTCATAGGCCTCAGTGTAATAGGGATGGCTTTTTCTCTTCCTCAAGAGGATGGCATGTAGGTTACAGCCCTCCCTGAAGAGGACCAGAGACTACTATAAACAGTGACTGAGGGCCTCCCCGCTGGCGCGGCGGTTGAGCGCTGGGTTGCGAAGCTGTCCGCAGCGTCTGAGGCGCCGGTTCAATGCCCGGCTGCTCCCGGCCACTGGAGGAGGGTCCCACATGGTGCGCAGACCTCTCCTGCCGCCCGCTGCTCCCCTCAGCAGTGTACTTTGTCAGTCTGTCTGTTCTGCTCCCCACTCTGGCTCTGGTGAATTCTCTCACCCTCCCGCGCTTCTGACTGTACCCAGTGCTGGTATAAATAAATAAATAAATAAATCTTTAAAAAAAAAAAAAACAACAGTGACTGAGACATCATTTTTCTCCACCTCATCCCAGTCCTGTAAAATAGTAAACCAAATCTGATTTTAAATAATTTTACCTCTATTAGCATCATCTTTGTGCTTGGCTTGCTCTTCTCAGCTCAGCTCAAAATTTACTCCCAGAAGAATCTCAATCAAAGCCTTGTAAGAAAACAGGTTTTTAATTTTCTGGTTTAAGAAGAAATAAAATTATCTACTGTATTATGCAAAGATAGACATTGTCCTGAGTAGTACAAATACTGCCCACACATTTTGGGGCATGAGAAAAGAGAAAAGCAAATGTTCCAGTTTGCTCATAAGAGACACAATTGCCACTGCTAAGATCAGAGCCCAGTTTAAAGACATGTTCTCTGAAGATAAAAAACAAAACATTAGGGGCCTCCCTGGTGGCGCAAAGGGTTAAGACACAGCCTATGAAGCTATCCACTGCAGCTGAAGCACGAATTTGGTTCACCCACCAGGGAACAACCCACATGCGCAGCAGACCTCTCCTGACTGGCCTGCTGCCGCCCTCAGCAGTGCACTTTCATCAATCTGCTTGTTCTGTTCCCCACTCTGTCTCTGGTGAGTCTCCTCACCCCCGACACCTCTGGCCTGTACCCCAACTCTTATATGCATCAATCAATCAATCAGTCTTTAAAAACAAAAACAAAACTTTACCATTTCTGAAAAGTGATTTCAAGAAAAAAATTGTCACGGGCTTAATAAATTATGCAATTTTTATAAAACAACACTGAATTCCCCAGAGTGATAGAGTTTTTTAAAGTAGATCTATGTTTACACTGCTCAACAATGTTGACAGGACTATATTTTTCAGTTAACCAAGCCTGAGGGTAAAAGAGAACCAAGATTTTAGATTACCTCAACAGTCTATTTGTCATCCAGAACTAGTAAAAGCAGTTTAAGAATCCTTGAGTCTTGACTGCAGATAAAAAAAAAATTAGTTTGGTTTTACAGAAGTACACTACTGATATTCTTAAAGCAAGTCATTACAGCACATAACATTTTTCTAAGATACCTCTCTCATACCTTCAACACTTTTTTTTTGTTGCCTTCCTATTGTGCACCATTTTTTTTTTTAAAGATAGCCAATTTTGCAATTGTAAAATCAAGGCTACCTGTGACAGGAGGGCTAAAACCAAATAGGGCAATTTCAAACATTGAGAGGACTTGACACAACTGGAGCGTGACCCACCACTGACAGGAACATCAATGGGTGCAGCCATCTTGGCAAGGTTGGTGCAGTCTAATTAAGTTAAACCCCCAACCTAACACATGACACCTGCATAGCCCCAAGAAACCAAAACTGTTGACACACGGTTGTGTCCACAAAGGTTCCACAGCATTTTTATTCATAACGGTGAAACATTGACAGCAACTCAAAAGCCCCTGAAGAATGAAGAGAAAGGGAATATTATGCAGTAAGGAAGGGGAATTATTTACACATCCAAGAGATTGGACGGATCTTGAGGACAACTGGCTGTGTGGGATAAAGGCCTAGCTCAAAGATTACAGATGTGATTTCACCTCAATGACATTCTTGAGATGACAAAAGTCAGACTGTAAGTGAACTGACAGGTGGTCACCAGGGTAGGGGGGTAACTATAAAGGGGCACACACACAGGCTATTTCTTTGTGTTGTTGCAATAATTCTGCACCCTGGTTGGGGTGGAACTGACAGAAATCTATCTGTGATAAAAATCTCTCAGAACTCTACCAACAAAACACAAATTAACACATGCAAAAATGAGTGTAATGCAAAGAGGTCTATAGTTTCTTTAATAGTATCGAGGCCATTTTATTGGTTTCGATGGTACATTCTGGTTAGGTAAGATAATATTACTGAAGAAACAGAGTAAAGATACTCAGGTACGCTGTGTATTTCATAATTGGAGCTGAAGATTATTTAAAAACAAATTGTAGAAAAATCATATTTAAGGTGTTTTGGGGAACTACTTAATGCTACTTATAAACTTGGATAAATACAGCTAAGTATGTTGATTGCTTGATGCATATATTCCTTTTTCTTTTGAAGTATACCTGACTTAAGGAGATAAATTAAGAGCTTAAGAAGTGCAAGAGTGGATCCCATTATGAATCGGGGTGGGCAGGGAACACCCCTACGTTGTATGTAACATTGAAATTTCATCTGTGATGAGAACAGTCCACATTTACGTAACTCTCCTGCCCACCTGCGACTATGAAGGTGTCTCTTTTTTCTTTCTCCTTTTCCTAATAAAGCTGTCCTTTTAAAATATTACAGGAGAGACGGAAAGAGGGAGGTAATAGCCCACTTTTAAATGATCAAATCACTGAGCATATGGCTCAAAATATCCTATTCCAAAATGGCTATCAGGTGCAGTTTAGATTTGTGATGGCAAACTCTCAAGTGTACAACATTTCCATGGCAATCTGTCATAGACTCTAATATTTTGCTGGTTATCCCACTTAAGTGCGCTTAAGTTTTGTTTCTGTGCGGACTTATGACAAATGACAAGGCAGAATGTATAAAGTCCTGCCATATTCCTCACCACCTGAAAACAGAGAACAACGGTAGAAGTTTCATTTCTAAGCAAAGGTTTTCCCACAGTCATTCTATTGCTACTGTGTCTGAGCTCACTGTCTGTATGATTATTGGGATCCCTGATGAGAGAGGTTCTTAACCCTCTGGCATTCTAGTCTTTCATTCCTAAGATTTATCTCAGTATGTGCATTTCAGACATAATGAGAAATGTTTCAAGACTTTCTATATTGCATGTATCCATGTTTCTCCTGTTCACTTTGACACAGGATGTGAAGGTAATTCACTGATCACTGAAGGCACTAACAAATCCTCTGCATTCATTAAATTTCATGCCTATGCAAATGCATAGGAAATTATGAAAACCCAGCTGCAGGCTAATCTACACGGGCTATGTTCAAGTGTGCTAGGTGTATTCTCCAAACCATCACGGTGCATCCCCTGTGTGAGTTCACTTGTATGTATTGAGTTGCCTGCCAAGGATTATGTACTTTGATTTCCACATTTTTCTCCTTCTCATTTTTAATAAGGATAGACAGATGACAGGTTACCCTCAATGAACCCACAGGGTGTTCACTTTTATAAGCCTTTTGATGTATAGTCGGTGCTGAATTCATGTTGAGGAGTATTCTCACATTGATTGCATACATCGTTTGTCTGCTAGACAAATTCCCTGGTGGGTAATGAGACTGATAATACAGGAGATTGATTTTCCATCCTCAGTAGATATGAGTAAATCTATCCCAGGTGAAAGCTCTGTCCTTGTACAAGGTATATTTTCTTCCTGAAGGTGTGACTTTGTTCATTGCATTACTATGGTTTGTTTCCATTATGAGTTCGCTGATGTACAATAAGATTTCTCTTTGAGGAGAAGCCCTTTCCACATTCACTGCACAGAAAAGGTTTCTCTCCCGTATGAGTTCGCTGATGAACAGTTAGACGGCTTTTCACAGAGAAGCCTTTACCGCAGTCATCACATGCGTAAGGTTTTTCTCCAGTGTGAATTTGCTGATGTAAAACAAGCTCAGTTTCCATGGCAAAGGCTTTCCCGCATTCACTGCATATATAGGATTTCTCTCCTGTATGAATCTGCTGATGTACGATAAGATAGCGTTTCATGGTGAAGCCTTTCCCACAGTCACTGCACAGAAAGGGTTTCTCTCCGGTATGAGTTCGCTGATGTACCACAAGGTTGCTCTTAAAGGCAAAACCTTTTCCACATTTATTGCATACATAGGGTTTCTCTCCGGTATGAGTTCGCTGATGTAACATCAGTCCACTATTTACAATGAAACCTTTCCCACATTCATTGCATCTGTAAGGCTTCTCTCCAGTATGTGTTCGCTGATGTACCACCAGCCGACTCTTCAAGGGGAAGCCTTTCCCACATTCACTGCAGGTGTAGGGTTTCTCTCCAGTATGAGTGCGCTGATGTACAATAAGCCTGCTCTTCACAGTGAAGCCTTTTCCACATTCACTACATACGTGGGATTTCTCTACCGTATGATTTCTCTGATGTACAATGAGATTACTTTTCCTGGGGAAACCTTTTCCACACTCACTGCATACATAGGGTTTCTCTCCAGTATGCGTTCGCTGGTGTTCGACCAGACGACTCTTCATGATGAAACCTTTCCCACATTCATTGCATATATACGGTTTCTCTCCTGTATGATTTCGTTGGTGTATGAGGACATAGTGCTTTGTGGTGAAGCTTTTCCCACATTCACTGCAGGTGAAGGGTTTCTCTCCTGTATGAGTTCGCTGATGTATGACGAGCATGCTCTTCCCAGTGAAGCCTTTCCCACAATCACTGCACACATAGCACTTCTCTCCAGTATGATTTCGCTGATGTACAATGAGATTATGCTTCCCAGGGAAACCTTTTCCACACTCACTACATACATAGGGTTTCTCTCCAGTATGAGTTCGCTGGTGTTCGATCAGACGACTCTTCATAGTGAAGACTTTTCCACAATCAGAACATATAAGGGATTTCTCTCTTTTATGAATTCTCTGATGTTCATTGAGCCTGGACTTTCTGGAAAACACTTTTGCACATAGGCTGCATCCATAAGGTTTCTCTCCTGTATGAACTCTCTGATGATCAGTGAGCTGAGACTTCTTAATGAAGCCTTTTCCACATTCACTGCATACATGGGTTTTCTTTATTTCATGAGCTTTCTGATGTTTAATGACTTGGGGCTTATTGCTAGTGAGGTTTGCACTTGCAGAGAATTTAACTGCAGGATGAAATCCTTCATGCTGACCATACAGAAATGATTTCCCATCTGCATTACATTTAGTAGAGTTTTTACTTTCATAGCTTTTGTTCTGGTTGACTAAACTTGAGTTTGATTTCAAAGTTTTTATGTGTAATTCAAACGTACCATTTTTCCTGACAGGAAAATGACTTTTACTTCGAGGACTAGTATTTCCAAATGCACTGTGTCCATGGTATTGTTCCATATCTCTCAGCATTCTTTGATTTTCCAAGTGACCCTGCAGATGATGATCAATGTTGCCAGTTTCTAGTAAAGGAGAGCACAATGAATTCTTTCATAAACTGTTTTGAAATAAAACTGTTCAAAATATTCCTTGATAGTTTAAAAATATGGAAATATTTTTAGTCCTGTTTAGTGACGACCCTATGTATAATAGTACAAAAGAAATGCCAGGTATAAATGTTCCTTATTCCTTACACATTGATAGAAACACAGTAATATCAACAAAAAAAAGGAGGAAGAAGTTGGTGTATTCATAAGTTTAGGCAGTTGACAACCTGTGTAGATATGGCTACTTTCTAAATAAGAGCTTGCAAAACACGCAGAGAATAAAATAGAAGTTGTTGTTACAGAAATGAAGGGGTTTACCGGACTACTATTCCACAGAACACAGAAAGACACCAGACCAGAAGTAGAAACAGATCCAAAATGATGAGGATTTCATCTGCTTTCCAAAACTACTGAATGGCTCCCACATACGAGGCACTAAGCTGATGTTTAGAGTATATAAAATACACTTTATTTTCACTGATTTTTTAATCACGTTAGGGAAAAGTGGGTAAAAGGAAGGCAAAAAAGAAGGGTGTTGGAGTGTGTTAAATATGGTCTGAAGGAGCAGTGGACACGCTGGAAAGTAGAGGGAACCAGGATGTATTTGTATAAAGAAAAGGACAAGATAAAACGGTGGGTTCAGTGAGAAGAGTGGTTAATAAAAAAGAATTAAGGATTACTTAACAATATGGCTCAAGCCACTGGGTAGGTACAAAAGCTGAGACTATAGAAATGAGCCGAACTTCTGGAGGGGGTAGAGACTAAAGACTAAAGGTCAGCCACGGGTCAACATGTGACTGAACCCCAGAAAAACTCTGGCCACCAATGCTCAAGTGAGCTTCCCTGATTGGCTAAACTCTGTGTATTTTTTTTTTAAAGATTTATTTATTTATTTATATAAGCACTGGGGTACAGTCAGAAGCACAGGAGGGTGAGAGAATTCACCAGAGCCAGAGGGGAAAGCAGAGCAGGCAGAATGATGAAGTACACTGCTGAGGGGAGCAGCGGGCGCGGCAGGAGAGGTCTGTGCGCCATGTAGGACCCTCGCCCGGCGGCCGGGGATCAAACCTGCGCTGCAGAGGCTGCTGGCAGCTACCCAAACCAGCACTCAACCACTGCACCACCGGGGAGACCCTAAACTGTGTGTATTGTCATACATCATGGTGTGGGGTGGTAACACCATTCATGAGTACAGAAGCTCCATATGTGGACAATTCTCAGTCTCCACTTTACCCAAGAATTCCACTCCTGGGTAGATAACTCGAGAAAAATGAAAACATATGATCAGGAAAAGTGGAAATAATCCAATGTCTCTCAATAGATGAAAGATCAAATAAAATCTGGTACATCTATACAAAGGAGTATTATTTGGCAATCAAAAGGAATGAATGACTACACATGTGAAAAACAGAAGAATGTCAAGAACACGCTAACTCAAAGAAGTCAAACATAAAATAGCATATATCTGATGATTTTATTTACAGGAAATATCCAAAATGGGTGTCTACAGAAAGCAAATTAGTGATTGCCTAGGACTGGGGGCTTGGGAGGAAATGTTATTTTAAGGGGTGATGTGATGAAAATTGTCCAAAGTCAATTGTGGTGATGGATACAGAGTTGTTACTACACAGCCAAGCACTGAGTTGTATGCTTTGTGTTGGTATATAAATGCTCTCAATAAGGCTGTTCAAAAAATAAGAATGCGAGAACAAATACAATAGGACATGAATCAAAGGAGAATCAGAAATGTCAAGCGCAAGTAAACAGAGGTAGGTGTGTGATGATCCTATCTGGGCTAGAATTGATAGAGGGTGTAGAACAGTCTTTTCTAGTGAATCAGTCAAGAGACAGCAGAGACCTTGTTCACACCGTAGGTGTGAACACTTGAGATGACAAGCATGGACAGGACGAGCTGGACTGTAGTGAAGGAAATCAAATGGGGGACAGGTTTTTTGTCGGGGGTGGGGGGCAATTCCTATTCCTTACACAAGAACTCATGTCAGAAGCCAGTTACCACATTAGGCCATATTAGGGGAGATATTGATTTGGAGTCTCATCCAGAGAACAGAAAGAGCTAAAGGAAAGTTTTAGGGATTAAGAATACAGGAAAGAAAATAGAAAATGAAGCCACTGAAGAATCTCAGAGTGAGAGGAATAAAGGAAAAGGATTAACATCCAGGAGGAGCCTCGGCCGCTGTGAGGGGCCACACAGAAGGCAGGGGAAGCCAGGATTTCCCAGTGAGGAGAATGCAGTCATCAGAAAAGAGTGATAAGTCCGGCGGTTCTCTGGAGCCTGGATGGTCGAAGGAAGTGGGCAACCCTGCAGCAGGTTCAGAGGAAGGGGTACTGTGGAGGCCCAGGAAGAAAAAGGGAGCAACAAAGGAACTAAAGTCAAGAAACCGCATAAAATAAGCACACTGAGGTCTCTGGAGAGAACAGGAGGTTATATTTTCCTCTAAAGACTTACAAGGAAAGCTCTGCTAAGGGAAGTGGGACCCGCTGTTTACCTCACTCGCCCTCACAGCCTCTCACTGACTAGAATCTGAGCTCCCAAGTTGGACAGAAGTCTGGGTACCTGGAGTACTGGCCTCTGCAGTGAGGGCAGCGCCATGACCCTGAGCCCAGAAGTCCAGGGAGTCCTACGTGGGCAAAACGAACTGGATCCAGAGCACCCCACCAGCCCCCAGGGAACTGGAGCACTGGTAGCTGGGGTAGAAACCCCCACATCGGTGTGGATGCAGTACCAGTACAAACAGCACATGGCCCTGGACACCCTTCACCCAGAGGCAGCACAGGAACCGAGATCCCGCCATGCAGAGCACCCCAGTGGCTTCCAAGTGTGAGCAGCTAAGCAGGAAAGGCTCTGCTGGCCCTCGGGCCACAGCCTGTCCTCACCCATGGACACCAGGTGGCTGTAGGTCTCCAGCATCACCTCCCGGTACAGGGACTTCTGCGCGGGGGCCAGGAGCCGCCACTCCTCCGGGCTGAAGCACACGGCCACGTCGGCGAAGGTCAGCTGGGCCTGTCACAGAGAATCCGGGTTAGTGTGAGATGCTCTTTCACTGCTTCCTAACGGTACAAAGGAAGTTGTCAAGCCCTGCCCAGCCACAGCCTGACCTGCTCCCAGTGTGGATTTTCCTATAAATACACATAGTTTTTAACACTCCCCCAAGCAGCTCCTGTGTCCTACAAGTCACCTCAACTCTGACACTGTCTACCCTGAAGTGTAAACATGAGACAACTGGAGGGAAAAGAAAAACTGTTGAGGATTGGGCTGAGGTCTGTGGCTGCTGGCAGACTCTGCCCTTGACCTTTAGATCCCAGACACGCTGGGAGCGTAAAGTCAACAAGACAATTGCACACCAAGTGCACTCCCAGGAGTCTTCACAGACACAGCAAGGACAGATTAAGGGAGGGGCCTGTGCCATCTCCTCCACAGGGATGGCCTCTCTGAAGTGGCCAGAGGCTGGAGGCTGAGGGTACAGTGCAATGGAGGGTCCCATCTGGAGGACCTGAGGCTAGAACAGCTCAGTGGGGAGCAGCTTAGAGATAGTGAGGCTGGTGACCTCCTCACACCTCTGTTTTCCAGCAGGATCGTAGGAGGTCCTCAAACAAGCCACTTTCGGAGAAAAACCCAGGTAGAGGTAAGGCTTGTCCTGTGAGTACCTTGTTCTGGCGCCCTGAAAAAATTGTTCCTGCTGGGCCTCCCCGGTGGCGCAGCAGTTGAGCGCTGGGCTATGAGGCTGCCCGCAGCCTCTGCAGTGCCGGTTCAATCCCTGGCCCCTGGCGAGGGTCCCACATGGGGCAAAGACCTCTCCTGATGCGCCCGCTGCTCCCCTCAGCAGTGTACTTCGGTCCTTCTGCCTGTTCTGCTCCCCGCTCTGGCTCTGGTGAATTCTCTCACCCTCCGCGCTTCTGACTGTACCCGGTTCTTGTATAAATAAATAAATCTTTAAAAAAAAAAATTGTGTCTCCTGAGTTTGTGTGGTCTGTTTCCCCAGGGGTGTCTCTGAGGAACCCTGTCAGAAGAGAGGTAGAAAACCGGCCCCTGCCTGGATTTGGAGACCACCGATCCAAACTGTCAGGACACCCTGACATCCTGTGAGGGTGGGCCTGCCTTCTCCTCACAGCCACTGCACGTCACATATACCATATGGAGAACCTCACTGCACGTCATGTATACACACACACACAGAGCTCATTACACATAGCCCAGAGCATGAGCCGCTGGCTGCCATGGATCTCAGATGCAAGCTGACACCAGAGGCCCCTTCTGTCAACCCAGAAGACCCTTCAACTACCCATGACGAACCCACATTAGCCACTTTCTAGGAGTAACATGAATCTTACATCCTGGCTTCGACTTTGGATGAGGTTGGCTTTAGATTCCACATTTGGGGCCTCCCTAGTGGCGCAAGGGTTATTCTCAGCACTATGAAGCTAAAAGCAACCACCACGACCTGAGTTCAATCCCCGGCCAGGGAGTTGGCCCACATGGTGCAGCAGACCTCTCCTGTCTCCCCGCTGCTCTCCTCAGCAATGTATTTCAGTCAATCCACCTGTTCTATTCCAGCTTTTGTATGCATAAATAAAATCTGTAAAAAAGTTACGGAAAAAAAAAAAAGAGGGACTCCCTGGTGGCACAAGGGGTTAAAGGGTTAAGCAGCACACTATGAAGCAATCCACAGCCTCTGCAGAACAAGTTTGATCCCTGGCTGGCCAGGGAGCAACCCACATGGCGCAGCAGACCTCTCCTGCCTCACCTGCTGCTCCCCTCAGCAGTTTGCTTCAGTCAGTCTGCCTGTTCTGCTCCCCACTCTGTCTCTGGTGAATCCTCTCACCCTCCTGAACATCTGGCCTGTAATGCAGTTCTTGTATACATGAATAAATCTTTAAAAAAAAAAAAGAGAACCGGGGTAAAGGCCAGAGGTGTGAGGGTGGTGGTGAGAGGATTCACCAGAGACAGAGTAGGGAACAGAACAGGCAGATTGAATGAAATACACTTCTGAGAGGAGCAGCAGGCAATTCAGGGGAGGTCTGCTGCACTGGCTGCAGACAGCCTCATAGGTTGCATCTTAACCCCTTGCGCCACCAGGGAGGCCCCTGTTTTGTTTTGTTTTTTAACAGTCCTCTATAATTATGGAATAAAGGAGAGAACAGAACAAAAATTACCTTTTGGGTATGGATCATTTTCTTCTGTGTTGGGAAACAAACACCAACTGGGGTACTCTGCCTTTGACGCTCCTGAATATGCCCTAAATTTCCAGTTAAGACTCAGCTGTCAGTTGAAAGTGTCTCCATATATGACAGCCTCTAGGTCCACTGGCCACTTTCTTCTTCACTCACTTCTTGTCTCCAGCCAGGACCTGGGGAGTAGAGAGCAAAACTACTTTCAGGGTTCTCCTCCCTCTGGCTGTGTACTCACCTAAACACACGGTTCCCAGTTTTTCTGTCTCTTTTTTTTTGGTTCCCCAAGGATGTCACATCTCTGTCCAATCTAACAGAAGATCCTGACTACGTGGAAGGGGCATGAATGGAAAAGGGAAAATGGCAAAGGAGAATCAGAACAGAACTAAGCTCAGCTGCAGGGAATTTTCAAAACAATTAGAGAAATGAGAACATATGGATGGGTGAGGGTCTGTAAGGTTTTCCTTTAAACTAATTTAGAAATCTTAAATCTTTATATACCCTGTTTATATATAAACTTCAATATGAAGAATCATGAGCACACCTGTCACAGAGAGAGAGAGAGAGAGAGAGAGAGAGAGAGAGAGAGAGAGAAGGAATATGAGCTATAAATACAAAATTTAGAAAACAACTCAAAATTATAAATACTGGGAAAAACAGCAGCCTTTCCATACTCACATATAGAACCTGAAAGGAAATAGGCAGTTCATCACAGGTGGAAGGATAAAAACAGAATCTTAAACAAATAGCTTATTTATTTGAAAAATACTGAATCATTCATCTCCCGCTAGACTTTCATTTCTGCAAGTTTAAAAGGATGGGATTAGGTGGGAAGATGCGGGGAGTCAAAGGGCATTAGAAAATTTGTGGAGAAGGGACTTGGACCTAAAGCTTTTGGAGAAGATTAACGTTTAACAAATCTGTTCCAGCAGCCAAAGTCAGCGCTGAAAATGCGTCCCAGCCAGGGTTCCTGAGAGGCCAAGCCTGCTGCTGTCACACCCTGGAAAAGACACAGCGAGCACCCCAGCGGAGTGATAACAAGCGGACCCTGTCAACTTAAATCACACACAGTGGAAGCTAAAATCAACAAAGCAGCTACCCCCTTCCCTGGTCTCCAAGAAGGGGTGCAAAGAGCCCGGGCAGAGTTGCACTGGCCTTGGGAAGAAGCTGCGCCAGCAACACCAACAAAGTTGTCTTCGGGCAAACACACACCAGGTCCCAGGGATAAGACAGTAAACAGACGTGAATCCTACCGCCCTCTTTGTTTTCCTCAACGCACTGGCACCATCCGAGAGATACAGTAACCTGACACCTCCCCGGGCTTTCTCTGTGAAAATCCTTGAAAATGTAAAATGCTTTCCTAGTAGAATGTGTAAATTCCGCCCGGTGGGGCTCAGCCTTCCCGGAGTCCCTGGAGGCTGATCCATCAGTCTTGACTCTCATAAACTCACTCAGCTTTTGCCTCGAGGTACTGGAGTCACTCATTCCTTTGTCCTCCGAGGACCCTAAACCTGACTGCCAGAGGAGTCAGCGCTTTGCGGACCTAACCCTTATTTCCGGACCCTCAGGAGCCACCACCTAGGCGGAGGCCAACACACCGTCCCTTACATCACTTTCTCTACCCACGACCCACACCCCGACCAGATTCACCCCTGAAGCCGGAGCGACCTCGTCAGGGCCTAACTTACTTCCTAAATGTCTCTTTCAGGGCTTCTCGCCCAGCCCCGGCCCCTAGAGCAAGTCCGACGTGGGTCAGCGGCGCTTTGGCCGCCGTTTCTATGGACAACCGAGGACGGGCTTCCGGCTCTTCCTTATGGCGTCATAGTGCGCGCCGCCGTCGCTCCAGCGCCCTGGGGGCCGCCATCTTGAGACACCGCTGCCGTCTGGAAGGGGAGGCGCCCGTGTTGGGAGCCGGTGATGCTGAGAAGGGTAATTAAAGTAACCCTGGGCACCGCGGTTATTGTGCCACGCTGCCCACCCAAGGCCGTGTAAATTCTCAGGTCGGCCTGACCACAAAGTGAGTAGGGGAGACGCTGCAGTGGGACTGTGGGGCGCGGCCATCTTGGAGGAGGTTTGGGTTCTGTACGGCAGAACCAACACCCTCGGGCGCTCTACTGAGAACTGTCAGGTTGAAGTGCTTTTGGAGGCACATCAAGAGTTGGAAAAGTGGGATGGCATGGGGAGCAGAGGGTTGCAGCGACCCCCCAAACGAGTAGAAACAATAGACGTTGTGAGCCCCTGCTCCATCGTGCCCCTTCCCCAGACCCACGGGAGCGCCTCTGCCCTATAGATTAGTCTCCATGAACAGCATTTACTGTAGGCGCTCACCTGACGTCTGTCACGCAGCATGCTTGTTTTGAGAGGCATCCCAATTTGTAAGTATCAACAGTTGATTCCTTTCAGCCCCTTCGAATGCCATTGTATGGTGTTCCAAAATAAGCGCCATCACTGACCGGATGATGGGCCTTTGCAGTTTTTGGATATTGCAAATGAAACTTCTGTGAACACATACGTGCAAAAAGTTAAATGACATTAAAGAACTGGGTTTCCCATTACCTTATGCTCCCTCATCACCTCACCAAGAGGTCGATGCCTGTATCCACTTCTAGCCCTGCCTCCGCTTGTATTCTCTTGCTCCCCCACAGGCCTGCGTGGGGGGGAGGAAGAGGATCTGGTGATTTTGAATATGAAGCTGTGGCACAGAGGCACCTTCTCCCACTTTGCTTGGTATATTCAACCCCATAGGCCATTAATTCTCAGAATCACCTGATAGTCAGGTAACTGGGGGTCAAAGTAGGAAGTCAAAAATCCTATCCTCTCTGTCATTCCTGTCGTGACTCAATCTCTCACCTGAGTTACTAGAATATTCCCTGTTTACACTTTTGGCCTATTCCAGTTCATCTTCATAGAACAGGTAAGATGATCCTTGTAAAACACAAATTAGTAGTGAAACTTTCCTGTTCTCAGTTGTTCAATGACTGCATTCCAGAACAAGTATCCAGATGGCCATACCTACGTGATTAGAAATAGAAGTTGCAGTGAATTTATCCAATAATCCAGGATTTGTGATGGAAATGAAAGGCAGCTATTGCAGAGCAAATGTCTATTTCTTCTCTAAGCAGAAACTGGTGGGTTTTTTTTTTTTTTTTTTCCTGCAGATTTTATTGGATCAAGAGGAAGACTCTGGGCAGTGAAGGGACAAGAGTCCCCTGAGAAGATTAAGAAGGAAAGAAAAGGAAGGTCACGTTGGATTAAACAGGTCACAGAGATGGGATCTTTGAAATAATGGCAACTCTCAAAGGTGAGAAGTGTGTGAACAAATACTAGATCTTCTCCAGAACAGTCCACGGAAATTACCCTCCTTTTACCTCCTCCATCGTAGACCAAGGTTCTCATGCCTTTTATTTTACTTACCCTGGGGGGTCCTATTCCTTTGCGCTCCCTCTTTTATACTGACGCAGACATTGAGTCTAAAAACTCTATACAAAAAATGTCCTTTGAACAATTCCATTTGCCTCCTAGTTGCTCATTTTTTTAAAGATTTATTTTATTTATTTATGCATAAAAGAGCTAGGGTGTAAGCCAGAGGTGCAGGGGGTGAGAGGAGTCACCAGAGACAGAGTGGGGAACAGAATAGGCAGATCTACTGAAACACACTGCTGAGGGGAGCAGCGGGGAAACAGGAGAGAGAGGTCTGCTGTGCCATGTGGGTCAGCATCCTGGCCCGGGATTGACCTTGTGCTGTAGTGGCTGAGGATAGCTTCACAGTATTGAGACTTAAATCCTTGTGCCACCGGGGAGGCTCTGGTTGCTCATTTTCTACAATGACAAAATGCTGCTTTGTGGTCCACTAACCTTTATCTTCCAAATCAATGTATGAGTCACTTTTCCTTTGCTGGGAAGAATGTGATTTTTACAAACCCACACCATTCAACAGACCGCTCTTTGATGATGAGTGCCACATCTCCACTGTCCGATAAGGCAGTCACCAGTCACATGTCCTCACCTCCCTTTCAAATCTACATAGAATTCATTTCTGTTTTGCTCTGAGCTGGGAAACATAATCATTTATGAATTATCGAAGAGTTTATAACTTAGGTAGAGAGATCATGAACATTTAAAAAAAAATCCATACCCTATTTTCTGTAGGAAAAATTAAGTGAGTCCTTTTCGCCCCCATTTCTCTAAAAAATACGACCCTTGGACAAGAAATGATTGTTACTTACACTGTGTGTCCCTTGCAGCCCAGGTAGATGAGCGCATCTTTTGACTACATCGCTGGAGGGTAAAACTGCCATCTGCATATAATCCATCTTAAAAAAAAAAAAACAAAACAAAACAAGGTAGCTCAAAGGCAACAAGTACTTTTTGTTTAGTCCATCACCGATGTCATCTACATCTAGAAAGGCACCAGATGAAAGCAACAGCAGGTGAAAGTTCTGTAAGAGCGCAGGATGGGGACTGTCTTCTAGGGGAGAAACCTGGCTGAGCTTGAGGTTTTTTTTTTTTTTTTAAAGATTTATTTTATTTATGCATACAAGAACTGGAGTGTAGGTCAGAGGTGTGGGGGGTGATAGGATTCACCAGAGACAGAGTGGGGAGCAGGCAGATTTACTGAAATCCACTGCTGAGGGGAGCAGCGGGGAGACAGGAGAGGTCTGCTGCAACATGTGGGTCAGCTCCCTGGCCGGGGATCGACCTTATGCTGCAGTGGCTGCCAAGAACTTCACAGTGCTGAGACTTAAGCCCTTGCGCCACCAGGGAGGCCCGGAACTTGAGCTTTGCACTGGTCCTTAGGGTCCATTCTGTTTATAAGTTTAAACACGTCCACGGGTATCATGTGACGTGAGTGCTTTAAATTCATTCAGATTCCTTTGGGAGGACTTCATGAGTCTGAAATAACAGACAATACATTTTGACCCAAAGAAATGCAAGAGCTCATCATATGATGTTCCCGTGTGGGAAGAGAAGATTCCTGTCTGTCTCCTCCCCTCACTCCCAAGGGGTGTGTGCATCAAGTTATAACTCACATGCGACACAGATCTTGTTCTTTGAATTAAGGAGTCAGGGACATGTCTCAGGTAGAAGTCTGGGCCAAGGTCTAGTGTCCGAAAGTGTACACCTGGTAGACTTTCTGACGTGTGATGTTAGAAATCACTCCGTCTTCATTTTTTTTTTTTTCATATTTTTTTAAAGATTTATTTATTTATACAAGAACCGGAGTACAGGCCGGATGCACAGGAGGGTGAGAGGATTCACCAGAGACAGAGCAGGAAACAGAACAGGCAGAGTGACTGAAATACACTGCTAAGGGGAGCAGCGGGCGAGACAGGAGAGGCCTGCCACACCATGTGGGTATGTCGCCGGCCAGTCGGGATCAAACCCAGACTGCAGAGGCTGTGGACAGCTTCACAGTGTGGCGCTCAACCGCCTGCGCCACCAGGGAGGCCCCGTCTTCATTTTCATAAAGCTTCTTTGCTTCACAAGTTTTTTGAAATTTTGCTGGAGATGCTCCACAGTTAGTGGGTCCAGAGTTTTATTTCCATGTGGCAAGGGATAAGCCAGACTATACCACTAAACAATCCTGCAACTTCCATCGCCTTCAAAGGCCCAACAGTTCCCCCGGGGTGTGGGCGCTCTGGCCCCTACTGGTCCTATTCCCGGGGAAAAGGACTCTTCCTTGGTCACTGTATTTCTACCGTGTGAGCTCACGGATGGTCCGGGACCTGGAATGCATGGACAGAGCCTAGCGCTCCACAAAGGCTCTCCCAGTCTCTGCATCCACGCGATTTCGCTCAGTAGACACTCGTTGGCCATACAAGGAGCTAGAGGTTTTATTCAAGGATTGTCCACTTTGACTGTATCACCATGTATTCCTGAGTGTTTTGTGTGACACAAAATGTGGCCTAACTGATCACTGAAGGCACTGCCACACTCACTGCATCCAGGAGGTTTCTCTTCTGTGCAGATTCTGTTACCTGCTGACGGTGCACACCTGACCAGCAGCTGGCCCGAGACAGCTGTGTTGTCCTCTGCCGGGAGCCTGCTGACGCGTGACATCTGGGCTGCCACTGTGGGCGTCTGCACAGCCACCACAGCAGGGTTCTTCTTCTCTATGCCATCACTTGAATGTGATGAGTTGTGCCTCTTAGAGAAAGGATTTTCCAACTTGTCTGAGCCTGTATGTTTCTCTCTTGCGTGCAGCATTCCCTTGTGGTAAGCCAGGCATGACAAGTGAGAGAAGGCTTTCCCACAGTCAGAGCACCTGTAGGGTCTCTCTCCTGTGTGGGTTCTCCGATGTCTGTTGAGGCATGACTTATCTCTGAATGCTTTCCCGCAGTCACTGCAGTTATACGGTTTCTCTCCGGTGTGAATTCTCTGATGGTTAATGAGGCCAGACTTGTGCGAACAGGATTTTCCACATTCAGTGCATATGAAGGGCGTCTTTCCAGTGTGAAATCTCTGATGTGATAGGAGGCAAGTTTTTTGGCTGAAGCCTTTTCCACATTCGGTACATACATAAGGTTTCTCCCCAGTGTGAATGCGTCGATGTATAAGGAGATTACCCTTCTGGATGAAGCCCTTCCCACATTCATTGCATCTGTAAGGTTTCTCTCCAGTGTGAGTTCGCTGATGGACAATGAGATTGCCCTTCTGAATGAAGCCTTTTCCACAGTCACTGCATATGTACGACTTCTCTCCTGTATGAGTTTTCTGATGTGCGTTGAGCTGTGATTTCCATCGGAACACCTTGTCACATTCACGGCATTCATAAGGTTTCTCCCCTGTGTGAGTTCTCTGATGTTCGGTGAGCCTAGACTTCCTGGAGAAGGCTTTGTCACAGAGACTGCATCCGTGAGGTTTCTCTCCTGTGTGAACTCTCTCATGATTAACGAGCCGAGACTTCTTGATGAAGCCTTTTCCACATGCATTGCATACATAGGGTTTCTCTCCTGTGTGCGTTTTCTGATGAGTAAGGAGCCGTGACTTCTTGGGGAAGGCTCTGTCACAGTCAGAGCAGTTGTACTGTTTCTCTCTTAAATGGGTTTTCTGATGTTCAGTCAGCCTGGACTTTCTGGAGAAAGCTTTCCCACATTTACCACAGACATGAGGTCTCTCTCCTGTGTGAACTCTCTCATGATCAGCAAGGTGAGACTTCTTGAGGAAGGCTTTCCCACACTCCTTGCATACATGGGGCTTAGCTATCTGCTGAGCTCTTTGATGCTTAACCAATTGTGAATTTGTGTTCACAGTATTTCCACACTCAGGAAACTTAACTTCAGTGTGAAATGGCTCATGCTTTGCATGAAAGAATTTTGCATCTCCATTAATCTCAACCAACCTTTTTATGTCACTATTTCTGTTCCGGTTTGCTAAACTGAAATTTGATTTCAGTCTATTTCCATGTATGTCAAATATATGATGATTTTGCTTGAAAGGAAAATTACTTTTATTCCGATGAACAACATTTCCCAGTGTAGTATGTTTAGGGCATTGTTCTGTTCTCTTTGGACATCTTTGATGTTGCAAGCGTCCCTGTAGGTGACCGTTAACTTTCTCGATACCTAGGAAAGAAGGAAATAAAGACTCCGTGAGCTTGGTAGAAAATAAAACTACTTCACAAATGTCTTTGTGCAGGCTGGCTCGTTACCAACAACACTATGGCCTCAGTTTAAAGAAAATCCAAGTAGATATGTTTGTTACCACTTAGACAAGGATAAAAGGCAATAACATAGATAAAGAAAACAAAAGATAAAAACAGTCAGTATATAAACAAGGTTAGATCATTCAAAATGAGTATGTATAGACTTGGCTGCTTTCTAAGTCTGACCTTGGAAAGCATGCAGAGATAGTAAAATAAAATCAAGATACTGTTAGTTCCAGGCCACAGGAAATAGAGGGATATTTGTTTCAACACATTCATATAGCCACAAATCCTTATTAAAGCATGACTGTACTGGTGATGAAGCCATAGAGACATATTCCTTGCTTTCACGGAGTATATTTTCCAGTTAGGGAGAGCCGGATCAGAAAGCAATGATAAAGCAGGCACACATTGTGAAAAGTGGTTTGTGGGAGCACTGAAGAACAAGATAGAGAAAATCAGAGCTTAATCTGGAGAGAGAACACACAGGATCACTCATGGCTTCAATGATGGGGAGCAATTAATAAGTGTCAAGTTTCATTCCTAATTATTTGACTTGGGCCACTGGTTAGCTGGCCTTTCAGTGAGATGGGGCCTATTATTGTGTAGTGGAATGTGAGCATATGAAGTATGCATTTCAGAGCCTATCAACCTCCAGATGGGTCTCACATGTCCAACAGAAACATGAAGAACTCATCTGGATATGTAAGTCTTGGAAATATTACAGGGGAGTGGATGAGGCCATATTTGGAAAAATGTGACTGAACAAAGGAGTTCTGGACCAAGTTTATAGCTACTGTAACTAACACGAAGAGTTCGGCTTTAAATAGTCCACTGGGAAGGGCCTCCCCTGGTGGTGCAGCGGTTGAGCGCTGGGCTGCGAGGCTGCCCGCAGCCTCTGCAGTGCTGGTTCGTTCCCCGGCCGCCGGCGAGGGTCCCACAAAAAAAAAGGCCACTGGGAAGCACCAGATACCAATCGTGAGACAGGACAGCTGAGGAAGTTCTCTGCCATTAACGAAGACTCGGGCCTAAATGAATTTGCAGCAGGGGGAGGCTGAAGGGAACCATTGAGAGCAGCTCTGCCTCTCACTCTCCCAGCCCAAGTTTTTATCGAAGATAGGAATAAAGGAACAAGAAAATAGCACGCAATTGTGTTTTTGCTTATACAGATGAATAAGTTACTACTGAAAACAAGTTTTCCTGGTTAGCAGGGAACATGCGCAGAAGCCAGCACGTCCTCAGAACAGAAGTCAGTTCTGGAAAGAAGTTCTGTTTGCAGAATTTCTAACATCCTGGGACTCCGCATGCAGAGTGAACAGGTGCTCTCCAAAACTCCAGCTCCCTGCAGGGCCGCAGCTCCCACCTTACCAGCCCTACTCTGAGGGAGATAAGAAGACACAGGTATCAGGAACTATTATCCCAAAAGGGTTTCATGACTAAGGCCCGCCTGACTCCACCACTGGCAGCTGCTGATTAGCTGAATTTGCACCATTCCTCGCTCAGAGTGGTGGCGCTGCAAAACCCAACCTGACCGAGCAGTTGGTTCCCATGACAACCAACCCTCAATCCAGTCCTGCAGCCCTGTCTCATCAGCACACAGAGGCTCTCATCACTCCCGGAGAATGCAAGGGCAGAGCTCTCTTGTCAAGAACTGGAAACCAAAGCCAAACGTGACACAACAGGCTCCTATCACCCCTACACCCAGGAAACTCCAACGGATTTGGGGGCTCCATGCCAGGAACACGGGTCGAGCGTCACACTAGGGGAGTGGCATCTTGTCCGCCACTTTGAACTTGTACACATGCAACAGCTGAACTGTTCACATTTCAGTTCATGATCCCCAAACCCTAATACAATCTTCCTTTAAGAGCCCACACACACAGTAGCTCCCCCTTCTCCGTGGGGGGCTGGCCTTCCCTGGACTCAGTTACCTGCTGCCCCAGTGATGAGAGGGCAACAGCAATCTAAAGAATTAAATACAGTAAAATATTTTCAGAGCGGCCACACACACCTAACCTTTATTGCAGTAGACGGCTGTAGCTATTCTGACGGCTGTAGCTATTCTGTCTTATTACCCAAAGGGGCGAGCAGGTGCCGTGGCCAGAAGTCAGGGCTGCAGTCAAGCATGTCTGCTTGGAGAGCAGCAGCGAGGTGGGAGCGCACGGCAAGGGAAGCAGAAGGGAGAGCAGCGACAGTGTGACAGCGGGTGGAAAACGGGCAGACTGGAGCATTCCAGAAGCCCAGGGTGCAGGGAGGAATCAAGCCCTGGCCGAGACACACAGGGATGGACCCCAAGAAGAGAGAGGGTCCTTGAAACACCCAGGAGAAACAGAGCTCTGCTCCGGCTGCTCCCAGGAGGCTCTGCTTACTCGTGCTCAGACACCCTCACCGGTGGGACACCCCAGCATCACGACCGCCTGGCAGTTCCTCACGCACCTGGACGCACCCGAGCGGGCCTTTCGCTGTCCACTGTCCACGGGCATCCTCGCGTCAGAGTGGAGAGTGCCTGCAGCTCGCTGGCTTGAAACCCTGTGCGCGGGAAATGGCAGCAGAGTCAGGCTCGTCCAGCGGGCGCCAGCACCCACACGTCCTGCTGCAGAGCTGGGCACTGGGCAGAGCTGCGGTGCCGATGCCTGGTTCCACGGTGTGTGGCTTTGCCACGGCGCCGCACAGAGCGGGTGCTCTGAGTCACGGGGCCCCCACAGGAGCAGACCTGTCGGCCCCATTTTCCCAACAGCATGGGTTCACTTCGCGTCTCTGTCACCTTTAGGTGACTCTCGCGACGTTTCAGACTTTTCTGTCTGGCATGGGGTGCTGTGATCAGTGACTATTTGGGGGCCCCACTGACCACGGAAGACAACGCACTTGACGAGCAGACACGCAGTGCTGAATGCGCCACTGGCAGGCAGTCCCCCCACCTCCCGCCCTGACCCGGGGACACACCACGTTGACATGAGGCCAGTGATTAACTCCACAGTGAAAGGTGGAGTCGGGTAACCCTCACATTAAATCCCAAGCTCCTAGCGACACAGGGAGGTGAAGAACACGAGCCGAAAGCTGAGTGGCTGAAAGCCAGGCCTCGCAGGCCCATCAGTTCGCCAAGCTCTGAATGCAAAGGAAAGACTCTTGAAGGGAATTGGAAGTTGCTCCAGTGAACACAGGAACGGTAAGAAAGTGAAAGAGCCTCACTGCTGGTAGGGAGGACCGTCTGAGTGGACAGACAGAAGATCAAACCAGCCCAAATTCCCAAAGCTTGATCCAGAGCAAACCCCAATTCTCTTTGATTCTATGATACTGGGCAAAATGTGAGGCCAGCGGAGGTTGGTGAGGGAAAGGCAGAAGCCCTTCTCACAGAAAAGAGCAGGGGGAGCAGCGAGAGCCCAGGTAGAAGCTGCAGCAACTTGTCCAGAAGGTGGGCTGAAGAGGTGGCCACACAAACACCAAGTTTTCAAGCACACACACGATTTTATAGTGGAAGAAAAAGCCACTAGGACTTTGATAGCTGGAGAGAAGAAGTCAAAGACTGGTTCAAAAGCATCAAAGAACAGGCTGACTCTCTTCCTAGGGGCTAATGCAGCTGCAATTGTAAATTGAAGTCAAAGCTCACTGACCATTCCAAAACTTGTCAGGAACAGAAATTAAAAAATAACAATAACAATCTTGCCTGGGCCTTAAAAATGTTACAGCTACTCTGCCTATATTCTAGAAACAGAGCAGCAAAGCCCAGATGGCAGCACAACTGTTCACAAAACAGTTAACTGAATATTTGAATATTTGATGCACATGATGGAGACCTACTGCTCAGGGAAAAAAAAAAAAAAAGATTCCTCTCAAAATAGTACTGTTCACCGTCAATGCACCTGGTCACCCAAGGGCTCTGATGGAGAGACAGATGAATATTGTCTTCACGCTGTTCACATGATGTTCATTCTGCAGCAAATAGATCAAGAAGTCATTTCAACTGTCAAGTCTCATTATTTAAGAAACACACCTTGTCACGTTATATCTGTTCCCGAGAGTGATTCCTGATGGATCTGGGCAAAGTCAATTGAAAATTTTCTGGGAACAATTCATTCTAGATGCATTAAGGACATTCGTGATTCAAGGCAAGAGGTCAAAATAACAGCATTCCCAGGCATTTGGAAGAAGTTGATTTCAGCCCACAAGGATGATATCAAGAGCGTCAAGACTGCAGAGGAAGGAGGAAGGAAGCAGATGGATGGAAATAGCAAGAGACCTAGAATCAGAAGTGCAGCCGGAAGACATGACTGACTAGCTACCATTTCATGATAAAACTTGAAAGAGAATGAAGATGTGCTCCTTACGGATGCACAAAGTGATTTCCCAAGGTGAAAACTGTTCCTGGTGAGGCAGGGCCATCTCTCACCAGGAACAGTTGCATGCATCAAATATTCAGTTGGGCATCCCCGGTGGCACAGCGGTTGAGTGCTGGGTTGCGAAGCTGCCCACAGTCGCTGTAGTGCTGGTTCCATCCCCGGCCGCCGGGCGAGGGTCCCACATGGCGCGCAGACCTCTCCTGCCATGCCCGCTGCTCCCCACAGCAGTGTACTTCATCAGTCTGCCTGTTCTGCTCTCCGCTCTAGCTCTGGTGAATTCTCTCACCCTCCCGCGCTTCTGACTGTACCCAGTGCTTGTATAAATAAATAAAATAAAACTTTGAAAAAAAATTCAGTTAACTATTTTATGAACAGTTGTGCTACCATCTGGGCTTTGCTGTTCTGTTTCTAGAACATAGGCAGAGTAGCTGCTGAAATGGTGGCAGAGGGTCTAGACTGTGACGTGAACTTAGGGCAAAGCAGGGCCAGGGGCCGAGAGGACTGACTCCGGTTTTGAAAGCAGCTCTGTGGGTGGAATGCGATCAAGCAGGTTGCCTGAGAAACTTTCCATGAAGGGAAGAGTCCTCCCATGCAGCAAACCTCACTGTTGTCTTATTTTAAATAACTGCCAGTCACCAATGAGCACCATGAGCACCAAGGAAAGACCCTCTACCAGCAAAAAGAGTCTGACTTGTGGAAAGCTCAGGTAATAGTGAGCGATTTTTAACAATAAAGCATTTTAAATGAAGAGTTACACTGTTTTAGATGTAACCAAAAATATCAGTGTAACCTGCACATGTACTATAAAACCCACTTCAAGGCCACTTTTGCTCCATGGTGGTGGTCTGGACCTGAACCTGTGGGGTCTCTGAGGTGGTCTGGAAAGGATTTTATTCCCAGAAAGGAGACATTATGTTCTAAGCCAGGGCCATGGAGGGGCCTGAGAATCTCCCCGCTCTTGCACCACACATTCCAGAGCTTTTACCAGCTGAGCAAGAAAGGCCCCTACCGGGCCCTCAGGCCATGGGCCCGTCCTCACCCACAGACACCAGGTGGCTGTAGTTCTCCAGCATCACCTCCCAGTACAGGGCCTTCTGCGCGGGGGCCAGGAGCCGCCATTCCTCCCAGGTGAAGCGCACGGCCACATCCTCCAGGGTCAGCAGGTCCTGTAGGAACACAGTCCTATTTCAGATGGGTGTTTCTCTGGTTATGAATAGAAGGAATGTGGAGGAAGTCGTTCTGCTCATTTTCACCATGGAAGTTACCCCCTATACCCAGGGGTGTTGATTTGTTAAAAACACATTGTTATAGAGGGGAATCTATCTCTGTTCCAAAATCCAGCTCTATTTTTTTTAAAAAGATTTATTTATTCATACATACAAGAACCAGGGTACAGGCCAGAGGCACAGGAGGGTGAGAGGATTCACCAGAGATAGAGCAGGGAACAGAACAGGCAGACTGACGAAGTACACTGCTGAGGGAAGCAGCAGGCGAGACAGGAGAGGTGCCGCGCCATGTGGGAGTCTTGCAGGCTGGCCGGGATCAAACCAGCGCTTCAGAGGCTGCGGACAGCTTCACAGCGCAGCACTCAACCGCCTGCGCCACCATGGGAGGCCCCAAAATCCAGCTCTAGCTAAACATTCTGTGATTGTGCAATTAATCCTTATTCAAAAAACCAGAAGTTTATGTAAGTAACCATGCATAAATACATAAATCTTTAAAAGAAAAAAAAGTTCCTATGACCTTAGACTTGTGACATTCTCTGAGGAAGTGGCCAGCTTTATTCTCAAGGTCAGAGGCCATCATGACCACCTGGACGGCATGGCTGTCAGAGATTACTGGCTATTACCCAAAAGGCAGTGGGGGAACAGCTTATGGAGAGGGGTGGGAACCTCCAGGGACACATTATGCCCCACTCTAGCCACCCCATCATGTGGCTTCCAGGAACAACATACTCCCCATCCCACAATGTTGAAGTCAGAGTCTCAACTTCCTTATGCACAAATTCTGCTTTCCCAATGGGTACCTTTTCTATTCCATTGTCTGACAAAGCCTCACGCCCCCACTGCCCCCCCCCCCAGAAATCAGCCAGGGAAGGAGGGAAAGAATAAAATAAACCCAAAGTCACCTGGTCCTTGATCATTTTTTTCTCTTCCTGGGAGTGGCCAGTACCCTCGATGCTGTGAGTTAAGTCTCTTCTTGAACTGCTCCCCTCAATTTCTGGCTAGGAACCTTAGTCTCCCACCCGGGGGACTCCTGGAGGACATCCAGGTCGCTGCCGCCTCCTCACTTCCCTTGACATAGTGGCTCCTGCAGCCGGGACCTGCGGGGGGAAGGAAGAGAACATTCCTTTAGCGAACACAGCCCCTTGGGCCGGACGCCGTCACTCCCTGGGGCTCATGGCCACCTCTGACTGTCCCTCCCTTTGGCGTCCAGAGGCTACTCCACTGGCGAGTATTTAAGACACGCTCGCGAGATTCCGAATGTGTGGGCACAATCAGACACACACGCGTTAAGAAAGAGAACACAGGAGCGACGCATCTGGGTTTCTCTGCCTTTAAGTCCAGTCGCGCCCCCTGCACTGGTTCGATGTCTTGCACACCCATGTGCACACACAGCTCCATCACAGACGGCACAGCAGAGGCGCGTCTCCTCAGCGGCTGCCCGCCCCGTCTCACCCTGGCAGGCGTTTAGTCACCGCTTCCGACTCCAGCAGGACCGGAAACCTGGGCGTCAGCTGCGCTGTCCAGGAGCACGCGCGGCAGGGCCAGCCCGGCTGCACCCCGAGGCGGCCTGCCCCCCGGGACGAGGCCCCCGTTTGTTCTGGCCGCCACCCCGGGAAGGAGACTTGGTTCCTGTCATTACTCCCCAGAGTTTCAGCCCCAGCATCGCGGGGTGGGGGCGGGGGGCCGCTCACTCAGGCCTTTTCGCTGAGCTTCCAGATCAGACGTCAAAAAGGAAAAAGAAAATGTGCTGTGGCCACACGATGCAGCAGCGTGCAGGTGGACAGAAGCACAAACTGAGGGCAGCTCCTGCGCAAACCTCAACAACCCGGCATGAAGGCATAAAAGGCAGCCACAAGAGACCACGTATTACAGGACCAATTTATAGCAAACGTCCGGGACAGGAGCTTGTCCGAGAAGGGAATCATGGCTGCATGAGGGGTGGTGGGGGGTTTCTTTTGGAGGTGAGGGGGAGGCCCTGAAATTGCCTGCGCTGAGTCATGTAAGCGTGAAGACCCTGAAAACCACTCCGCTGTATGTATGTGAATAATGAAGCCGCTGCTATAAAAAAGGTAGGAGTCACTCTAAACACTACAATATTTAAGGGGACGTGCCTGCAGTTCATCTGGAAATACATTTAGAAAACTTTAAAAAAAAAACATGGGCTAATGACAAGTAGAGAGGAGATACTCGGGTAGACATGTAAAAAAGGAAACCATAAAATCAGCATAAAGTAAAATCTAGGAGGTAGGCATACGGCATTTCAACGTACAATTCTTTCAAGTCAGCTATCCCTTCAAAAACTTCTTTGTTTAGTTTTTATACAGATTTTTAAAAATTTTATAATGAAATCAAGGCGAATGGGACAGCGCCTAATAATAGGAGTTAAGTAAGCAAAGCAGAAACAAAATGTTTTTCATGTAACAGCTCGTCTTTGTAATACCTAGTGAAAAGAAGAGCAGGGAGGTGTGAACAGGAAAAAGACATTGTTCACAGGGCAAGAAAACGTTAAAAGCCGAAGCACAAGGGGTTAAGTCTCAGCACTGTGAAGCTATCCACAGCCACTACAGCCCGTTCCAGCCCCACCCACATGGCGCAGAGACCTCTCCTGTCTCCCCGCTGCTCCCCTCAGCAGTGGATTTCAGTGGATCCGCCTGTTCTGCTCCCCACTCTGTCTCTGGTGCATCCTCTCTCTCCGCCCCCTCCCCTGTGGTCTGCACCCCAGCTCTTGTATGCATAAATAAATCTTTAAAAAAAAAAAAGCCCAAGGGCAGAGGAGGGGCAGGGAATCACCCCTGGGGTAAATGCAGAGTCTTCGTCTGTCCTCAAGAGAACCGTGATTTCAGTATTTCAGTTCTGGCTACAGAGCGAGTGATTCCAGTTGTCACGGCACAGGTTTGCCTCCTAATGGGTCTCCGTTACGGAAATTTAAAAAAGTCATTCTTAAAAAAATAAACGACGACTGTGGACGGTATGAAATTAAATGAGGCAAATTATACCAGCGTTTCAGCAGTTTATTAAAACCCCGAGAATCAAGCATCGGAACCTGGACATGGGAAAACGGAAACACTCGGAGGCGTCACACACCTTCGCGGCGGGGGACGCAACGGGGCGGCGGGGGGCGTCTGAGGGCGTCAGGACGCCGCGAAAGGCCATGCTGGCAAGTGCGCGAGCGGGGCCTCGCAGGCAGGACCCACGGCCTCCTTCTAGCGGGAATCTGACCGCGCAGCTGTGCTCCAGCC